AAAATGATCGTGTGAAATATTTTTGAAAGCTGAAATTTAGTTTTACGCGCACATATTATGGGTTTTAACAAAATACAGAAATATAAAAACGTACCGTAGGAACACAATTAGTTTTCAGATTCTTATTTTTTAGATTTAATATTTCTCCCAAAAAAGTGTTATGAGATAAATTGGTTTTTATATACTTATTACGGTTTTTGTTTTTTACAAGCTGTTGCACATCTATACGCTTGTGATTTTTACGATAGAAAACGTTGGCATTTATTATTTAGTGAATTCATTTTTGAACAAATGGCTAAAACATTCTATGGGGACTGTGTGCAAAAATCAATTAATTAGTAGCTAATGTAAACAGAAAAGTTAAAATTGTTTGTGCAGTCTAAGAAAAAATGTATCAATAATAAACTTTTGTTTGATTAATTGTGTGAACCATATGTATAATATTATTTTTCTTACTGTATAAGTGTAAATTTTATATTTTTAAATTTAAGTGGTATAACTTGTTTCATAAAAGTTATCACAACAAATACTATAAAATATAAATATTATTATAAGCCTAATAAATCTCCATATTTCATGATATTTTGCAATATTATTGAATATATATTTAATATTATAAACAGTAATCAAGGACCTTCTCACTTTTTTTTAACTCTGTTACAGCACAGATACTGGGTTCGAATTTATGTGTTATTTTGTTTTTGTTTTGCATATACCTACAATAATTTTAAACTGACTGTAGCCTGGGCATTAGACCGGTTTCTTAGACAGGCAAAAAATAAATTTATCTCGATAGTACAATTATACTATCTATGTACTACAAAGAAGTTACGGTGTACCTACTATATAAACCAAATTCAAAGCCATTGATAATAATGAGTAATAATAATAACAATTAAAATTAGGTCAGCGGTATCTATTATAGATAATCCAATATAAAGGTTAGGCCTCGCGGTTCACCACATGCGGCCTAATAAAGCGAATTACATTTCAATAAACTTATAGGGACAACATATTATAAGTTTAATAATTTAGCTTGTTATAATATAATAATTATGCTCTAGTTTGTTTTCTACTTAAATATTTGTAGTTTAAACTCACTTCATCAAAGCAAAAAGTTTTCGGGTTTCTACGGATACCTGTAAATTACATTCATTGTGTATGAGATAATAGGTTGTTTTTACTGTATACAGTATCTATAAATAAGTGTGTAAATAACATGCTATATTATAAATGCAAGTTAACTGCAAATTTGTATATTAGACAAGATTTTATTATAATAATCATGAATATCCTAATAACTCAATTACCTACTTTTTTATATATTTATAATCTGTAATTAAAGCTGGCGTCGAATTTAAGGAACTGATCGTTGTCATTTTTTGTATAGTAATTAACTTTTATAATTTTTAATAACAAGTATATCATGTGTATTCTAACTGATCTCAAGAAAATCAATTAAGCGGTAGTTTTTAAAAATATATTTTAAGTATATTTTCTATAAATAGCTGGCCATTAACTGGTTACACAGTTACACAAATCAGTAAATTTATAACTTAACTTGTTACTTAAATAGAATAACTTACTACCTTCTAGTTGTTTAACTGTTAATTGTTACTGTTAATACTCGCAAAGTAATTATTATTGTTTATCTAGACAAATTTCAACACTAGTGTTACTACATTGGGGATTAAACATTAAAATTGTAAGTTTGTAAGCTTTATAGTATTGTTCGTTTGAGTTACATTGTCAGCCATTTTGACCGTTTAGGTCTAATTGTTTAGGTTAGTGTAACTATAAATGCTATTATATTGTTATCCTCTTCGACTGTCCGTATTCTGTTGAATGTATAGTTAGTAAGTAGTCCTATCATAGGTGCATATATTATAGTTAATAACGCTTTGGCTATATTATACAATAACAATATATTATCGTTTTCATACTGATTATCTGTTATTGAAATGATACTTCGCAAATCACAAACCGACAACGACTCCCGTTAATATCTGTCGCGTTTATGATAATTTCGATGATAATAATATAAACGATAATGATTATTGATTACTATTTATACTAGACGCAATCGCGGCACGCGTTTGTTACTATAGTTCAAACGCAAACGTTGTATTATATAATATTTAATAATAATGATAATTGTCTATTGTCCGCTGCTGTGTGTAACCAGAGGGAAAATACAATAATAATAACTGGCGTAATGGGAATAACAGTACACAGAGAGACAAATGGGACCTGCATGTGTATAGATACACTAGTTTTCTTTCTTGTTTTATCACGGAATGTTGTTCACCAACAGAACGTCTTACAATGATCGTAGCTCGTTTAAATTGAGTGAAAGGAAGACGGAAATCTGTCGAGTCGGGCGCCGTGACGCTGACGGTATTTTTTTTAATTCACGCTAATAACACATTACCTATGACTTTGGTTTACGTTTTCGACACCTCCTCCGGCTGTCGGTCTCGTGAGGATTTTGCCAAAAATTTCAATTTTCGATTGCGCTTACACGTTTCCTATGACTGAGTATGGCCAGCAATAGACAATTGGAGAGCAACAAATTGATGTGACGTGCGAGGTCAGTTTAGGTTTTTTTAGGTTCTAGGTTAAGTGAAATTGTATTTTCACCGAAAACTTCGGCCAAACAAAATCTGTGGATTGTCATTTATATTATTCCAGTTTTGTTCATTTTGAAAATGTTAAAAGTACATTTTTTTGTCGAACAAGAAATTGTCTGGTGAAAAGGAGCCGCCGTCCCTTGTAATTGGTATGTTGTTCCTTATGAATCGATGTAACAGTTTTGAAAATATTAGCATAGAACATGCTTTAGCCTTGGCCTCCCAGCTCGAAAATGACACAAAATAGCGTCACAAGAGTAGCACGTCGACTTTAAACGTATAATATAACGAGTCGTCGTTGTCATGCAAACGTTTTGGCCAGAACATAAAATTAAGATTATAATACTATCGTCATAAATTGCAAGGAGATTATAGATCAGAAATGACTATTCAGGAGCCAGCAGGCTAAAGCATGTTCCATTTTTTATAATTTTAGCCGTTAGGCTTTAAGTAGACTGTAACGTTTTTTTACGAATTCCATACTAAATATTAAATGATAGTAAAACTAAAATGGATACTTACATTTTAGTAAGTATCCATTAGAAGGAGGGTAGGAGGCGCCCTAATGCCTGTGTCATTAAAATATATACATATATACATTTATTTTTAAGTATTGACAAGCAAAATTGCCTTGGTTTTTGGTTATAATTTCTTTAAATTTAATTTCCGAAATTTTTTTTAACTGCATTTAAAAAAGCCTCTATGCAGGGAGGCCTTGGGGAGCTAAAGGTTGACTAATCTAAAACAGTCTCAAGAAAATAAACGAAACCGTTTAGAATTTTTTGTTATAGAGAGTTATAGGTTCTTTTGTTTGAAAACATCACTGGTTTGGTTGCTGGCTAACGGTAAAATCAAATCGTTTTACAAAAAGTCATTGGTGCGAAAAATAACAGGAAAATATTCACTACCATGTGGTCATTGATCGAAAAAATTCTTGTACCCAAAAATGTAAAATATAGTCTCTATTAAGAAATTATTATGGTTGAGCGTTTAGAATATTCGGTTAAAATTGCATTTAACAAATAAAGTGTCTCCTGACAGTATTTCAATGTCTTAATGACGTTATCACTTTATTTGCGCGTGTCAAGGTGATAACCGACCAAAATCGGTATAGGTATATTAAGTACTTACCAGTTATACCTGTACATATAGTATATTCAATTAAAAGCTCGTAATCTTTATTTGATTACTTAAAAAAGAAAATAATTACACAATTTTTGGTATCTTGTAGAACACATTACATGAGTAAGTTATTTAATAGACAGAATTAAAAGTTATTACGGATCACATAAGTTTCTAAAATAATAATAAAAGATATTATTATACAAATGAATGTGCCTAAAAATATACTTGATCTGCTTATACAGTGACATTGAGCTGCTTAACAGCTTTTTCATTACCTTAAACAGTTGAAATTACACTATGACTTGTAGGTACACTATATGTAGGTATGTCCGAAAAAATCTACTTTAAGATCAAGAGTCGGTCAGTCTCCTTTGAAAATGTTCATACTATTTTGTATAGACTATAGTGTACATTTTCTAAGACATTCGTTACTCCGATAACAACGAATTGATTCATGGGTATTGTAATAACATGTTGTTCGTGAGCATTTTGTGCTGATTTTCATTGAAGTTGCGACATAATAATGAGATCTTTGTCGAAGTCTGTCACGTCGCGTCCCCTTTGTAGTATAGGCCAAAAGAAAGTGTAAACGTCGTTTGTTCGCCATTTATCTTCGGATATCCTCGTGTGCCACGTGAAGCTCTCGGTCACGATATTCGATCTGTTATGAAACGTTTACAGAACTACTTATACAAATAATTTTATAATCTGTAACCGTCTGCGAACTATAGCATCGGCGGCTTATACTAGTGACCTATAAGTGAATATAGTTATATACAATATAATAACCCCTATAGTAACGCACGTTCTTTTATTGTACACGCTATACGTCCAAGGATCGGTTGAAAAGTAAAAATTGTACATCAAAATCCGAACAAGCTCATTCAGTACACCGCCAAAATATTTTTATTATAATATTATTTTAAAGGTGAAGGCGCGCGCAGGCTCAAAAGAAGAAATTCACATTGAACGATAATGGTATTTTGACAACCGTTTAATATTCAACTGTTGTCGTAATGTCGTTTTCTGGGGAAAAAAACGAAATTACCTCTTTGGCTATTTGTAATAATAACATAGTGCAAACTCTGCTGTTTAGGTGCAAGTATTCACAAAAAAAAACATGTATCATCACCGTGTCGAATCTATATATATTCAAATCTAATCATTACATAGGATCTTTCGCATGTATAATTTTAGTGTTTTAACTCGCTTGACTTTTTTAAAAAAAATATTTTTTTTTAACAGCAAGATGAAAACAGAGCGTTACGGTTGAAAACCGATCGTTACGCATTAACGGTGGACGATGACCAGTCAACCAGCAGCAAGCACGTTGAGAGTTCGCCACCGAGTTCCCTGACCAATGACCAGGATATCCGATACACCTCGAGGTCGACGATAAGTAATTACTTGGACGAAGCAGCCTACGTGGCCGGAGGTCATCTCAGACAAGGCGAGGATCCGTACTCAAGGAACAAATTCAATCAGCTGGCTAGCGATAGCTTGCGTAGCAATCGGCCAGTTCCGGATACCAGGAACAGCAAGTAATAAAATATATAGTTGAGATTTGGTTTATTTATTACAATCAATTAGAGCTTAAAAGGCAACATTTTGAAAATGTTTAGGAGACGCATTTAAAATTAAAGTTTATAAAATCGTATTTTGTTCTCTACCACTTTAAATTGGCTTAAAATCAAGGAACTTAAATGATAAATATTAAACATAAATTTAAAAAATCAATCTCCTTTCAAGGAAAGACATTGGATCATGTATATGTATTGATGTATTTGCACGAAGTGTGGATACTTCTAACTTTTTTGATTTTTTTTTTACATTTTGTAGGCACTTGCTAGATTTACATTTTTAATTTTCACACCCTAAATCCTAAAATTTACATATCATCATCATCATGTAGCTTAGTGGTCCAAGAAGGCCCAACTGAGATGGTTTCTTGACGAACTCACTATCCGAGACGGGTGGTCAGTTCATCGCCTGAGAGGGAAATAGCGGTTACTTTTCACCGGACGATTGCTCTACATCTAAGAAAGCGAAATAAAAAAAGATTTTACACCTTTCAGAGAAAAAGTTAATGACATCTAAAGAATATCCCACATAGCTATGAAGTGAATTCGACTATTTTTCAAAAAGTTACAGCTCGTCGTATTTTTAAGTTAAATTAAGCGTTACATTTTTAGGATTTTTTTTTTATTTTGACGGGGAAGGGTCAAGGAGTACGATTTCTGATCTATATAATAGTCACATGAAGAAATCTGCTGACTGTTGTCATATTTATTACTTTTGTATCATATACAGCTCCAGAATTTCAGACCTTATACTTCTTAAATGAAACTCTTCATTCTGTGTCAATAATAAATTATACTAAACTGCGATTGCCGGTCCTTCCCCAACCAGGTTGATTTGCACTAGCTTGTATTTCATAAGAGGTGAAGAAAAAGCAAAATTTTAAATTAGCCCATTAAATCCTAGCAGCTCATTTGAAATCAAGAGGGATAACATGTTGGGAAAATAAGTATTCGCATACTTGAAAATACTACACTTGATTTATTACCGATTAGCCGTTTTCTCGTATAATTAGAGTTATTATCTATGATATGAACAGTCTACATTAATATTACACACCCTGATTTGTGTTTTTTTTACTCGGTATTAGTACTGATATGTATAGTTGTCTTCTGTGTAGATTTTATATTGATTGAACTAACTGATGAAATGTACATTGGACAGGTTACATATTATCGAGAATAGTACCCGAAAGCGATGTCACTCAAACTGAAGTTAGACCAAACTTCGGCTGAAGTATTAATTCAGCCATGATATTTGTTAGATAATTCGGTTCAATAACAGTTATGCCATTTATAATAAAATCGAATCGCATCGATGATGAAATATTATATCTTTTATATAGATTTCACCATACGTAATGGCATAATGATTTAGCATTTATGTTCATTATTCAATGAAAGTATAGGTAGTTGATTTTGAAACGTTCAACAGTTTTGCACTTAAAGTGAGTTCAGGATATTGTTAATAAAATTACCTATGCGCCCTTTAAACGCCGGGTTCACGCTTTATTATCGTTTTACTACCTATTGTAAATTTAAAAAAAATAATTTATCATTTGTAAAACTTACCTGTTAGAAATTATTCCTCAAATTGCGATTTTGTCCATAAAACAATTATTATTGTTTTTTTTTTAATGTATACAATTTTATTCATTTTTTTTTACAGATGTATAGACAAGAAGTACCGTCCCGATTTACCCGAGACTAGTGTGATAATAACGTTCCATAATGAAGCAAGATCTGCACTTTTGAGAACTGTAGTCAGGTAAAAAAATATCTTAATACATATAGCTGAGCAGGGCATCCAAATGACGATTAACCTTAAAGATATCATCTGATCAATACGTCATAGATTTTTTTTAAAAGTAAAGAATATCCATGTTTCAATTTTACATCCTTCCATTTAAAAATGCTAATTAAATCAAATTCGCCTTTCCTTAATTTCAAAATTATAATGAACATTAAAAAATATTTAATTATAATCTTAGTTTTTTAGACAAAATAAGTCAACAAAAAAAAGTTGTATGCGTAATAAGTAGTATTCTACAAAATAGAGTAAAATATATAGTAAAAAAAAAATCTTTATTAAATCTTTAAACCACAAATAATAATTTAGAGTATATTAGTATTTCGGCAGCAATGTTCCTATCATCAGTGCTTACAGAAGATTCAGTCCATTGCTAGAGGTATTATTTATTCTGGTTGTGTTTTTTTTTAGTATTTTATACTTGAATTTATTTTTTCTAATTTCCATTAACATTTTATTCGAATTTAAACATGTATTCACATCATACTATTCTCTAAGCAAAAAAAAGAATGTATTTCTCTAAAAGTAAATGTCAAATGAATATCATTCTAGAAATGCATTATTTTCAAACACTGCACTTGCATCTACTGAAATTGAGGGTTGACGACATTCTTTAATGACATTTTATACAAGTACGCATCTATTCGATTACAAGTTTGGATTCTAAAATTTGATGTAAAAACGGTACGCGTATACGCTACTAACAAGTGTATCATTGTTTTTGGAGTAGGTCATTTTGTAACATTATTATTAATTTATTTCTTAACCTTAACCACAAGTTTTGCTAAGGTTTTTTTCTAGAATAAAATATATTGGTATGTAATATTATGTTTCGGTATTTTTAGCGTTTTAAACAGAAGTCCTGAACATTTAATCAAAGAAATAATTTTGGTGGATGACTTCAGCCAAAACAGTAAGCTTTACACTATAATTTACCGTCATATTAGTTTCAAAATTCATAATCGCGCTATGTTTTAGGTACCGATGGTGAAGAACTGGCGAAAATACAAAAAGTGAAGCTTATACGAAACGAAAAAAGAGAAGGTATATCACGTCATACAAAACTCAATTTATTAGTTTGAAACTAAATAGATGTATTGATATAATTTATTATTATATAAAATCAGTGATCTAACATAATGAGGTGTGTTAGACTAGGTTGATTCTGTTTGTGCATTTTATTCGTCTACGCTCATTGGCCAGTTAAATAGAAAAAGATCACATAATTTAATACGTGGTAAAAAAATAGTGGGTTTGTCGGATTTTTCAAAGACTTGTTTACTATTATTAATGATGAAATTTTAAAATAGAAATGGGAATCGTGCCATGTCGTTTTATTTGTGTTGTTGCGGTATTTCACTTAGTTTTGCTGTTTATAGTTAAAAGAAAAACAACTTTCAGAATACGTCTAAAGCTGTAAGACATAAAATATGGTTTGCACGGATTCCCTTTTGATTCTTTTTAATATTAGATTTTTATCAGCTTGTTCTACTTTGCCAATTAATCCTTATCACTATCATTATTATAGGTAAAAGTTTTAACAGCCGTTTTTCCTTTTTTTCTCCCTTTTTTTTTGTAACGGTTTTTTGGATCGATTTTGATGGGGTTATGACAGCAAAAACAATTATATTTGCTTTTTTAATTTGGTCATAGGTGGGATCAAATTTTATTAATTTAGTTGCGTCTATGATTACTGTTAATTAAAAGATGATTTTTTAAATTTATTGATCTTTGACCGTGTGTTTTTTTGTTATAGGGTTAATGAGGTCTAGAGTTCGGGGAGCAGACATGGCCACTGCGCCAGTATTAACATTTTTGGACAGTCACGTCGAGTGCAATGTGAATTGGCTAGAACCACTTTTGGACCGTGTGACTGAGGTATGTTGACACTGTGTATAAATACATAGTTTGGAATTCTTTTTGATTTTCAAATAATAAACAAATATAACGCATATTTGTATGATCTAAATGGATGTTCCAGGACCCGACCAGAGTTGTTTGTCCGATTATTGACGTGATCAACATGGACGACTTCCAATACATTGGCGCGTCGTCTGAACTCAGAGGCGGATTCGATTGGAATCTAGTGTTCAAATGGGAATACCTATCGAAAGACGTTAGGGCCCAAAGGATAATGGACCCCACTTTGCCCATAAGGTATTGGACAAATGATTTAATTAAAAAAATATTACTTGAATCAGATAAAATATTACAACAAAAACTTTACATTGTTTCAAACACAGTGTGTGGGTGAGCACGATATGGTCAAGGTGCAAAAAAAATGTTTGTTTGAGAATTGGATTCAATTCAATATATTATATGTGTTGTAACTGTACAAAACACAGGCGAGGTCGTAGCGAATAGAACGAATACAATAATATATTTGTATTAAACGTTTAACAATTTTTCATTGGAATTTTTCCAAATATTCAACAATTGTCCGCAATATTATGAATTATGTATTGAAAATAACGCTTCGGACTGAGTTATAATACTCAGTTCATTGAAATAACGACAAACGTAGAACTAGAACTAATATGAAGGGAGATCCATAAAGAACGCCGGATTTTAAGTTGCTATAAATCAAAATTATTTTTGAATAACAAGGAAAAAACACACACATTCTCCTTATCTCAGAAGATATTAAGGTTTAAACATGAAAAACAACATCAGGCATATGACCCCACTAACATCACCACGCATCTCTCCGCCAAGTTCGTTGAAGACACATCGAATTTCTTCTTTAAGTTTTAACAAATTTCTGGATTTGTTCTGGTAAACCTTTGACTTGGTGTATCACCATAAGAAAAAATCGCACGGTGTCAAGTCAATTGGATCGTGTTGGCTAGGGTTAGTCTCCTCATAACGAGATAATTCGATCTAAAAACTTCTCACGCAGCAGAGTGATTGTTTCTTCTGAAGTGTATTTCTTATTCTTTATCCTTTCCAGATAATTTTAGTTGCATAATATTAGGTGTCGTTAGATATCGGTGTGTCCGCAATCTACAGTATGTGTTGGAATCTAATGATCTGTTACAACTTCTACACCATTCTGCAAATTTAAAAAACAAGTTGACTTTAAGATTTTTTTGTAAATAAAAATATTAAGTTTGTAAAATTGAGGTTTTAACACATGTTCAAACGGTATAAGAACAAAATACTTAGGAAAAAAATTTGTTTTGATGAAAATCTATTTTTATCCAAAATTGTTTTAAAATCAAAATCAATTTATTTAAAATCTGTATAACGTATTATTATGTTTAATATCTTACCTTAACTTTGAAAAAATCGAATAATTTTGAACAAAAATCTACAATTTCTAAATAAACTTTCAGTTTGTGTTGAAATTTAAACTTCCTACGGAATACGGGGTAATTTTCAACATGGGGTTATGATTTAGGTGATTTCTACCGTTATGTTATTGTATTATATTATATATAATTTTTGTATGGTTTTGTTTTTTTGTTTTACAGAACTCCTATGATAGCCGGCGGATTGTTCGTAATGGATCGCAATTATTTCATAAAACTCGGAAAATATGACATGGAAATGAATATTTGGGGAGGCGAAAACTTAGGTAAGCGTTTTTTGGTGTCGTTTATTGCTAGAACATGGTAGACTTAAATAATGGAATAATATTTATAATTTAATTCAGAATAGACACTCAGAGATAATAAATCACATAAGAATATCAGAAATTATTCATTTGGTTTTTTTTGTCGGAGAAATTAATTTTTAATTTTATGCATACTTTATACTTCTTTTTTTAGCAAAACTAATTTAAGATGGTTTGTTTGGATCACGACTCGCGAATATTAGAGTAACTTTATGTACGAGTTATACAGAGGAGCTGTTCCTTGTAGTGCCTATTGCTCGTATTTGATATTGATATAATTAAAAAATATCCTGATTCCTAAAAAATCGTTGGAAAAATATTTGCTGAAAATGTATTTACAAAATGTTTTACATAAAATGTATTTTTTTGCGAAACTATTAAATTGTTACTATTGTAAATAGCTGTGGCTGTTATTCGTGTAGGACTATAAATAGGTAGTTAATCGGTAGGTAGCGAGCACATAACCTAACCTAAACTATTAAATACTCATACCCGAGGATATAGTAAAATGCGAAATTACGTACCAAACTTGTATAATTATTAATTTGCACGTTTACATTTAACCATGCTATCATTATTGTTGTACGTACTATAATTTCGTGTAATTATCGTTTCTTTAATTCTTTAATAATGTCACATAAAATATATTATATTGGCACATTACAGTGTACAGTGTACCATCGAAATCTTACGGCGTGTCATATTAAGTGCTTATTTTAGGTTGGAATTCAGAATATCATGTGCGGCGTCTAGAGGCTTAAACTAATTTACACTAATTCTATTATTACATTTTGACGTTTTTTGTCTGTCTAGAAATATCGTTCAGAGTGTGGCAATGTGGCGGTAGCTTGGAAATCATACCTTGCTCTCGGGTCGGACATGTGTTCCGAAAACGACATCCCTACACGTTTCCAGGTGGCAGCGGCAACGTGTTCGCCCACAACACTCGAAGGGCCGCCGAAGTTTGGATGGATCGCTATAAAATATATTATTACAACGCAGTGCCTATGTCCAGGACCGTAGCATTTGGAAAGTGAGTTTGTAAATTTATTTTTAAAACATGAACAAAAGTAGCAGCATTTTTCGTTTTTCGAAATCTCTGGGAGAAGTCAGGAGAGTCCTGACCACTTGAGAAATATCTTTCAATCATCCTATAAACAGCTGATACTATATTATACAGTATGTATATGTATAAGGTAGGGTTTTGTAATGAAGGAGAAGGGGGTTAACCAAATCAGGTGGAGGTCGTAAACTTATTGTAGGGGCACATTTTTTTATAGAACAACAGCATCTTACTAACGAGTTGTATTATTTAATTATTTACAACATTCTTCTATCACACCTGTATTTACATATTAGCTTTGCTAATGTTTCGAAAGCTTTATATCTTCAATTGAATTACCTTTTTGGGTACTAAAATTTGAAACGTCAAAATTATCTACTGTTTACTGGTACGGTTCCATAACAGAAAAATGTATTCTAAAAAAAAAAAGTGTTCTGAAATAGTTTATAAATTCTTAATTTTTTAATTATTATTTTTGTTAGTTTATTATATTATGGTAGTTTGTAAAATTACATTCCTTTGCTTTATAATTTTTTTTGAAATAGTACTCAGAAAAAAAATGTTTGTAAGAAATTTGATAGAGACTGTTATAACTTATAACTGTTCCAAAACGTAAAATTGCATTCTATAGAGTATTATTATATTGTATAAATAAATAGTATAGTTAAAAAATAATAAAAATTAAAAAACAAACAATATTGCGTGAGCGAAGACCCTCAAGTTCGGCTCTCAAGATTTGTAAATATATTCTTAAAACAAAATAGGACTATATCAGTGCTTTTATGTCAAAATGGTTCAATTCGTTTTGTGGGGTATGGTTAATTTTAGTCTGAACTCCTCCTCACTTCACCGCCAATTCGCAAGAGTATTACAATTGTAACGTTTGTACTAATACTAATGTATTTAATTTTTTTTTTTTTTTTGCAGCATAGCAGATCGGCTTGCTTTGAAAAAGAATCTCGGCTGCAAACCATTTAAGTGGTACTTGCAGAACGTTTACCCGGAGTTGAAAGTGCCGACCACCGTGGATTTGTACGTTGGTAGCCTGAGACAGGGCAACTGGTGTTTGGATACTTTGGAAAACCAAATCGGCAAGACGGCAGGTCTCTATCCGTGTCACGACTACGGCGGCAATCAGGTACTTATGACCGAAAAATACCTCCGGCAACAATCCATCAGCTTGTAACAATGATATGTTCTTCTTGTTTAGGAATGGACGCTGACTGTGTCTGGTTCGATCAAGCACGACAGCACGTGCCTGTCTCCGATAGACTACTCTGCTTTGAGTCTGATACTGATGAAACCCTGCGATTCATCTACCGACGAAGTATGTACAATATTTTAATGTATAAACTCGACGATTTCTATTTCCAACTGACACAGAAACATATATTATACAGGATAGATTTTAATTTGTTTTCTTTATAATTACTGACTACAGTCTACAGTTATTGTACAGCTACACTACTGTACTCGACGCATTTTTTTACGCTTTTAGCGTTTTAAATATGGACTATTTTACTTACTACGTTTTTACAAAACAAAAACTTTTTTATTCTTTATAATGTCATACAGCAGCAATCAGTTTGGTCAAAAATGTACTTGCGTCTTGCAATATTTTTTAATTATCCCACGTTTCTACTTTCTTAACCCAAAACCGAAAATGAAATCTATTGAAACTTTTATTTCGTAATTAATAAGTACATGTTGTAAGAGGTTAAACAAATTCTATACTTGGTTGACTAAAAAGTCCATAAAATATTCGGAAGCAGCAGCTTAACCTCAAATTATAATTATAGTTGTAATAAACGTCAAAGGGAGTAAACCATATATTTGATTTTATTGATATAGTATTTTAACGGTTCTTACTTCGTCCAAATGGCGTCGGTACTTAAACCTATCACAATCCGTGACTTATAAAAAACCTGACTAAAATAATAAATGTTAAAAAAAATTAGTGATAAGTGTTAACTATAAGTTGTTTACACTTTAATTTAATCGTCTACTCAAAACTATATAGGAGTGGGTTTTAAATAAGGAGTGGTTAATTTTTAATTAATATAACAACAAATAATACGTTTTAAATTTCTTATGTTAATTTTGAATGGTGTTTTTATTTGTGATTTCTGTTTTAGTGGAAGTACGACGAAAATACCAAACAATTGAGACTAAAAGCTGTCAACCTGTGTTTGGACACTTTGGGAGTACACGACATGATGAGCGTTAACGTGTGCGACAGTATGAATTTAAATCAGAAATGGGACTACTTGATTGCGAGTGGAATCGAAAACGCATAGTTTGAGCATAGCGATACAATATGCATTTATTAAAAAAACAAACAAACAATTGCGATGTAAAAAATAACGGTAGGGCTAACCACGACGCGTCGGTGGCCTAATGCCTAATGGATATTCGGGAATCAAAAATATAATCTACTTAAAACTAATTTAAGGATTCAGGCGTGGGGGCTACTTAGCGACATCAAATAGTGGCATTGTTTGTAGCTCGTGATCGTCTTGGAATTTTAAAACAATGGGTTTTTTTTATTTCCACCGGAAAAGAACAAAAATTATGATTGCGTACAAATTCTTACCTCACACAACTATTAAAATATATAGGTCGTCCGCTCTTGTTTTTAGTATAAAGACAATTCTTGAAATAACAAACAAATATTCCTTAAACGATCCTGTGCTGTACTTAACAGATAACACAACAATTGTTGTTTGTTATCATTATTAATTATAATAGGAATCTTTTTTTGAACAATATTAAACAAAATATACCTTTATAGCTGTATTTAAGGTATGTGTATTAAAACTCCTTTTTATACTTACAATTATTTTTTTCTTGTTTTAAGTTTTTCTAAGATATTGTTTAATGGTAAAATATATAGTTAAGAAGTAATTAATTATAAGGCTGTGATTTATATCTTACCATGTTTAATAATATTATTATGTTTATTATTTGATAATATAATTCTTGTTTTTCATTTTCATAAAAAAAATTAATAACACTTGTTATTTAACTACAGTCCATATTATTGTTATACTGTAAAATTTAATTTTAAAAGACTGTGAATATTGAGTTTAGCTTGTAAAATTTGTTTTGTATAGTAACATGTATTGTATACATATTTTGTATCTAAAAGTATGTCGAAAATTTTAATAGAAAATAAAATTAGGAAAACAAAATTTATATTTTGCTTTTGACTTATTTATTTTATGAATTTAATAGGGTAGTGAAGCAGTACTTTAGTTTAAAATGATATGCTTTTGTGCTGGTGTAGGTATACTGATTACTGTACCTGTAGAACACGAGTAAAAGACAATCGTACGTAGGTACCTTATTATTAATAACTAATTAGTGTATTATAACCTATAAAAGAGTTGTATTTTAATTTTGAAATAACTATATGTTGCTCTACAATCGTATAAATAAACAAAACTTAAAAAAAAAAAATAATTATGATAAAAAAAACAGCACGTGGGGATGGGACATATAGGTTAAAGAAATTACAACCTATTTTGATCCTAAAGGCTAAATTGAACATGGTGTAAACATGAAAAAAGAAAAATCAACAAAAATCGCAATACTTAACTATAAGAATAATATACTGTATTTGAAGTCACGTATTTTTTTCGGTTTACCTTGATAAATAAAAAGTTTGCTTACAGTTTTACAAAAAAATGGTATATGTTAGGTCACGCTAAGGTAGATCTATTGTGACATTTTCAAACCTCAACTCTAAAAACTATTGATAAAAATGCTGATTAAAAAAAAGAACCAGAATTTTTATGACAAAGAGTTAATGGGTTGGGATTAATAATTAATTAAATGGAATCAGTAAGTTTTGAAATTCAATGTGTTAGTTAGTTTTACAAGTTTATTTCTATAAAAATATGAGTGTTTGTAAGTTCTGATCTAAAAGCTTTTATTGTAAATTAAACTGATGAAATACAGTTCTATCAACATACAGTTTAACATAATTTTACATATAGCCTGGAAATAAAAGTACATTTTTGGGGATCATAGTGCCCTGTAAAAATACATTATATTAACAATGTAAAAAACAATTTAAAAATGTTAATTTCAAACAGAAAAAAAAATCCCTTTACATATTATACAAATTTAAATACGAGTATAGTGGTAATTGATTGGAAATGAAAACTAATGTATACTACGCATCTTTCGAGGTGCATACTTATAAGAGAGAAAGATGTTATTTTGAAAATGTCAAAAAATATACACGCACCTATGTTTCCTTAGGAAGAAATTACCTAAATACGCCAATGATTAGAATATGTTAGAATACTTAACACCTAACACTCTTAGACCTTAACCTTTGTTGTCTTTGTCATGTATTATTATTAAGTTTACGCCGTGCCATGAAGATGGAATTTTAACAATGCGGTAAAATGTTTACAAAATAACCACAATTAACTAAAAAAATGTATTTATGAAAGAACAACGACTTTAAAACATTTAACTCGACTTTAAGACAGAAGGCAATTAGTTAAGATTAATTTAATAAAAATACTGACTATTCGATTGAAAAATTTAATGTAAAATATTTAATAAAAATTTCCCCAAAAAAATGTATTACCAAATGGATACATAACAAAAAAATCAAATCTTAACAGGCAACTATATTAAATTGTATAACAATCATTTTATTAGGGATTATGTTTTTAATAAAAAAAAAAGATGTATTTACAGAATCTTGCAAATAATGTATATGTTATAGAGATAATAGATATCAAAAATAAAATATGATGGACCAATTTAATATGTGTATATCAATATTTATATGTATATTAATATATTTAATAAAATATGTGGACCAATTTGATATCACATGTTTAAGAGAGCCAATCAAATAGGTCCGTGTATTTTTATATGGACATTGACCATTGTCATAGTTATTATTATTATACATAATATTATTATCAACAAATTCGACGGCATGCCGGCATAATGATAACGGTAATCAGATAAAGACATAACAATGGGTATTGATATCAATCCACCTTGGGTATTATGACATTTTTATGTTGTAGTAGTAGATAAGCATTTTGATCAAATATCAGTTGAAAATAATTAATAATAATAAATCGTGTAGTAGAATTTATTAGATATTATATTAATTAATTTAATATTGCCATGTTACCTAAATGTAATTTAATTGAATATTTGTTTTAATAATTTTTTACCAAAGAGAAAAGTTGTCGCAATCATCATTATTCTAATCATTATTAAACATTAATTGTAAAACATATTGCTGAATAATGATACCTTAGGACGTTAAATTAATTGAAATACACCTTAGAACATTTTATTGAAATGGAATTGAATATGATTGTTTAGTACCTGCAAATTAAAAGTAATGGTAATTTATATTTTGATTATAAATTATAATTAAATTGTTTTTTTATTTGAATGGTTTATATTTTAGAATTCAATTATGTTTGTTACCTGGAATTGGACCGAACTATGTGGTCCCGATGACTTTGTTCCTATTATTCGACCTGGCTATGTTCTTAGTTCATGTGCAGAAATGTCGATTATTCAGCTGCCTGTTTTATTTACATTTCTGCTGACATCGGCATATTATTGTGGAAATTTAACTGATTGGATTGTACGCACGAGGCGAGAAACATATGTCCTCCGTTTCCGTACAGTGGTTTCTGGTCTGTTAGCAGTATTGCCGGCATTTCGACTCATTTGGGAAGCATACAAATTTACCGAAAGCCGATTGTATCCAGTAGAAAACTTAGTACTGGCAATACAGTGTTTTACTTGGATTGTACACACTTTTTATGTTCTATGTGTTAGACACCGTTTGGGAACAAGTCTTAGTGGTCGAAAGTCAGTATTAGTTTCGTGGGCTCTATGTTTTTCATCTTCTACTGTATCAGTATGGAACGGCTATAAACAATTTAATGAAAATTCTGATATTCCACTTTTGAAAGAGAGATTTTGGTTCAGAATTATTGACATGTCATTGCAAATATGCTATTTATTTACATTGTTCTTCAGAGCTGATGTGTTGAGGACGAGATATGTGGATCGATTGCGTTTTCTAGCTCAGGTAATATCAATACATAATTAATAACTTCCCAATAGATTCATGTATAATTAATTAATATTTTATTAATTAACTGAATTTTTTTTTTTTTTTAGCAATCCGTCGAAAGGCGTTCTTTAATGACCTCATCATACAGTCGTTTTAATGATGAATTTGACCCATACTATTTGGGAATGGCATGTGATAATGAACATTATAATTTTTTCTCTTGGTTAACATTTGGCTGGGTCGAAAGATTGATATCTAAAGGAGACAAGAACCGATTGCAGAGTCCAAATGATTTATTCGATCTACCGGAGAGATTAACGCCAGTTTATGTTTCATCTAAGGTGGAAGAAGTATTCAGACATCAGCCTTCAGTCAGAGCTACATCGCCCATTCATTTGCCAGCTGATCATCAATCACGTGTGCCCAGGGTATCGTTATTACAAGCATTGTACAAATGTTATGGCAAACAATTCTTTGGTATTGGAATATTAAAATTTGTAGCGGACATTTGTGCATTTATTGCTCCTATTTTTTTAAACAAGTTAATAACTTTTGTGTCTCATCATGAAGAACCTATGAGAAATGGGTATTTTTACATGGGCGGACTTGTCTTAATGTTGTTGTTAAGTAAGATGATTTTAACATTTTTTTATTCTAATGTTAACCTTAGGTTAAATTAATAAAATGAACTGAAATTTAAAAATTTTAAATGTATGTTTATTCAAGCTTCAATTTTTGGAACACATTTCGATTATCAAATTCATATACTTGGAATTAAAATTCGGGGTACATTAGTGACAATGATTTATAAAAAGACTTTAGCGTTAAATACAGTAACACTTAACAACTTCAGGTTAGTATTAATTCTAATGTGTAAATTTGAATTATTTTTTTATAACAATATGTAATTGTTATTTTTCAGTATCGGAGAAGTTATAAATTTTATTAGTACAGATACAAGTAATTTGGTGAATGCGTGTAATAGTTTCCATTCATTGTGGAGTGTTCCTTTTCAGGTAAAATAAAATATAGACTAAAAAATACCTCATTCGATATTGCTCCATTTTATTTTTTTTGCCAAATAAAGTATCATTATTATAATTATTACTATTATTAATTAATCTTAGAATTTGTTTGTTTTAAGTTAGTTTTAGTTTTGTTCTTGCTTCATCAACAACTAGGACTTGCTTTTTTATCTGGAGTATTGATTTCTGTACTTTTAATTCCCGTAAACAAAATCATTGCCACTAATATCGGTGAGAAATTAAAAAAATATATAATAACACATAAATAGATTTGTACACAAAATAAATGTAAATGATTTAAATACCTGTAATTTTGTTTATTTTTATTTAGGTAAGTTTACTGGAAAATTAATGAATGAAAAAGACAAGCGTGTAAAACTCATGTCCGAAATAATTAGAGGTATCAGAGTCATTAAATACAATGTATGGGAGAAATATTTTATCGAAAAAATTAGCAGTAAGTTGTTAAATAGAATACGACTGGCATTTAAAAATATTAATCTCATATTAAATTTAGATTTAAACAATTTTTTTTAGGTTGTCGGAAACCTGAAGTAGTAAACTTAAAAAAAAGGAAATATTTGGATGCACTTTGTGTGTATTTTTGGGCTACAACGCCAGTAACAATTTCAGTATTAACATTTTCAACTTATATAATTATGGGCGGGCAATTAACAGCGGCTAAAGTTTGTAAATTCTAATATATTGAAATTTAAATACAAATTATCTGTTATATTTATTAAATTATAATATTTGTTTCCCATTATAAAAGCTTTTGCTTACAATTTTGTTTAGGTTTTCACTAGTATGGCGCTGCTTCAAATGTTAATATCGCCATTAAACGCTTTTCCTTGGATACTGAACGGTATAACCGAAGCATGGGTATCAGTTAAACGAATTCAACGTTTGATTGAAGTATGCATTAACAAAACATCAAAACACTAGATTGAATAAATAATTTTTTTAGTATGAATGATGGTTTAGGTTGATGACTCGCAAGCGCAATTTTATTATAGTCTTATGCCAGTGCAGTACGGTCGTACATTTGACAATGCAGTTTCTTTAAATCATTGTTCATTCAATTGGGGACTTAGGACTTTTCAACTTAAGAACATACATTTTTCTGTTGCCAAAGGATCTTTTGTCGGCATTACAGGACCCGTGGGAAGCGGCAAATCTACTTTGTTAGCTGGTATTTTAGCTGAAATAAATAAAGAAGAAGGAACAATAGCTATATCAAACATGAGGGACGGTATGAAAAATTTAAACATTTTTTGTTTTTTTAAAAAATAATAACAGTGTTAAAAACATATATATATTAGGGTGGTCGTTAATTTCGATTTTGAGGAGCAAAGTATAAAAATGAGTTTGAAATATCAAAAAAAAAATCCCCAATTTTTTCAGATGTTTCACTTAAGAATATCAGGTGCTGCACAGGGCCTCAAGATTTGTATTGAAATAACATTGTTATTATTTATTTTCCAATAATTGTTTTATTACAACGGCTAATTAACTGCAAACAAATTTTCAACTATGAAGAATTGTCGGGAATTGGTGCTGGAACAGACGAGAATGTAGATAAAAGACAATCCAATTAATTTTCAATTTATACAAGCCTGAAGCCACCTATATAACGAAAGAAATAAAAAACAATTCATATTGTATGTTAATTATAGATTTTAGTAGAAATAAACTAATATCGATAGTAGGGTTTTTGTTTTATTTTTAATTTTTAGTGACATTTTTGTTTAGCTTTACTTTATACATTGCTCTAGAGTAGTATGAATTATATACAATAATATGTAAACACGAGTCATAATGTAGATATCATTGTAACAGTCTGAATTTAGAAGTATTCATTATAATTATAGAATATGCAAAAAATGTCATATAGGTGGCTTGTATAAATTTATTATTGTATAATTAATTGGATTGTCTTTTATCTACATTCTCGTTTGTACCAGCACCAATTCCCGACAATAAAAACCATTGTAATAAAATAATTATTGGAAAATAGATAATAACAATGTTATTTCAATACAAATCTTGAGGCCCTGTGCGGCACCTGTAATTCTTAAGTGAAAAATCTGAAAAAATTAGGGCATTTTTTTCGACATTTCAAATCTATTTCTATACTTCGCTCCTCAAAATCGAAATTAACGACCACCCTAATGTATATATTTTAAACGGTTTTTAGGATTCGCATTTGTCGCACAAACTCCTTGGATTCAAAAAGGGACAATTAGAGATAATATTTTATTCGGACAAAGTTATAGTTTAGAAAAATACAGGTGAAAACTCTAATTATGATATTAAGATTTATAAATGTTTGAGTTAATATTATATTAAACATTTTTATGGTGAACAGAGCAGTGGTCAAATGCTGTGCTTTGGTCGAAGATTTACAAGGGTTTTCTGCAGGTGATTTAACTGTGATCGGTGAAGCGGGAACTACATTAAGTGGAGGTCAGAAAGCTCGGTTAGCTCTAGCGCGAGCAGTATACCAAGTATGTCAATTGAAATTACTCTTTTCTAAATGAATTATGTTAAACCTCTAATTGATATTTTAATAGTATAATACAATTGTTTTTAGAACAAAAGCATATATTTACTAGACGATATTTTTGCATCGGTTGATGTAAACGTTGCTCAGCATTTATACAAACATTGTGTTAACGATCTTCTCAAAAACAAAACTCGTATTATTTGCACACACAATACAGAATTCTTGCTTGAAGCTGATTGGATAATAGCTATGAACAACGGTGAAATTGTAAATCAAGGGAAACCTTTTGAAATATTAAGCGATTACAATATAAAGACGCTGAGTGTTAAATTTGACGAATTAAGTTACAATTCAAAGGTGGAAGCAATCGATTGGATGCCGACAAAAGAATCTGATGTTACCTACGACTTGATCGATAAAGAAAACCAAGAAGAAGGTATTGTTGCTCTGTCAATCTATAAGCACTATTGGAATGCTGTTGGAACCGTTGTTGGATGGCTTTTATTTTTTTCCATGTTTGCAATGCAGGTATGAATTCTCATTATAATTTATAATAAAAAAAAAGGAACGTTAATAAAATAATATTTATTTTAGGCCTCGAGAAATTTGTCCGATTTATGGTTATCCCATTGGGTTAATGAAATGTCAGGCTCGAATAAAGGTTAATACTTTTTTCATTGTTATATTTTTTTTTTAAAAAGTCCCAGAAATAAAATATAAAAATGATTGTTTTGTTTTATGTAATACATTTCAAGAGCAAGACGATGACAAGAAATATTTATATACTTATACTATGATTGGGATGGTTAATTCGGTGGCCACATTTTTCCGGGCTTTTATATTTGCATACGGTGGAATTAAAGCGTGTATTAAGATACATGACTGTTTGCTTACATCTACATTAGGAGTAAGTTTTGATTGTTTTTATTATTTTCTTAGTTAAATATAACTAATATTATATTGTACACTTTTGGTTTTAGGCAAAAATATCATTTTTCGACATAAACCCTCTTGGTAGAATATTAAATCGGTTTTCATCAGACACCAACGTGATTGACGATGGTTTGCCATTCATTTTGAATATTCTACTTGCTCAATTATTTCTTGCATTGGGCACAGTAGGCTCAATTCTGATTGGCGCACCATGGGCCATAGTGATAATTGTGATATTGACACCCGTGTATTATAAACTGCAAAAACGATACAGGAATTCATCGCGTGAACTCCGGAGAATATCGTCTATAGCTTTATCTCCTCTATACAGTCATATTAATGAATCATTACACGGACTGGCTACTGTACGAGGTTTTAGAGTAGTTTCAAGGTTAATTGACATTTTAACCTACATTTTCATTAAAAATTTGTTTATTGCTAAAATTGTTGTTTTCTTTTAATCTTTCAGATTTGAACGTGATAATGAAGATAAACTAGAAAACTATTTAAAAGCCGAATTTTCCTCCCAATTGGCTTCGCTGTGGTTCAATTTCAGATTAAAACTAATAGGCTTATCCGTACTTCTATTTATTGGCACAATTGCAGTTTTTATTCATAAATGGAATCTATCCAATCCTGGTTTGTATTAGCTATTGCTTATTGATAAAATTAATTGTTAATATTTCATTAATTACAACAATAAATAATTTTTTAATTTAGGGCTTCTCGGATTAGCGTTAACATACGCATTGACACTAACGAGTATACTTGGACAATTGGTGGGAGCTGTTGCAGCAACTGAATGCGATATGATTAGTTTAGAACGTGTTTTAGATTACATAGACAATACAGAGCGTGAGACTGATACAGAAAATTCTGTGCCACCGCCATTTGCTTGGCCAACCAGTGGAATTATACAGTTTTCTAAAGTTTTTTTGAAATATAGGTAAACCTTAATTTGAATTCACATATTTTATAGTTGTATGTATTTTTTTTTTCTTGTACTCTGTGTGACATTGGTTTAGATATAACGGACCCATGTCTTTGAATGGTGTGTCTTTTGAAACATACGCTTCAGAAAAAATTGGTGTTATCGGACGGACAGGAGCTGGAAAAAGTTCACTGCTAACTGCCTTGTTCAAAATGCATGAGATAAACAGCGGAACTATTTCTATAGATGCTGTGGATTTGTCTAAAATTTCTTCTCGGCAAATCAGGTAAGTTAATCAGTTTATACAACGAGAGAGCTTAAATGAAATTGTGTATAATGTTTTCTAGAAACCGTTTGTGTATAATTCCTCAAGATCCGTTCCTATTCGAAGGTACGATACGCGACAACATTGATCCATTCAAAGAGTACATGGATTCAAATATATGGTCAGCGCTTCAATGCTGCCATTTGGTGCCTACCGTCAAACGTATGGGCGGACTTGGATGTCGTTTAGGAGATAGTAATAACATGTCAGTGGGAGAGAAACAGTTATTGTGTTTGGTCAGAGCTGTACTTAAAAATGCAAAAATAGTATGCATCGATGAGGCAACAGCCAATGTCGATAAAATAACAGATCAAAAAATACAAGAAACAATTAGGACAGCCTTCAAACAAAGTACAGTTATTACAATTGCTCATAGAATTAGCACCGTTATGGATAGTGATCGGTAAATTGGTTTTTATTAATTGGAAGGATAGAGAACTTATAGCTCTTAAAAAGCTTAAATATGCACTAAAAAAAGCCACTTGCTGCACTCGAGGGTTTTTTACAGATTATACATACAACATTACTAATTTTTCTTCAAATTAAATGCGAACAATACATTTTGTGTTAAATGAACGATATTGCTTTACTAGAATTTTGTAGAATCGTGGTCAATAACGAGTATAATTAAAACAATAAATATAACCTATTCATAGTCCATTCATGGAGTGGAGGTAAATTGCGAGACGAAAATATTGGAGTTCTGAGTTGCTTAGTGCATACAATTGACAAAAAACAAAATTTATTATAAATATAAAATAAAATAAACTATAAGAAGTATGTTAAAATAAAAGTTAAAGCCTAAAAATTTTAAATTAAATTATGAATTGGCATAATGAAAGAAATGTGCCAATGCTAGAAGTTCTTTGTTCTATTTAATTAGATAATACAATATTATACACAATTGATGATTTTATTTTCATATTGTGACAAATTTCAGGATACTAATAATGGACAACGGGATAGTTTTGGAATTTGATTCTCCCAATGTTTTGCTGCAAAATAAAAACTCATATTTTTATAATATGGTGCAGCAAGAGTTTAAATAAAATGTTTTGATCTCATGTGTACAGTATGGTGGTGATTTATATTGATATATAAATTGTATCACAAAACGTTTTGATCTTCTGACATGAATTTTTATTGTTATTTTATTACCCATCAATTTATAATTAATTATCTCTCCGATATAGATTTAAAATATTCCTAAACAAATGTAATCATTTTAAACAAAATATATATGTATTATAATTATTTATTTATTATAATGATGTGTAATATTTATTTATACTATCCATTTTGTATTATATTCTATTGTTGACTCGTTCATTTATTATTTTAATTAATATAGGTAAATTATTATTATTATTGTAAATTATAAAATATATTAACTGTTATTCTAGTGTTTATCATTATTGTGGTTTAAAATAGTATCCTTTAAAATCTATTGACAATTTATACTTTAATTAAACAAGAGCGAGGCATATACAAAAGGTTGTGCCTAAACAAGTTACTTCCAACTTGTACCACTGCACTGGTAATACCAAGCAGTAAAGTATTAGGGCGGTACAAATTTGAACTATTTTGATATTTTTTTAGTACCCTCTTAATTTTTTAATTATCTTTAAAAAAACGTAAATTATGCCAAATTTTAACTGAATTGAACAATAAGAACACGTACCACAATGCCTTCAAAACACCAATTATTGAGCCCAACTAGCTAAGTAACAAAAATATTAAAAACAATGGGTTAAATTTAATTTTGTAAGATATCATTTCATTGGAACCTATATGAAAGGTAAAATAAAATATTTTGTTCATAATATTATCATTTTTTAAACATTAAATTAATTATTAAGGTATTAAATTAATAAATCCCAAAAGTATGAAAACTCTTTATTTTTGTAATAAATCCTATGATTTAAAATAAAAATAAAGTGATACCAATTAGTAGTTCTTAATGGAGCCAAAATAAATACTTAAGAAAATTCACCCTAAAATTGTTTTTTTTTAATAGCCTTCCCCCCACCCCCGGGATTTCAATGTCATTTTTTACATTCTATGGTAATTTATGTCAAAAATATATACTGCGACTCACAAGGGAACGACTGTACACAGAAACTAAAACACATTACTACTGAATACAGTTTGAGCAAGTGCATTCGGGAGTAATGTGTTTTAGTTTTTGCGCACGGTCATTCTCTCGTGAGCCACAGTAAAAGTTGTTTGAATGGTTCCTGTCTAGTATTTTGAGCTAATTATAAATTATTAGTTGGGATTACTCCAATTTTTATTTCTATTTATTATTTAATAAAAATAATTTTAATATTTTGGACACTTAATTAACCTCTTTATTTTTCGTTTAAATTGTGAGATTAGATAATAATCGTTATACCCTTTTTAGGTTCCACTAAAATTATAACCAACAAAAAGTTTTAATTTAAACCACTGATTTTAATATTTTTCTTATTTAGCTAGCTGGGCACTAAATTGGTGTTTCGAAAGATTTCCGGTACGTGTTCTTATCATTCAATTCAGTTAAAATTTGATATACTTACGATTTAAAGATAACAAACAAATTGAGGGGGTACTAGTAACAATATATCTAAAAAGTTACCACCCTAGTAAGTAGTGTTTAAAACAATGTTATTATTAAATATAGTTAATGTTGTGAGTAAAATAACCCCTAATTTAATTACACTGTATTTTTATGCCATTACCATTATTGGTGAATTGTCTAAAATTTATTGATATGCAACATAATTCTAAATTATTAAATCAACACTGTTTAGTATATTGAATACAATTTATGAACTAAATTTTTCAATAAATACACTAGATGCAGTATGATAATTTTAACAATACTATTATTTATTGTATGTGTTTCACATATTTTAATATATATGTGTATAACAATTGAAGGCATTAAAATAGTTGTAATAGTTAAACCAAATAATTAGCGTCGGTTTTTTTAAAATATGTTGTAAAAGGTCTTAGAGCATTGATACATTAAATAGAAAAAAAATGTTATCAAAGATAAATTGTACAAAACATTAATTTCTATTTTTACCACGGCCGTGTTTGGGTCGTTTTTTATTTGTTAGTGATTTTTCTTCAGCAGCTGCAACTATTTCTTTATCTTTGACTTCTGTTTGGTCCGTTTCTTCTATACCATTTGTTTCATTAACTTCATTTTCTTCGTTATCTTCATCATCGGTATGTTCACTTTGAGGAATGACATTTGAGAATTTTTTAAGTTTTGCAACAAAAAAACCATCCATATTGTGTGTATGAGGGTAAAAACGTCTAGTAAGTTTCATTGTAGGATGAAATCTAGAAATTTATAAGATAAAACTTAATTACTAATAACATTAAAACATATAGAATAACTTTAACTATTTAATATACAGAGCATATACCTATGTTGACGTAGATTAGTGAAGCCTTCGGTACCAAAACTTAAACCGGTGTCCACTAATTTAACATCTCTCTTTTTTAGAGCATAATCGATGACACATTCGTTTTCTTCAGCCTAAATTTAAGTAATATCAACTATTTTTGTATTAGACTTTATGTAATTTAAAAATAATTCTTACTAAAATGGAACACGTAGAGTATACTAAATAACCGCCTGTTGAACTTTTAAAGTTTAATGAATCGATGGCAGCTAATAAAAGTTCACGTTGAAGTGTAAAACATCTTTGCAAATCGGTTTCATCTTTACTCATTTTGACACCAGAATCCTTGCTGATAACTCCAGTTCCAGTACAAGGTGCATCTAGCAATACTCTATCAAAGTTTTTATAAATCTGAAAAACCATGAGTAAGGTTGGTTAAATGCTTTTTTTTAACAATTTTTCCTGTATCTACATTACAATTAACTTTTCCTAAATCTCTCATTCATGGTTTATAAAATTTGCTTAACACTTTTGTTTAGTTTATTTTAAGCCAACAATCAAGTGATAAAGCTAATATACTAAAAGGCAGTAAGATAATAGCTTGTAAAATTTAAATGATGATCATTACTTTTTACCCGATTAATAAACATGATTTTCAATGCACATTATTTACCTTAGATATCTGTCTACCATCATATGTTGATATAACGGAATTAGCAATTCCCATTCTGTGAAAATTACCAATAACAGCTTTTGCTCTATTTTTGTTAACATCATTTGCAATTAATACTCCGGTATTTTTCATGATAGCAGCTAAAATGTAAATATAACCACAATACAACTAATAGTTCAATAAACTTCAATTATTAGTATTATTTTTTAAAATAAAATAAAACTTACCAATATGTGAAGCTTTACCACCAGGAGCTGCACACATGTCAAGGATAAATTCATTTTCTTGAGGAGCCAAAGCCATCACTGGTAACATACTAGAGGCAGCCTAAAAATTTGTGCAAATACGATTTAAGTGTTAAAGTTAATATAACTATATTTCTTTAACTTATTCAATAGCTATTTTATAATTGTTTTTATTAGAATATAACCTGTAGCATATAATGGCCTGCCAAGTACTCAGGAGTTGCACCAATAGGTACGGTTGAATTATAAACAACAAGACCAACTTTAGACCAATTCCCAATGGGATCCAAATTGACTCCACGATTAATTAAGGCCTAAACAATGATAGACATTGATAAAATGTAAGTATTTTTAAATTCATAATAATAAATCTTAAACATATAGTTTGCAAACACAAGTTAAGTAAATGTTTCGGTTATACAATGAAAAGTATATAGCTGCAAATTAGATAATATTTTAAGTTTACTTGTGCTAAGTCACGACGCCTAGTTTTCAAACTGTTGGTTCTAATAGTTACTGGCCGGGGTGTTTCACTAGCCTCTAAAAATGCCATTAAATCATCCAGTGGAAACAAATGCATTATTTTTTCCATTAAAAATTTGTTATAACTAAAATAGGTACATAAATCTTTCAACAATAGTTCTGTGTATTCTTGTCGACTTCTAAATCCATTACATAAATTATTATATATTAGCAAAATAATAAACAAAATTTAGAATACAATTTAATAAAACATACCGATTTGCTTCACGAAATTTGTTAAAATTTGATAACACTAATAATATGTCTTTTATTCTTTGTTCTACTTCTGGAATAGGAATAGTTTCATCAATTTTGTCTTCGGCAGGAAATACAAATATGTCCTGGCTAGCAACATTCATTTGCATTTTCATTTCTTCATCAGCTTCGGTTCTATTAAACAAATTAATAAGAAAATTAAATTGAATGAACCAATAAAAAATTGTATAATAATATACTCTTCTTTTTTCTTAGCAATCTTCAATTTCTTTGCAGCTTTTTCAATTGGTAATAAATCATCTTCATCATCAGCTTTTCTTTTTTTTAAGGATTTTCCCTTTTTTTTGGGAACAGTATCTTCAATTCCAGATTCGTTTGAACTATCGACATCATCCAATGTACCTGTCTTCAATGACAAATAATTTACAATAAATACATACATCGCCAAAAACTAAATTTAATCAATTTTAATATACCAAGTAGTCATCGTCAGATTCCACGTCCTCATCAAAGCTTTCCAATCCATTTTGCTAAAAGAAATATATACATTGAACTAATTGTATAGTTAAAAAGTAGTTATTAAGTTTAATAAGTATGTTATTATTAAACAAAAAAGTGACCACAAAAAATGTTTTTTGGTCACATGTTGCAACTTGTTCACATAAAATGCTTATGCCACATTGCACAAAAATTTAAATATAATAATTAATTCAATTTAATAATGGATTAATAACGACCGCTAAATAAAGTTTAATGGCTCTGGTGTTGGCGAGTTTGCTCCAAAACATGAGTTATGAGAATAGAGAGAAGACTTTTTTTGATTTTAATAATCCTTGAAATCTTTACAGAGAGAATTTAAATATTTAATGTCATTTGGATGATTTTCGGATACATCCATGTCAATAGTTATAGGCCGACGTTTCGGACTCATTGCAAAGTCCATCTTCAGGGCGATAATGGTCTCGACCGTTCAGCTGTATGGTTACGGCTGCTGAACAGTCGAGACCAACTATTGACGTGGATACATCTGAAAATCATCCAATGGTATATCCATCCATGAAAGCTTTAACGCATTAATATTTAATGTGTTAATTTTTTGTCATTTTAAAAATTTTAATGAAATATTAGTAGTTAATGCACACTAGGGTGGTCCTTAAAAAGATGAATTTTAAATTTTAACTTCGATACCCCCTAAAAAAATCGGACTATTACCTGCAAAGATATTACAAAACGCATTTCTCTTCGCCAAAAGTGGTAAACAGGCAATGGGATTTCTTTTGGTCGTTCTAAACAATTAAAAAATATGGAGATAGCCGAATTCATACCCTTCATATTTGTATCTTCATCTTCATCGTTACTATTTGAGGTCGGCTAACCTTGTACTAAATCTTCACTTGACTCAATCTCCCACATCATCTTCACATACACCAGCAGCTCTCATATTATTCTCAATCACAAAAATCTGAGATCACTTTTACTGATCATATTCAACAATCCTTTATTCAATCTTTCTCTCCTCTTCTTTCCTCCTACGTTTAGTAACACAAAGTTAGGTTGACAGATGGTCAGAAATTTCATCAAAACGTATAAGGAGGCTATCAAATTTGGAAGACCAAATTGGCTACACCTATATTAAAAATTATCTCTTAAGCTAATTGAAATTAACATGAAAAAGTTGATATGATGAAAAACTAAAAAATAGCCAGTACAGTGGGGATGAAGTATATTGGGAAGAGCGACAAAAACATTTTTAAATAAACGTTTTGATGTGTATCTGATGATATACAAACATTGTCAATAATGTCCTTAAAATTGTATTATTAGTATTAGTGAGGATACAATTAAGATCATCTGCCTATAATAGTTAGTGGCCGTTGTTACCCATACATTGTTGTAACAATATAATGATAATATTTTTCAGGAATATGTTGACTCAATTCAAGGGGAAGAGGTGAAATTTTATACTTCTAACACACCAAAGTACCAATTGCATAATATTATAGATCAATAGAGTTGCTACTAAGTAAATTTATTCACTGGAAAAAAGTAATCGTGACTTCAGATACACAAAAAAACACATAATTGTGAAAACAAACTTTCTCCTGCTATGAATCGAAGCTAAAAAGTAAATTGTATTACCATATATTTTCTAACTCTGCTTAAAATAAACAGGCAATACCTGGGTTTCTTTGGAACTACTTAATATCTAATTATTCTTTAAACTATTTTGATTGTTTATGTAATCTGGTATTAATCCTAATGAAAATCATTATTAAATATAATTTATCATGCTTTACCTCCTCACTTTCTTCATCGTCAATGTCTGAGTTACTATCATAACTTTCAACATCATCATCTGGAAATAAAAAAAATTATTGCTAACTAATGACTTTTCTAACTGTAATTCCATTTAAAAAGTTACAATTTCTTCCTTTAAGAATTTTAAGTGTATATATAAAAATATGTATATATTATTTTTTTGGATTTGATTATTATACTTTGAGTGCTTGCATATTTGAAAGTAATACCACTGGGTGCATGGCGACATTTGTACAGCTCTCAGTCTTCCATGGTAAAATTTTACAATTATTCAATGTGTATTTTTGAACTAGGGAATATTTGTTAGTTCCACACAGCCTACGCAAGCACTCAAAGGTGCTATAAATTATTCATTTGTAGGTACCTTTTTCAGGAATTAGAGGCTTAGATTTCTTGGATTTTAGCCAACTACTATTACTGTCTGAATATTCTTTGATAATTTCATTTTTGATACCCAGCGACTTCTCATTGTCACCTAAAACAAATACATTAATAAATACACAGGCATTAAGCTATGTAAAATTGAAATACACCTAAATATTATATAAAAAAAAAACATGTTAATTTTATAATAAATAATGAATATGTGTGGATGTACATGATGAAACATTATATACAAAAATTTATCATATTTTATATGGTTTTTAAATAACATTACTTTTAGGCTCAACAATTTGTTTAGTCGTCTGTTTCTTTTCTTTTTTAATTGTTTTTCTTTCTTCCTTTTTCTTTGCTCTTCTAGAGGCACGTTGTTTTTGACGATGACTCAGTTTCTTAGGTTCATCACTTTCTGTACAATCATGAAACAACGAATATAGAATCACAATGTTTTTAGAAACGGCTGTGATTCCGCATATTTCTCTTACCTTCTAGTTTCGGAAGTCCAGGCAGCATTTTAGGTGGCTTTTGTTTTTTGGCTTTACGACCAGGACCTTTAAGTTGTTTTACCGCTCCAGGTTCACCAAATTTTGCTTTTCTTCCCATTTTTATTTAAAAATTAATAAAGAACTAACAAAGTAATAAAACTATAAAAACAAACGTTCTGAGACATCAAACAACGACGTGAATGGCTAACGGCGAACACGTGAATATTCACGAGGTTTTGTTGCGTTTATTGATAACGGCTGGTAGTTGATAAGGACCTTATTCATGTATATCAGATAACCGAGGTATAATGTGTTTTTTCAAGTGATAAAAATGAATTTTTGTGATAAAAACCGTGATATCAAAATCAAAACATTAGAATAAAAATAAACAAATTTGAAGAAGGAATTTGTAAAATTATAATTATGACTAAGTATAAAGGAAGATGAATTATTATAGTTGGTAACAAAAATGGATTATAAAAAAGATGCAATTTATACCTACTGGGTACAGTACACGACTAAGGTATTGTATTAGCTTTTATTAGCATAAATATAATTAAGGACATTAAGAGTAATTTTTTTTTGTGGTATATGTGTAATTACATTAATTTGTTTTTTTTGTATTGGTTTTATTCAATAGGTAGCCATTTATAGTTAATTATTAATATTTTAAAACGTCCAAAAAGGGCTTATAAAATTTAGTTTTTGTCAAAATAATTACGAACAGCTGCTAATATAAAAGATTTTTTTATTTATTTCTAACAATAAATAATTATTGTAATAGTATATATACATATAGTATATATATATATATATATATATATATATATATATATATAATGATTATATCATTTGTAGTTATAAAATATAATTTATTTACATTTCTATTAAATGGTAATAAAATGTTAGAAAAATAAATTGAATTGCCTGAATAAAACAACAAACATTAATTTTATTAAAAATATATTAAATAATATTTAAATAAAGATTTTTGAGTATTTTATCTCTCATCAAATGTGGTAATTGTTTTCAGAATGAAGAAGCATCATTTAGACAGTTTATACAAGGTTTTGTAGCTATTTGGGAGCCTAAACTAAATTTAAAATGGGAAAATACAGAAATGTGTTTACCATCAGTGATAGATCCAGAAGCTGGACCTTCCTTGTCTCGGTTACCAGATGAGTTATTACCGGCTATTGCTAAATTTTTGTACATAGCAAAAGATAATGCAGAAAAAGTAATGTATTATTATACTTAGGATTAATATAAAAATGTTATTAACATTCTGTATTATGAATTAAGGAGGAATTTTCAAAAGAAAAAATTGTTGAAGCAGAATATTTATTACGCAGCTTGATTGTAATAAGTAGGAATTTTTATAACATTCCATTGTTGACGTCTTGTGATTACGTTGGAGAAAGCACATCTGTAGCTATTAATATTATACACAAAGTAAATAATATTAGTAATAATCTTTCATATTAAATTATAATTCATAATAATGGTTACATTTTTAATTAGCTTACATCTGAAAATGAACAATATGATGAATCGACTACATTGTCGTTATTATCTTTTTGTCATACATTATGCCATTTTCTGGAATGTTTATATGATCCCTACCAGATATGGCGATGTTTTGATTCTTCGCAAATGAAAGAATTAGATACTACTAAACTTCAGTATTCGCCATCTATGCTTCACGTAGAAGTTGTTCCTTTTATTTTTGGTAAGTTTAATATTTTTGACTGTTTATTATAGATAAAGAATCATTTATTTTATTTTTTTATTGTAATAAAATGATTTGATTACAGAGGAAATTAGTTAATAGGTTTTTACATTTTGGTTAAATCAAATTGTTTAAAATAAACGAACATAAAACGTAAAGAATTATTTACAATATAGTGTTTTCTTTTATTTTACTTTAGATTGTTTTGAAACAAATTTGGCAGTAAAGCATCCTCTATTAGCTGCTGAAATTTTGAATATATTCGGGGCAGTTGTTTGTGGATCTCAGGTACTTTCCCAATATTTTAACTTTTATTGATATTTAGCTTGGGACCATTTTTATAACATATGTATAATTTGTATCATCGTAGTGTAGCTTCAATGATTAATATTTGTTTATTTTTTTATTCCTTTTTTTTTGGTATTAGCTATTTATAATGCTGAGCATAGGGGAAGGTCCGTGTTCTATTGTGTTTAATGACTTGGTGAGTGTGGTAACGGTGTAATTAATGCATTCATAATTGTAAATTTATTACCATTGATTTATAAATATTAAAATAAACGGTAGTAATGTATAATTAAATTACCAATTTCATGCAGGATTCGTGCCATCAAGAGTTTCTCTTGTCATAGTTTGGAAATGGACAGGTAGACTCTTGATAGCAGGTAGTCCGTATGAAATCAGTCGTCATTATTAAGTATACCACCGCTTATCTAAATATTTTGAGAACAATGCAAATTACTAACAAACTAAATAAAAAATAACATTTATTTAATAGTTTTCCTTTTTTTATTGTAATCATTATGGTAGCTGGTTTTTGGCTTGATAACATGTCTTGCAGGAAAAAGGATAATGCCTAGTCCATTAATCAGATTTCTTATAGCCTGTATAGATCTTTGATTTTCAAAACTAAATTTTTCTAGTAGTAATTTTTTACCACTAAAACAATTATAACTTGCCTAAAAATATGTTGTACAGGTTAAAAATTAAAATGTATATACTCTAACCTGGAAATAAGTTAACATGGTCAACATTTATTAAACTAATCTGTTTATCAAATATTGTTTATATTATGCATATTATTTAAAATAACTATAACGAGGGCCCTTTCTAGTGTGTTTTCTTACTTTAATACTAGAGTTATTAATTCACATTCTATTATTTTATTATTATTGACATAATATTATAAAATAATTATTCGCATTTTCACATTAGAGAAGATTTTTAAAGCTTATATACGAAACAAATAACCTTTATAGTAAAATCAGTTTCAAATTTAATGTTTAACTTTTTTTAGTTAATAATCCTTGGATTAGTTTGTTACAGCTCTCTATGCTTCTCTATTGTAACTTCATTCAAGTCCTTGTATTTTCCTTTATTCATATCCTTCATTATTTGGGTCATGTATTCTGCCCTTAGTTTTCCAATGTGTCTTTCAACATATCTTTCAATTATTGTCTTTAGTAAGCTTTCATTTCTTGATATGTGTCCTATCATTTTATTTCTTCTGGATTGAATACTTTTTCATAATTGTCATTTTTATTTTATTTTATCTAGTACCTCTTCATTTGTCACCCTCTCGGTGTAGGGTATCTTAAGCATTTTCCTGAAGCACCACTTCTGAAAGGCTTCCAAACTATTTTTACTATTGAGTCGATTGTCCAGGTTTCACATCCAAAAAGTGCCACACTCCATATATAACTTTTCAACAATTTCTTCCTTATTGCTAGGCTGATACTGGCATTTAATGTTACAAAACAAATTTTTAAAAAAACTGAAATGTGCTTTGCTTATGCATGGACGCATGAGCTTTATCGATATTATTATAATTAGCATAAAGTTGAGTATAAAAATACTACCTTATAATTTTTTTGTCTAGGATAATATATAACTCTCAAAATATAAGTATTATTTAAAACAAAAAGAAAGCAAGGGAGATTTTTCTTGTTACAAATAATTAGTTCTTTACCTATGCTTCGAAAGCAGACAAAATGAGAGAAAATAGACTAAGCCAAACCAAACCATGTTTGGGCATGTTATGAGGAGAGAGAAATAGGAAACAGTAGGAATGGTAATGGAAATAAACTTAGAAGGAAAGAGAAGAAAGGGAACACTGAAAATAAGATATTGGATCCGAATGAGAATGATATAAGAACTGTGGGTGTATGTGAAGATGATGTGGGAGATTGAGTCAAGTGAGGCTTAGGAAAAGGGTGGCGGACCTCAAATAGTAGAGATAAAGGTAAAGGAGGAGAAGAAGACCTTTGTTTTTGTTTAAAATTTAATCACTTCTAATAACATTTATTTTTTATTTTTTCTTTAACAGAATTTTTAATTTTGCATGTTTGTATGTTTATTTTTGTCAGCATTACTTTAAATGACCAACTTTTTATTTTTTTGTTTAGCATAATGCACTCCGTGGTGTAAGTCCTCCAACCTGTACTTTAATAATGAAAGTGATATCTGACAAAAACGTACCCTTGGTTGTAAAAAAAACGGCTCTTCGGTGTTTTGTGACGGTTACCCAAGTTATGATACAGTTTCCTCCTCACCAAGTAAGTTGTTTTTAAAACTAATGTGCTAAGTTATCATTTCATTATCATCAAGCTTAACGGGCCTTTAAGGCCCAACGCTGCCATCATGAAATGATGGTTTCTAGACGGATTCGCTGTCCGGGATGAGTCGTCAGAGAGGGGATGGCGGTTCCTATTACCGGACGATTGCTCGCCCGGTAATCGGAGCACCTGTAACCAAGTGTTGAACAGGCAACAGTGCTAGTGCTGTGCTAACACACTGCCGCCTTACCCATTCGGCCATTCCTCCTCCTAAGTTATCATTTATTAATTATAAATGATCTTTTTATACAGTGTCAGTTGGATGTTTCTACCCAAATAGAATGTTTGACAGATGCGTTGAAAGAATGTACAACAGTTGAAATTAATGTGCCACTAGTATTATGTGTGATTAAAGCAATTGGTCAATCAATTGACCTATCTGGAGTCAACGCTGAAAAACTACGGGAATATGTTGTGGAATGTAAATTATTGGAAATTATTTTGAACGTGCTCAGTAAATTGGAGGTAAAGTTGAAAAAAAAAGTTATCTATTTTGTGGTGTTAGTTAAAAAAAAATGTATGTTTTTTAGACTAAAATTGAATCAGATCAAGTGGTTGACTGCATTGAAACTATTTCATCTATTTTACGTGGATCTAATGAAGCAAAATCTCAAATGTTGGAAATCAATGGATACAATAAAGTTTTTAAATTTGTTGAAAAAGAAAAAAAGAAAAGCCAGTCTTTATTGAAAGCTATTATATCTATTGCTACAGAAAATACAGACAAGACATTAGATCAAAATCTAGAGGTTTTATTCAGATTGTTAACTGTATTTATTTATTTATAAAATACAATTTTTTTTTAGAATCCACAAATGATTGTGCCTTTAATTAAATGGTTGCCAAGTCTTGAAGAGGTCGACCAAGTTTGGTTAGCAAGTGTAATATTTAACTTGTGCACAACAAATTTGCAAAGGTAAGTTAACTCGTTAATGGCGTGTGTTGTTATACTTATGCGTACTTGCATTTATTTTATTAGTAAATGTCATTCATCGAGTTGTAAAGTTATCGACTCTGTGTGCAAATGCTTAGAAAATTGCGATCAGTTAGTACCAAAAACTGTTCACCAGCTACTCAAACTTATTGAACATTTAGCATCCCATTCTATTTCCACATCAGAGTTAAAAAAAATATTTTTATTAATGAGGGATGCAGACGAATCAGTATGTATTTTGAAATACTACTTCTGTGTAAAAAATATTAATTATTGTATAATGTTGTTTGAAGTATCCATACACTACTCAAATTCTTGGAACATTATCAGAAATTGCTTACAGTGCATGTGATTATAATTGTAAAGTATTTTTCGATATTCAAAAGGATAACGGTAAGAAATAAAAAAAATTTACTTTAATTTTAACTAATGTCTAAATGTATTTATAGACGGCTTAAGAATTGATGAACTTAAAAAATGGCCTGGTCCCATGAGCGGTTTGGCTTTTCATTGTTGGTTACGCTTGGATAATGTCAGTTTTCATCATTGCACCAGTTCGTTTGGCTTAGCATCATACAGGCGACAATTATTACAGTATGTTTTAACAAACATGTCATGTGGTTATAAAAATAATAGAAATCTATGAATAATATTTTTTTTGTTTTATACAAGTGTAGGCTGTTTTGATAAATAAATGATTTGTTATTCTTTTTTTTTTTTGTTTAAAATTAATTTTATATTTATTATTGAATCAAATAGTTTATTTGTTATTGATGAATACTATTTTTGTTCATTATTTATTATTAGTTGAAAAAACTATTTTAAATTTCTATTTGTCTTTTGAAATTATAAATTAGTGATTGTGTTTTATTAAGCTAAGTCAAAATCAGACTCAAGATAACTTTTTTATTTCGATTTATAAAAAATGAATACAATTTTAAAGGTAAATGTTTTATTGGTAAACAATTAACATAATTTTTTGATAATTTATTTTATATCATTTTTAAATCAACTAAGGTATTAATATATTTTCTGTAAATAATAAATAAACACATAATCTTTTATTTATCTGGTTACATATGATTTGAATTGTGAATAAAATATAATTATTTGTAAAGAAAAATTATTTATTATTCATTTAAAATTTTACCCAATACTGATGTTTTAAAAGATACATTGTTCAAGTATAAGAATTCTATTATTTATAAAGTTTTTTTGTTTTTAGTCTAATTACAAGTTCTCACACTGGATTAGAAATTTTCATTGGCTCTGATTGGACTTTGGTTGTTGGAATGAACACTAAAAAAGAGTTTTTTACCATTACCGCTCGAGACTTCAGATTTGTAGAAAATCGTTGGTATTGCATTGACGTTTGTTACAGTCCGCCAAAGTAAGATATTATTTACTAGTGTTTGTTGACCTATTATTGTTCTTAAGTAAACAACAGTATATTGAATCAATATTCTGTTAAACCCATAATTATCATATTGTTCGATCACCTTTAATAATAATTTGCTTTATAATATTTTAGAAGACCATTTGGACATAATCAAATTTCAATTTATATTGATGGAGTTCAAAATATCTGCGCTCCCGCGAAATTTACACCTTTAACCGATGTAAGCAACATAAATTGATAACCAATATGATTAATAAATAATTATATGTTAATATATAATAATGTACATTAGTCATTACTATTAAATATATAAATAATAAATAACTAATTATAGTATATTAGTAATTTATTAATATACTATAATATAATGTGTTCTAATCTTAAATATTTCCTGACTAGGTGTTAATAAACAAATAATATTTGTTTACAATTTCAGTTATATACTTATTTTATTTAACATATTCTTTTAGCAGTTTCAGCAGTGTTCAATTGGAACGTTTATACCTCAATTGTCTAAATCTATAGAGACATATCAGCAAACCGATCGAGGAATATTACCGTCATTTATAACTCAAGTAACAAAATAAAGTTATCAAACATATTGGACATTACGCAACTTATAATAATATAACTTATTTAGGTGCCGAATTATTTATTGATGAGAGGTACTGGCGCATTGGATCCATACGTAAAAGATTTTCCTCCTGGAATGCAAGACTCGCTGTATGGTCGCTCGATGTGTTTAAAAGGTCAGCTAGGGCCGATTTGTTTGTTTCCCGAGTATTTATCAAACCATCAAGTCAAAACTCTGTATGAATTAGGTAAGAGTAATATTATTTTAGTTGGAAAGTAGTACATTTTCATTCATTATTCATTTCAAGGTCCAAACTATACTTCTTTAAACACAATGGATGACTCTACATCGGACATAACAGGAATGTTTAATAGATCTGTTTTTTACTTCAGTCCTACAGCATCTTCCACTCGAGAAATCGCTCTAGACTTAAGTCAGAAAAATAAAGTTAACGCGCAACTTACATCCACCGTTTATAAATGTTCATCAATTCAAGTATATTTATCAACACTTTTAAAATTGTTTTTATTTCAGAAATTGTATAATTATGGTTGATCTAAAATTGTATTTTTAGGACGTGATTAATATGATTGGTGGACTATATGTGCTGTTTCCTATTTTAGAAAGTAAAATTTTAAATGAAAGCGATCTTGGATTGTTATCATTAGATCAAACGAACATGGAAATGACAGTTGATATTGAAGACTTTTCATCTCTTCGTTCATACTCTTTAGGTTTGTATAAAATAGTAGTTATGTTACTGTATTACATTTAATTTGTTTGACTTTTAACATTTATGTAGACGACAGACTTGAGCTTCATCCCATTGGTCTGTTATTAATACTAATGAAAAATTTAATGAAAGGAAATATTGTTGGCCAAGAACAGTTGTTAAGGAAAAATGGCATTCCAATATTAGGAGAATTGCTCACAAATGTAAGTCAATTTTTTTGTCAACATTTTTAGTTAGTATTTAAAATATATTTTAATGCACAGGTCCCGCCAGATAAAATTGATTTACAAATGTTGGAGGCATTACAATTATTTATGGAAACTCTACAAGAAATTTCCAACACACAACTTCTAAGAGCTTTTTATCAGCATATTCTCTTTAATTTTACCATTTGGTCAAGATGTTCTTTTCAAATACAAATTGGTAAATTATATACATATTATTTTTGACATATCATTAAACATGTCTATTAAATTTAATATAAATATATTTTAGGCGTTGTTAAGTTATTGTATCTGCTGATTAAGAATGACCGTAAGTCATTTCGTAAACGGTTTGGTGTACAATTTTTTTTGGATTCAATAAGAACATATTATACAACATGTGATGTACTTGCTGCTAATCATACAACAGTATTACGATCATCGTTGTTGGATATTGTCAGGTTTTATGTTCAAAAAGAAGTTTTTGCATCTGATATTGATATAATTATTCGCTATTTAATAACATGCAGATCAGAAACAATGGTAATATAAAAAATTGTTTATATTGTATGATTTTAATTTATGATGTGTGTAAAGTTTTTTAATTAGTTTAGTTCCAAATATTTATTAGACCTGCTATTAGATGAGAATCATTTTTATTGCCAACAAAAATTATAATTTTTTTTTACAGATAATAGAATTATTAGATGTTCTGATAAAATATTTGGGTTCAGATTGTTGTAAAGATCAAGTGTTTTTGTTTATATATGAACCACAAACTGCAGACCTATTATATTCTTTATTGGTTGAAAAATCCATCAGTATGCTAGCAAAACAACATATCTTAAAAGTATGTAATAAGTATATTGTATATTGAATGTTATACTATGTTATATATAAGCATTCTGTTAGACTGCAAATTAAAAAAAAATTATAACTATTGTTTTACAGTTATTTTCTGTGTTACTTCAAACAAAGTATGTGTATGATCGCCATAAATGTAATCTACGATTACAAAACTCAGGATTTGGACTATATCCAGGTCTCATATCGTGTTTGCCAGATTTCCAAAATTTAACAATGGAAGTAACGTTAATGATGTTGGATCAAATTTTATTAACGGGTAAATATTATATTATATTAAACGTCACCATAGTCAGAATTTAAATTTATTAACTTATATAAAAACGTTTTTTCAGATTCACTGAGTACTTATACAGCAGTTCTGTCTGTGCTTCATCGGCTTGCATATGAAGAAATTACTATTAAGTTGGAGGCTGCAAGAAAAGTGTTAACAATGATTTACATGAACCCTAATGCAGCTAAAGCAATTGCTAAACAAGCAGGTTGGCAGGATTGTGTTACTCGACTATTAGTTCACCGATTGGCTGAAAGCAAAACGTCGCACAACCAGGATTTGATAACTTTTAAAGAACAAGATGTTCCAAAAATTTACAAGAAATTAAAAAAATGCAGATCATATCCTAATATTTTAAAAGCAAAGCACTTGTCGTTGAGGAGATGCAATTCAATGTTTGAATTGGAAAGGGATTTGTCTAATGATGGCTTTAGAACAAGTTTAACACCAACTGTGTATAATTTAGCATACGCTGCTAATTTTATTGAAAACGAAATAAAAGGCATTGAATTATTCATTTACAATTTAAAAGCGCAAATCACAGTAATGTTAAAGGTGCTTTGTACCTTATATCACAAAAATAATATCTCTAAACCAGACTTATTTTTAATAGATAATAATTATAATAATCACTTAAGTGTTTAAAATTAATGTATGACTAAAAATATGGTGTAACATTGTTATTATCGTTTACAAATATTCTATTAATTTATATTTTCTATAAGTTTTGAGCTTAGTAAACACATATTATATTAGGTACCATTTTATTATTTTAACAAGAAAAAAATTGTTTAAATTTTTGTATTGTGTGGCAAAGTTTCCATCAGGTTTGTACGTTATGCCGATATACGCTATACATTTTGCCTAGTGCTTAAGCACCTTTAACATTTGTGCACTAATTGCACCTGTTTTATGCCTATGCTATAATTTTCTATAAAATAATAATAATAGTTTTGAAATACATTTTTAGGGGTAGCTGGATCAGTATCTGCAGTTGTTGTGGATAATCTACAGTATGCCTCGGAAAACTTAAGCTCGGCAGTTAACTCAGTTGGTTTAGTTGTGAGTGATAATATTCAAATGGCTTCTGATAACTTAGCGTTTGCGATGAACACTGTCAGTGGTAACATTCATTCGGCAACTAGTAATCTGTCATCGGCAGTTACATCGGCCTATTCGATTTTTAAACAAAAAACCACCGAAATACAAGTATTTAATAATTAATTACTTACACATTGACGGACACGTATAATTTTTGAAATTTCCAATACCGAATAGTTAGCCCAATAGTCGAGTTCCCCCTATCATCTGGTACCATTGAACAATAGCCATAGCAGTAATGCCACCCTACATCAAAATATCATATTACTGCTAGAGCAGTAGTGTTCGTCAATGTGTTGGCATTTGAGTAATCAACTACTTATAAGTAATCATATTCAAAACATAATTTTAAAGGAAATCGGAGAGAACGCAAAAGAGCGTCTTAAAAAGTATGCAATGTATTCACCACAATCTGATAGAAATATTATTTATGAAGATAAAGCCCATTCAATGACTAAACAATTACTTATTGAACTCGGTTTGGAGGCAGATACATACAGCATTAGCAACAGGTATTTAATAAATAAATCTGATATTAATTTTTAAGCTAAAGATTGAAGTAATATTAATAATTCTTCGGACACCATTAATATCCTCTGAGAGATTTAATGTTAAACGGGTTATTTTGCATTTTTAAGATCAATATCTAGTAGTCTTGAAGATGTTTCATCGATAAAGTCATCTATAGCTCCAGATAACCGTTCAATTAGTTCAGGGATTACAAGTTCTGACAATATTTCAACAGTTTGCGAAGACATTGAAAACAATGAACAAAATGATTTTGACACAATTAAGTAATTTATATTTCATATCAATTTTATTTTTTTATTATATAAATTGTAATAATAACTGTTCTGTCTGTTGTAAACGATGATGATAGTATTGCTACTGAAATACTCATATACGTATAAGTGTATTATTTTTGTAGTTAAGGGATTTTTAAGTATTTAAATATTTAATTTCTTAACTGTATACAACCACAAGTGTTGCTTAAGTTTTTTTCTTAATTTTAAATAGTTTTTTTTAGAAAAAATAGTTTTCTATGATTTCATTTTTTTAAAAAATTACATAGTAGAATACTATAGTTAGGTATTTAAAAAAGTATTTAAACTAGACATTTATTTTTTAATTCAATGAAATTTTTTTAATTAGTCCATGGCAAGAACTGACCAATAACCAATATGATAACAAAGAGAAGGATTTGTGTTCGTTTGTTGAGAATATTCTTTTTGTCGTTATGTGGCGTGGTGTTAATATTCACAATAAAAACTGTTGGAAAGTATGTATTAGGTTGTTAAGTCTTAACAAAAAATATTAAATTATCTTAATGATTTTCAGGAACGGGGACAAGTTATGGCTTGTATAAATATGATAAGTCTAAATAATATGTTGTACTGTTCACACTTGGAACTCAAACTTCATATTCTAGAGAAAGCCGTCGAAGCTGTTCTAAGTGACTTGCACGATTCAGGATCAACTCTCGAATGTGATCATGCTAAAACTGAGAATGTTGGCCAGCTCTTTGGTCTGATATACGATCTGGTTGTCTTGGATCCAAGTCCAAATTTTGACAAGAAATGTTCTGTAAAATTATTAGACGGATGTATAAAACTAATCGAGTCATTAGCCATTTTTGGAGACTTTCAAGAACCAAATAGCAAAGACATCGCTATGAAATTTTATGGTTAGAATTATACTTATTACTCTAACAACTGTTTAAGAATTTTATGTTATAATAATATTTTTATAATTTTATTTCTCAATTTTTATTTGTAAAATAAGAAAATTATATAATAATAATATTAGGAGTTCTAAAAATTTAAAGGTATTTTGCTGAGTTGTTCGTCAAGTAGTAACATGGAAATTTGTGCCATGGCAACAGTGAAGCTACACACTATACTGCAAACTAGTAGTAGAAGTGTTGTAGAGATTGAATGTTATTTGTTACGGTCAGTGAATACGATTTTACAGAAGTCACTTAAAGGTGGGTAAAAACTAAAATTTCACTTTGATACTTGTAAGTTGTAACGCCTTTTAATAACACATTGTAGATGAAAAATTGGAGCGTTATTCATTTATCCTCCCGTTAGTTAAGACTCTGATCACAAAGTTATCAGAACCGCTCAATATTTCAAACACTGAACTACCTTATTTGACTGAAGTGCTATACAGTGGACAATTTTATGATAAATTTTTCACGTATTGTACTACTGCAGAATGGGCTGTATTTATAGAAACTAAGGTAAGGAATTATTTTGACATTTTTATAGTTAAGAGAACGTTATACACCCAATTTGCATGCGATAAACATATCTACCCAGAATGCGTTTTACTCGCTCTGTGATGATTTTAGAGCAAAAATACTTATAACAAAAAAGAAAGATGACAAGATTTTGGAGACAACATCATATCTTTTTTTATCAATTAACCTAATATTTAACATTTAATATAATTTTTTTTTACCTTTTTAAAATAACTATTCATTTTTTTTTTACGTTATTATTTTTAAAATTGGACATGACATTGTCTCCAAAATGTTGTTATCTTTCGATTTTATAATAGGTGTTTTTGCTTTAAAACCACTATGGACCGAGTAAAACGTATTCTGCGTTGCCATGTTTAGATGACATTTTTTTTTTAAATTGCTGTCAAGGATACTGTGATAGTCCGAAAAATAAATTAAATACCAAAAAAAGAGTCCTTATTACTGAACTAATTATTACACATCACCATTAAATTAAGATTTTGCAAAAAATTGCCTCTACCTAATTCCTTAATAATAGGGGGTATAACTTTCTCTTTAACTACTAGTTATTATTATACGTAAAGAGCGTATTAAATCTACGGTCAAAGGGTAAAAGTTAATATAAAGGGTTAATCTAAGAAAAACATGTTTAAATAATGCTGAAAAATGTTATAAAAGGTTAAAAAAATACTTAAAAAAATATCCATATTTGTTTTTAATCATGTTTAAAAATAAAAAAAAAACTGATTCGTTTCGTATCAAAACCAATTTTATAACAACAAAATGGCTTTTTTGGAAAAGTCAATTGCCTGTTTTTTTCCCGCTGTACCCTAAGTAAAAACAGTCACATTTGCTTCCATAAAGAGGAAGTTACGGTTCTTTGGAAAGGTTTTTTAATCTCGGGATAGGATATAGTAAGACCATATTAAGTATCCTTATCGAAAATGTGTGTTCGCATAGGTGTGCGGATTCGAATTTTCCCAGTATGTTTATTTAACTGGTATCTAGATGAATTGTTTAAATGTTGACCAATGATAATTTTCCAGATAAACTTTTGTCGAAATTCGCGATCGTTCGCAGTTATGCTGCTGGCTGAACATGATTTGTGATAAAAAATTGTGTTTAAGGACGTTTTTTGTTGGTTTCAATCAAACTCACCTCATACATTTTGAACCTGATAAGAGATTTTCAAAATAAATTTTTTTCGAAAAAATCATGTGCCAATGATTTGGCAGTGGTTTTTCTTTGCAGAAAAAAATTCTTTATTGTCCGTTAAGTTTTTATATTGGCAATAAATATCATTGTCGAAAGATTTTTGTTGGAAACATTATTGAATTAATTTAATTTTCTTTTAAATCTTTATTTTATAAAAAACTGAAAAACCTAAATTTTGAAGTATGAAAAAACTCTAAAATATTATTCTTTGCACCCTCCATGGTGATGACATTGTAAGACGTATTATCGATATTTTCCAAAATTGTGTTTGTGCTATTTTCTGAATCTTGATTGACTTTTGAACAATTTGAGACCTGTAGCTAAAAAATTACTAGTATTGCAATTTGATGTTTGCGGCATTGTAGTCGGCCAGCAAGAGGTTCCTTTCTCCAAGATCGATTTATAATAATTTTGACTATTATTCGATTTCATTTGATGTTTTGACTTATATCCTAATCCTAGAGACCCAAGCTACAATTATTGATACTTAGTAAGAAGTAGAGAATTATCGATGTATTAGCGGTTTTCCCCTATCAACCGGTCGGCGTAGTAAACATTTTATACATAATTGGATAAAATATAAATTATACTAAAAAACTAACAAGACTAAAAATAGGTTAAATAAAGTTTTACAGCACATATTTATTATTGTTTCGGTAAGACAAATATAAATGTACACAAATTGAATGGAGGCGTTCTGTCTTTTACATCAACATTTTGTAATTTGTGTTATATAACAAAAAAAGCGAGTGAAATTTTTGGTAAAAACGATAATGCGAAAATGGTATGCGCTCAGAAAGTGCAATCATGCTTGAATGACGAACGTTATTTTTTATTATCTACCTTATAGTTCGCGACCACTGTGATCAGTATTTCATTGCATTATAATATTATATGATCTAACTAAAATATTATGTTGGTCATTTTGATTTTAACACCTTTGTGCGTCGACAAATTTTTGTAAACGTCATTTCTCTAAAAAAATGTGTATCTGCTCACGTAATGGAATATTGCACACAGAACACCATTTTTATATTACAAGTAGTATTTGTTTTAGTTCAAACGTGGTGTTGAACCGACTTTATTGTATACGTTTTATCATAGAACATTTATAACTTCGATGTTTTAAAATACTATTTCGCAAAAATATCAAATTAATTAAATGACACTGGACACACCTCTATCGGTTTAAAAAAGATGGAAGTCGACAGATTTCCAGGTCATTATAATTGTTATCTGGGGACATCGATAAGGGAATCATTGGAAAGAAATATCTATTGGAGATAAGTGGAAAAGTTCCTTCTGTATAAAACTGTGAAAAAACCGAAGAATTAGTCGATTATAATAAAGTCGTAATTTCGACTATCTTGGCGATAGGCCCAATTTTATACTCGGTAAAAAATGGTTGGATCTAGTCGAAATTGTCCTAAAAAAATGTATAATAGTAATATGACATATTGAAATTTAAAACCAGTTAAAATCTTTCAAACTCAAAAAATGGGAGAGGGTTGAAAAATATCGTTAAAAGAAGTGTTTAGTTGTTAAGAGAAATTAGAGTTAAAAAATAAAAATAAAACTGTAAGTAACCTTCAAAGCCTGTCTTTAGTGTATTTAGTATACTTCAAAGGTAATACATCAGTAAAATTGAAGTTAGATCAAATAGTAAAACTACTTTAAATTATAAAATGTGGGGAATAGTCTTCATTTATTAGGGTAGACTGAAGGTGAGCATAATGAAGTATTGCGTTTTCAATAAAAAACAATATTATGAGTTTTAAAAATATATCCAAACCTGTCTTCGTGTAACAATAATATATAATAAAGACTTTCGGCATCCGGTTTAAAGTAAATAATTAGAAAACAACTCGTAGTTAAGTTTTTACATTAATAATATTTAAAATTTATTTGATTTTAACATAAGGTGGTAATTATAAAAACATAATTGTTTGTTGACGTTCAGGTATTTATAACAACATTATACTTATGACTATTTAAATAAAATATAATATTACGTATACAATTAAAAGCTTTATATATATATATATATATAATAACGACGTAGTATAAAACATACCATGTCACTTACATTTTATCGCGACGTAAAAAAAACACACATTTTTACGTTATACAGTCTAAAAAGTGTGTTTTTATCACAGAAGCTTTATTATTTATTATACATCAACGGTACTTTTACCTAATTGATGTGACCCATAATTTTATACCCAAACAACAAGGCAAGCAAAATAGCACAATGATTCATATTTAAATGTTTTACTTCTTAGTATTGACAACTGGAAGAAAAAGAGAAAACCTTTTAGAATGATTCGAGGTATAACATTAAAGTTCTAATATTACTTACTACAGTCGTCAATTTTTAAGAATACTAAAAATGTATTAAACATTTATTCTAGAGAATTGGTATAAAAAAGAAAAGTGGAGACTATACAATTATATATCTATGAATAAATATGTATATGAGTTATTATTACTAATTATATAAATATCATAGTTATGATATTATTATTTTGGTTTCTACATAATATGTGATGAATAATGATTATGTTTATCTTAGATGTTCTGTTATTTTCCATTGGTTATCTGAGTAATTGTGGACATTCGAGTAATGTTCGTTGTTAGCATCATTGTTTTTATGATTTATTGGAGTATCTCCAAATGTCAAACCTAGGCTTTCATTTACTTGAGTAGGCGATTCTTCGTAGTTAAAGCTATACGTTTTGGCAGGGGCTTGGAACCCAGTATCTGGCTTTTGAGTAGTTTTAGAAATATATTTTAAGTATGCATTTAGTTTGTCGTTTACTACTCCTTTTTTAGTATTTATTTTGGTTTTATTATCAGAATTTGACGATTGTCCATCGATTTGTTCGGATGACTCTTTATGACGTCTTTGTAAGGTGTTTGCTTGCGTTGTTTGCGACTCTGGACTTAATGTGTTATATTGTGACTGAACAACGTGGAATGAATTTGATGCTGATTGACTCAAATCTAGATTTAAAGCTGGTTCTCCGTATGAGTTTACAGCTGTTAGTTGAGATTTCGAGTCTGGAAATGCTACAGAATTCGATAGACTACTGTATGACCCTTGAATGCTATTGATATCTTTAGGGGAACCGTATGTAATCGATGTTATTTTTGGAATTTCATTGTTTGAAGTCGGTATTCCGTAAGTAATTGAAGGCATTGGTGCACTATACTCGTTATTTGAACCAAATATACCTTCGAAATTAATAGAACCCTGATCACTGCCATAATTATTATTTTGAGATTGCGATCCAAATGAACTATACGAACCTGATGTTGGTGTACCATAAGACGACGATGGAGCGCTAGGAGGTGCTCCATAAGATGCTGACGGGGCGTTTGAAGGTGCGCCGTAAGACGAAGATGGAGCGCTAGGAGGTGCTCCATAAGATGCTGACGGGGCGTTTGAAGGTGCGCCGTAAGAAGATGACGGGGCGCTAGAAGGTGCTCCGTATGAAGATGGTGGACCTTTTGATGGTGCATCATACGAAGCTGAAGGCAAAGAAACTGAAATTGAAGGAGTTATGGATATAGAATGACCACCGAAAGACGGTGCACTATGTGAGGGTACTCCGTATGATGTTGCAGGAGGTGATGGGGCTCCATAAGAAGATGAAGGCGGAGATGGTGCACCATATGAAGACGATGGTAGTGATGGTGCACCATATGAAGACGATGGTGGTGATGGGACTCCATAAGAAGATGAAGGTGGAGATGGCGCACCATATGAGGACGACGGGGGTGATGGTGCACCATAGGACGGCGATGGTTTTGATGGGGCGCCATATGATGAAGACGGGGGTGATGGTGCACCATAAGACGGCGATGGTTTTGATGGGGCGCCATATGATGAGGATGGCAGAGATGGTACACCGTATGAAGACGATGGTCTTGATGGGGCACCATACGAAGAAGATGGCGGAGATGACGGAGCGCCGTATGAAGATGATGGTGGTGATGGGGCTCCATAAGAAGATGAAGGCGGAGATGGCGCACCATATGAAGACGATGGGGGTGATGGTGCACCATAAGACGACGATGGTGGTTTTGATGGAGCGCCATAAGAAGATGAAGGCGGAGATGGTGCACCGTATGAAGACGATGGTTGTGATGGAGCATCATATGTTAAAGATGGATAAGATGTTAGTGATGAAGTTCCATAAGATGGTGATGATGGCTGAGAAGGCGTACCATATGAGGGAGATGGAGGCGCTCCATATGAAGTTGATGGAGGTCCTCCGTGTGATGATGAGGGAGCTCCATATGAAGTTGACGGCGGTGCTCCATGCGAAGATGAGGGAGCTCCATATGAAGTCGATGGAGGACCTCCGTGTGAAAACGATGGAGCACCATATGAAGTCGACGGAGGACCTCTGTGGGATGATGAGGGAGCTCCATACGAAGGTGATGGCGGTGCGCCATACGAAGATGATGGCGGTGCGCCATACGAAGATGATGGCGGTGCGCCATACGAAGATGATGGCGGTGCGCCATACGAAGATGATGGCGGTGCGCCATACGAAGGTGATGGCGGAGCCCCGTATGATGTTGAAGGTTTAGAACCTCCTACAGATGGGGGTCCATAAACTGGTTTGGGTGGTTTATAAGATGGTTTTGACGGAGGTCCATAAGATGGTTTCGGAGGACCATATTTTGGCTTCGGTGGTCCATATTTAGGTTTTGGTGGTGGGCCGTATGAAGGTTTTGGTGGACCGTATGACGGTTTAGGAGGACCGTATGACGGTTTAGGAGGACCGTACGAAGGCTTCGGTCTAGAAAACCCTTTTGGAGGGCCGTAAAAAGATGGAGGTGGGCCATACATTGGTTTTGGCCCCCCAAAAGATTTTGGTGGTCCATATGAAGAATTTGGCTTAGATGGTGGTCCATACCTCGATGGTGGCTCTCTTCGAACTCTTGTAACTGGCGCATTTTCAGCCTTTGTTGAGCTGTATAAACTGATTAAAATAATCAGAAGGTATGTCTGTAAAAAAAATATACTTTCTTAGTTTGTAATTAAATTTCAATGTAAACGGAAAATCTGTGGTTTTATAGCATCATTTGAAATGTCAAAAATCTTTGGGGAAGAGAAAGTATTACGAATGTTTTATGTTCTGTCAGAAAAATACAAGTAATAATGATAAATGTGTAGATGACACTTGGAGAAAGAGAAAAATCATTTGAATCTAATGTTTTGGTTTGAAGACCAGTGAAAAATTAGTATTGTCATCGGGCGACGTTTTAGTACCTACTTTATTTTCATACATATAACTAATAGTAAATAAAAAAATAATTATACAGTTATAAATTAAATAACTAATTTGGGTTTTATTGTGACACTGATTTAAATCAGTAAAATGTGTAATTATTATTTCCGTATTGTATAAATTTAAGTTTTAAAAGGTAAAACATTTAAAAATAAATGGCAATGCACAAATTATTAATTATAGATTGGTATTATTAATTGCCACATTTATGTTTCGCATTCGTTAGAAATCCTTACGTCATTATACTCGTAGCTTAGTTTGTACTAAAGTACAAACTAAGCAAACTAAGTAAACTACTAAGCAAACTACAAACTAAGTAGTAGATTAAAGTAGTCGATTATATTAGGTAATGTTATAACGGAATAATAATTGTCTTATTTAATTCAATTTAAAATCAAATATTTTGAATCTGAAAAAATATTTTCTCAGTATTTAAAAATTGTATTTACACTGGCAAGTATTCTTCCGGTTACTTCAGTTAAACAAAATTATGCTGTGTCCTGTGACGAGTTAGTTATATGTTGGTCAATAAAAATAGATTATTTACAATATTCGATTAAAATTTATTCCAAAATAAAACAACTCAGCAAGCTAAATTGTTCGAAATGTTATGATAATCGTATCAATAAATATTTAAAAATTAAACTAAGTGAACCTTCTATAGTAATTGTAACGGAAAAATATGTTTCAAGAAACATTTTAATCATTTTAATCAACATTTGTTTTAGTTATAACAAATGTAAACTTTTACTCCATGACATATTTAATATTAAAAAAAACAATATGTATAATCTCTTTCCTAAAACTCGTTTCTACAAAAATATTACATAATCCGCCTTTTTTTTTGTCTCATCAATATTTGTAGCAAGTCTATAGATTAGAAATCGTACCTGAAAATAAGCTAAAAATTAAATAAGTTTTCAGCTCTTTCCCTTTAAAATTGAGGAAAAACCAAAAAAAAGTAGGTACAAATTTTTCAACTGAAAATGACAGCCCGTTATATCTTTAAAAAAATAGTTTTCGATTTTGTATGGAACATTCTTTAGGTAAAGTAAGCACTACCGATGTATAATGAAAAATCAAGAGCATAACATTTTTAGTGATTTCATCCCTCTCAGACTTAAAGGGTTTCGGATACGTATGTGAATTAATACATATGTAATCACGAAAACGTGACGATAAAAAAATAATTTAATATCTGTAAAATAATGTATTAAGAGGTTTAGGGTAATCAGAGGGTTTACAATATAGGAGTTTAAACAATTGTTTTCAACTGTTTTATAATGTTTTTTTGTTTGGCATATAGTACCAAATGTTTACACTATATTTCAAGAAAATTGTACATACATTTCAAATTAAAATATAAAGTCTGTAACAAGTTACTTGCTTGATTGTTAAAAGTTCTCTTTAAAATAGCGCCTTGCGCTTGCGGTGGCCAAAAAATGATTAGTTTAATACTTTATTTAATGCTTAATCGCAGATTTTTCAAATTAAACAAAATGGCGGCCTCTGAAAGTTTATGTATGCATTTTAAGAAAAACAAGCACGTGTTTATCGGTTATTAAAAAAACGTATTGGTCAAACAAAAAAATCTTTCTATTAAGCACTAGTTTTTCATACTTAGAATTTGGTGTATACTTTTTATTGGAATTTGTCAAATGGTTTTTAAAATATAGTAGTCTTTAAAAAGAGTTTAAAAAAAATGTGTTTTAAGTTTCACAAAACGATTTAAAGTTTTTTAAAATAAAAAAAAAATAAGTACATTTTTAAAATTTTAAAATAAATTTTCTTAAAGAAAATGTAAAAAAAAATATTAGTTTTTGAAAAATCTGAGTACCCTTAATGCAAGAAAGTATAATCACGTATAAAAAAGTATTGTTTTTATACTTGTTAATAAATATTAGATCTTGTAATCTTGTTAAGTTATTGAACAATCATGTTCAAATTATTACGTTTTCAAATTATGAACAGAATAATATTTCTGAAATTGAGAAGCGATTTAAACTTTATTGCAACCAAACAAGTGCTCTGTTATTCAGATAACGTTCACCTTAGAAAGTTTTGGACTTTTCCTATTCGAAAAAAAGTTGGATTGACCGTAAAGAATCAATGATTTTAGTGTTTATTTTCAACGTTATTTAGCTGAATACGGTAATGCTATATACGGTTCGATTTAAATCCACACGAATGGTGGAAATCAATCGAAAAAAATCCAGCTTTAACAGCGTTAGCAAAATTTTAATTTGCTATACCCACCACATCCGTTTGTTTAGATGTTTTTCTTTTGTAAATTTGTTCTTTACGGTATTATATAGCATCTTAATTTAATACTGTTTTATTTAAGATACAGAATGTATTCAAAAAAATATTTTTCCATTTCAGTCATTGTCCTAAAACTTAACAGGAAATTATAAAGAGTACAAAAAAAAATTATTGCTTGGAATCTCCGTCGATTTTAACCGAAATATCTGAAGGTGAGGTTAATAACCAAGAAGGCGAATGAGTATTTTCGAAATTTACATCCCCGAATAACGTTATTTGAATTCCAGGTGTGTTTAGATATATTTAAATGTTTAATAGTTTACTATTTTTTTTATGCATACGTTTACATATACAGGTTACTTGATATTTAAAAACAGGATAGTTGATATTATATTGTATTTATTACATTTTATGCATATTATTATATTGACATTTATAGTCGCCTCTCTAGATTTTGGTATTTACTAATACGTATAATAAGTGTTTGAATGATTGACTGCCTTAAAAGTTAAAACATTGATTATTATTTAGTATTTACTACTTTAAAAAAATATTTTATTAACATGTCATTTTTATAGAAAATAAAGCTCTACCTATATTGTAAGTACTATTATTATAGAAACTAAATTAAACTATTTTTATTTTAAGTATTCAGTTGCCGGGTAAAAGGCCAAATTACATGGAATTAATATTTATCTAATTGTATGATCATGGTTAATGTTTTTGAGATTTCCTATAATATAATTTTGATATTTTTTAAAAACTTTTATTTGTAAGCGAAATGTTTTTTACGAAAGAGGAAAAATTAGAATTTAAGATCTTCGAGTCAGTGCTATCAACAACAAGGCTGCTGCATTATAACATACCAAGCACCAGCGAATATATATACCGGATGTTCTGGGCAATATATATAACCGGTGGTTCTATTTGATATTGCTGTGTTGACCTTCATCCACTGGCACCGTTTATTCGACCTATGTTTATGACCTCAGTTCTTCTCTTTCTTTAATGGGATTAAAAAAATGTCTAGTCACGGCTATGACTTTTATTCTGTTCCCGTGAAATTTTTGATTAGCCGTTTAATAAAATACCTGCGAAACGTCTGTACAAACTTATCAGCGTTAACATGTTTTTTCATAATATTATCTAAGTTATTTGATAAACATTTGTTTTATCTTCTTAAGTAAAATATAATATTACACAGTTAAACAGCATGCGTGTTCTGAAACGATTCGACAATCTCTACAACTTTCAAACCAAAAGCGTTCTTGGGTCCTATATAATAATAAATGAATAATTAAATTAATTTTTACACATTTACAGTAATTAATTTTTTTCCAGCGCGTGGTACATACTATATAATACTTTGTGGTAATGACACGTTTTCGAGCATTTTACAACAACCTACGTCCTACGGGATTCTTTAACACGGCCCGAAGAAGTGTTCAATTCGGAATAAACTTCTATCTACTTTCTATGTATTTTTGGATTCTTTAAATGTGTTCCCATTTATTTTTTGCTGGTAGCAATAACTAATGAAATTGTTTTCGTTTTATGGGTTTGATTTTAAAATATTGCGAACGATAACTGGTTTAGACTAATAGTAGTAGCTAATATAATACTACAAATCAGTACACATTGTTTATCGACTCCACGATCATTCGGTCAGTAGGTATTCATTCTGACTCATATTATATCAGAGACACTACACACACGTTACCTACTAGATCATTTTCGTATAAGACAAATAACAACATTTCTGCTAACAAATATTAATTGACACTTGTAAAAAACACAGACTTATACTTTCACCGGGAATCATTGTTATGCAGTCTTATTGAGTGATATTCATGCGTATATGTAGGGAGGCATGTAATATTATTATGTTCATCTATCTCATTATATACAGCTCAGTAAAACGTTAGAGCGATGGGTATTAAGATTGTAACGGACGAAACTCATACAAATGAAAATTTCTTTTTACTGGTGTATCTAATTCTTTAATTATGCGTTTATCGTCTGCATGCGTTCGTTGTCTGTGTATAATAATATATATGTTTTAACGTTATGTTTTTCATAACATCATTATTATATTATTATTATTATTATATTTATTCTTCATATTATACTTATAATTATATTGAAATTCGATATTAAACACTTGAAGTGTTTTTATATTATAACGAGTTAATACGCGTTAAATCGATTCATGAAAGTTTTACCTTTTAATTATAAAAAATAAAACTGTCTACATAATTAATATCTATAGTATTACACATACATACTTATACAGTTAGTAGTGTTTTATCACATAAAAAAGCCTAATAGAATTATTGTTTCCTATATTATCGACGGGTAATTTAACCAATTTTTAATTATATTAGAAACAACATATGGCATTTATAGTCATTGAAAATTTAACCGGAAATATATCGAAACCCCTAACTGTAGTCTGTTATAATACTTGAGTATAAATGTCTATTACCGTTATCCTTCATTTTCACAAAATCAAAAACCTTATACCGTAATTAGTTTTTTATATACCGTAGTTTTTTTGGGCCAAAAAAATCTTAATAGAAACAAAAATATAACTTGACGATTAAAATTTTTTAGTATTATTAGTATTTAAAAAGTGGTATAAAAATAATTGTAAAATGGTTTTAGAATACCCGATATCTAAATTTAATTTCGAATAGTCGGAAACCCTAAATAGTTATACCGTTTTACCAGGTATTGAGAACACCAAAACAATTTTGAAAACTCTAACCATGATTTCTAAATTAATAATTTAGCGTTCAAACCCCCTCATAGATCTGTTTCTTTTTTCTACATTAATTTAATATATAGTCATTGTTGTTTTTTTAGGTTGAATTATATGCACTCTGTCATCTTAAAGATAAGTTTGAGAATAAAAAAATAGTAAATAACCACAACTGTAATTTCTTAAATGAATAATAGGAAATAGTATAAAAAGGTATACCTACTTAACATTATTATAAGTTACATTTTACAACCAATTGAAAATTGTTATTGATTGCAACTGTTACGTTGAAAATCGTATAATAATTATGACCGTAAATCGAATTTATCGAGATAGAAACGACCTTTTACGTTGAGATGTCGATATAAAGATATAAGTTTAAAAACAAACAAAGAGTTAAGGGAGAAATTTTGTGTCGTTGACTATATTATTTACTAATTTAAAACGTAGCCTATATAATATTTATATATTTTAAGCCAATACTATAGTTTCATGGGGGTCACTTAATGAATATTGAAATATTGATACAATTCTTATTTAAAAAATTGAAACTCAGTAATTTTACAACATTTGAGTGTGTGATTTTGTTCTGCTTTTGTCCCTTTTAAGAATCAACTAAAAGTGTAGTAACTTATCATTGATATGCTGCGTGTCTTTAAAGGTTCTGTCTATCAAATCGCGTTGTGTGACAGTTTTATCATAATTTCAAAACTATCCATGCCATCGCATTTTTATTGTTAAAGACTAAACTTACATTACTACTTTTGATTCTACATGCCGTGTAGAAGAAATCGTACTATAAAACTGCTGATAATTTTTCAATTTGATCTCCAGACCGTAAATGAATAATGTATTATTAAACGACCACTGATTGGCACGATGCGGAAAACCGTGAAAGTGTTCATAAAATGTTAGATATTCCCACGACGATCTAAGTAAAAGATCTTCATATTTTGCACATGCATGAAAAGTGAAAACAATTATATTTAATGACACATGATTTATGTGCTTTACTAAAAAGAAGATTATTTTTTTTTTCATTGATCGTCTTCTGTACCTTTTTTTTGCTGTTACAATATTTTTTATCTACACTTTATCGAGTTTTAAGTTTCCTGAAAGACTGGTTAATTTTTTTTATATTATTAGTTTTTTATTTATAAGTTTATTATTTGGATAGGTATTAGTTCGCATTTGAATATAATAAAATACAAACAAAATAGAAAATTATTTGAATAGATAAAATCATTTTATAAAATATAGACATACTTACTAGAACGTTTTTAAAGTTTTTTTTATTAGCTATTTTGAACAACATGACTGCTCTAATGACTTTAATTGAGATTATTTTAAACAATAACTATTTTGGATATTTCTACAGGGCTTTTTTTTTATTACAAAAACAATTATATTTGTTGAGTATAATTTGTTAAAATTGATATCAAATATAATCGCTTGATATAAAATGTACTTTTTTATTAACAAAGTATTTAAATATTCCATTTATTATTTACTTTAAATGACATTAGATATAAAAACTAAGCTTAGTCGCATGATTTACTGGTCAACATTTAACTGGTATATTCCTATTTAACAACCACGATTCATACCTCCGTTTCCATATTCCACTTTGTATACATTTTTTGTACCTGATACCAAATACTTTTATTTTATCTACTCTATCACATATCTTTAACCCTCTTTGACAACCTTTTCATTACTTAACTTAAACTCTGAATATTTTTTAATAGACCTACTTATTCTTTAGCTTTGTCTCTCTAAAGTTTTTCTTTTAATAGCTGAAATTTAATACTTAATACAAAAAACATTGAGTTATAGTTTAAGTAATACATATTAGTTGTAAATATGTTTTCAAAATATCGTCATGTTAAGTTTATTTGTGTGCTATCAAATTTCTTATAGCACTGAGTATATTGATATAATTGAGTATATGAAAATTTTGATTCAGTTTAGAAGTGTTTTTAAAACTATTTAAAATTATGGTTTGTATAATATTTTACTCTTTTTTTAAAAACAACTTAGAGTTTATACTTTCTAGATTCTTATGAATGACATGTAATTTTTTATAATATACAGTTAGCGTTATTTATTCTCAGATGAGATTTGTGTATCTTTGGTATTGGGTTGCGTTACACAATCTATACCTAAGGTATTCTGCACTATTGAATTAAAAGATAGATTTTAGATTTTTAGGCAAAGTCAATTAAACATTCTTAATTTCTATATTTCTATATTTAACGCTTAACCCTCCACCAAGCGCACGGTTTTCAGTCACACTTAAATTAAATGTGACTTAGACGAACTTTTCACGTCAGTCACACAACTATATTATGTTACTGAGGTAAATGTTTATCCCGTGCATCTTACCTTGGGTTAAAATTTTCCAAAATAAAATACATTTCTATGTAGAAATTGTTATTTATGAAGTTATTTCTATTAAACCAGATTTAAAAACAAGGACTTAATGAATAATTAACAATTTAAATACTAATTTGCAAAAGTTATCATTTAAGATTGGTCATTATAGTCAGTTTTAAACACACATGTGCACAGGTATCATAGAATTGTTTTTATAGTTTTGCAAAAACGACTTTTAAAAATGTATTATGTGTTATGATTACATTTGTTTAGTTAGCTTAAGATGACCTCTAGCAGTACAAATTGGCTTTAAACTGAAGGCTATTGGGTATCTATTGCTTAACACAACTCCTCGATTTCTCGGGGAAATGCACTTTTGATAGACACCCGTGTACTATAGATATAGACATAATATTATAGACAGTACTATGATGTATAAAACGGAATAAATGACTTATCGATAAAAATCAATTTTTGTTTTCTCCTCGCGTTATAAATCATTTCTGATAAACTAATGGAGCCACAATAATGCGTTATTAGGATAACAGTTGATCGACTTACGGCTAGCCCGATCCTTGTAGTCATCTTGCGGATGTTGCTCTAATCCAAGTCTAAGTTAGAATAATAATTCACGGCACGAAAAGAAAAACGAGACACAATATACTATTTTACACACATATACATGGATTATAATATTATTATCTGTTATCTATAAAATTGTAATGTAGGTTGATTATTATTACTATTTTTTATTACTGTAAGAATAGTTAAAAAAATGTAAATTGTTTAACAACACATTGCGCGCACAAGACGAGATTGTTGATACAGCGGCGTCCTGGAGCCCACTACTGGTCCGATTCCTTCAATAAACGTCTTCATTCTCTCTGTTACATTTCAAACACCCGGAACTTACTTTCCCACTTACTATCAACTATACTGTTGTGTGTGCTACGGGTAGGTACTATACTGGCTAAACGACGATAGCGACGAATGAAAAATAAACCGCCGGCAACCCGTCTACGCCACACGCCAAATAACCCTATAAAACTCACTGAACATATTTTTTATTTTCTTAATTGATAGGTAGCTGATCGTGAATAATTCGCAGCCATCGTTTCGATTAGGTCCGTGGTTCAAATTTACTGATACGTTTATGAAATAATGAAAAAAAAACTTTCATTATAACCGAAGAAAGCCGCGAGATAATATTATATTAGGTATTTAGATAGAGTCTCGTGTTATTAACATTGTCTTGGCGCTGAATGAGTCACTATATATTATATTATATATATATAACATTGGTGCAAACGACTTAGAACCAGTTTTTCGATGTGAAATAATTCCCCCATAGTGTACGATTCCATGGAACATTAGTCAGTTTTCACTTAATTACAAGCACGTTTGCATTTAACACATTTAACACATTTTATAGATTTTTTGTTTGGCTCAACCGAATAACATACGGAGGTACCAAGGTTGTCTGCCCTAAAGACAGACCGCAATTGGTTCTCGTGGAATTTTATGTGCATATATATAATATTATGTTTACCGTTAAGTTTTTCCAACACGAGCCATATATTATATTATAAAATAGCGCAGTTCGACAAAAACGAGGAATTATACACATATGCATAATTATTCAATTAGCAGTGAATTATATAGTATTGGTATTGGTTATTACTGTACAAATTAAAGCGGGGAAAAAATATTTAATCATTACTTTTGCATTTTATTTGCGTAAACCGTAAAAAAAACTCTCCGATGGGTATAAAATAGAATTAACAAAATTGAATGAATAAAATTATACTTTTATAGACATTTTGTGATTGCAGTTGTATATTTTTTTTATAAAATTTCAGTGTTAATATTATTTATAAGGGTTTTTTAGAGAACTGTTTTCTCTTGAGTCTATTCTTGTGATGAAGTATTTAAAAATTAAATTAAGTTACAGTTCAAAATAAAATGACTTATACTGATCTCAAAAAGGCGGTAAGAAGATTCTATACAGGAATACAATATAAAGCTATAAGTGTCGGCCCCTGATAGTAAAATCCATTTTGTGAATATATAGGGGAAAATTGAGGAAAATCTGTACACAAAATAACAACCAGTCTAATTGTCAGTAAAACAGTACTTGGACATAATAGTAAAAACTTAACAGCTTATTACACTTTTACACAAATACTTATTAGACGTGAAATCGAAACTCAACATTAGCTATTGTTGTATGTTCTAATATATTTTACATAATTTTTATTTGTGAGCTCATGCTTAGGTATTAGGGTAAAAAGAAGAAATTAGTCTAATTTTGATCAATTTTTAATTTGTCCAAATGAGTTTGATGGTGTATTAGCGATTAATAACCTAATTTTTAAACAATGAATAAGTGTGATTAAGTTGTATACTCTATAAATATTTGCATTATTCCAAAACATAAAACGTTTATAGTAATTTCATAACTTTGATACCAAGCAAAAATACCACAGATAAATTGAGTACCTATGGAAACCGTATAGATTAATTTTTGTGGCATTGCTTTATCAGCCTTTGAATTTATCATCCAAACTTATTAAATTGAAAATAATACTGTGATAGCACATTTGTTGTACTTCTAAGCTTAGTAGAGTTTAAGTATAAGAGTCCATAGTATTAAGAAAATATAGGTAAATTATTTTGTATTCATTTAAATATCAATTTTATTTTGGTCAGTTATAATTGTATGCTTTTGATTCAACGGATAAAAAAAACTAACAATATGTAAGTTGTATTATTTATATTATCTACAAAGAAACGTATTAAAAATGTTTTGTAAGACATCTTATTTTATCTGAATTAATAAAATAGTGCCTAGTTAAAACTAGATTAATGGTTTCAAATTGTAATAAATATTAATAGACTTATATTTTGTGATAAACCGTTAAATATCTTACTTATACATAGAATATAAATCATATTTCTATAAACTGTATTCAATGATTATAGCTACTCGATTGAGATAATATAAAAAACATTTTAGTTTTTGAATGTATATATTCATAACGTTGGTAGGGGCACTTTTCAAAACCTTATTCGCTTTGAAGCGTTTAAAATGAAAGCGTTATACAAAACCATATTAGCATGAGGAACCGTCTATTTTAAATAATATTAATTTTCATATTAAAAAAAACTATAGTGTATAAATAGAAAACATACAGAAATGTTTTTTACGTCCATAGCAAGAAGAATTCAAGTAAAAGAAGTAAACAAGAAATTGTTGTTTTGCTAAAAAAAAATATAAACCTGTTGCATGAAATGTTGGGTTATGTGCATTTTTATGTTATTTACATTGCAGATGAAAAAATTTGCTTAATACTAGTTTTTAATTTGGCCAAACCATTTAAAATGAATGACTAAATAGTATGTTATACGCTTTAACAATTATTTAGCGTATAGTTTTAATTACTTAATTATAAGTTTTTATTTTTTTGGAGAACTATACTTGCGCTTATTAGAAAGTCCGCATAATTAACATATTTTCTGACAAGAGCGTGACCAAAAATTGTGTCGTTTTACACAATTAATTTGTATTTATGTGATCCTAAATTTTAATTTATGTGCTAATAATGCACTATTTTAATAACAACATTAAAAACGTAAAAAAAAAAGAATTTCCAAGAACGCTTTTCTTTAAACACGTACCTACCTATTTTTGTTTATTAAAATTTGGTGTAATTATTCCTAACATATATGAATTTTTCACTGTTTTTATTTACATTTTACCTGACGAACTCGATCTATTTTATGGCGAAACATAGTTTATATGTTGTTTTTTTTTTAAATTTTAAATACTACTCTAGTATATCTCGTAGTTTACTAATGCATGGAAAAAAAATGAAAAATTATTGCTTATTATACATTTATATACTGGGTTGTACATAACATTATTGGTTCCATAAATCGTGTTTGAATCATAGTATTTTAATAAGAGTTTATCGAGTCCTTAAAGTTTTGTTCAACCCAGCATCCATGTTGATAAATAATAATAATAATTATTATTATTTTTATAAGTACTATAATTATTATAATAGAGTAGTTTAAATTGAAAAATCTAATTTTTAATGTATTGAACATGGTTCATTAATAATAATATACTACGAATAACTATGAAGGAAATGTCTTATTCGTGGTCACAGATCAACGGTCGTTGTGAAAGACATTTTTGCCCTTCTCATTTTGTTTGATAGGATATGTTGTAAGAATGTTGTAAATGTTGACCTTTTGAAGTTATTTTAGGGTTAACTAATTACCTCCGGGTATGCAAGTCGATTGCTAAATCGCAACGGTTCGAACGAGGCGCAGAGCAAACGACAATCGAACAACTGTTTAAACATTTTTTTTTAGCTTGTTTTTATTTATAACAACTGCAATAATAAATGGGAAGAAAACAATTTAATATAATCATATGTTTAACCATTAGACTAGTTTTAATTCGTAATAAAAAAACATTGTTTGGTATTATTGGTTCCTATTATTATTTGGTCCCTTATTAGTGAACAGTAATAATTATTACAATGGTTTTGAAACGGGGCCAGTATATTATAACTGAAAATTTAGTAGTTGTACGCAGTGACCAGTGGGACATCTTTTCAGTGTCGCTAAAAATTACGGTTGAAAACGGATTGAGTTCAACGTTTTATGACCCAGTCACCATTGGGTAGTTACCACGTTGACACATTGACCTCGGTTTCTTTCAAACGATCGTTTCCAACACGTTACATAGTACGATTAAAGAGTATTATTGAAATCGTTTTTTTTTTTAAATGGAATATAAACCACAATTGACTGGTTTTTTAAAAATATTCCTTTCGTCGGCGTCCAGCTGTTTAACTTAAAGTGATATTATATGAATATTTGATTAAAATTCATAAAACTGGTTCGGCAGCGGAAGTCCTGCGTTGATTTCTGTGATGTATTATTTCGAGTACGGTAAATCGTATTTATCTATTTACTATAGCTGTATCTTAGGAACGGGACGTGCATTGTGTCTGTTACTTGTATTCTTTAGCCAATTAAAGATTAACCGCCGGGTTCAAAGATGCCCGATCAGAGATTTAAAAGTCACGGGTTATGCACGCCGCGATCTAATCGTTTGGGTCGTTTGATATATTATATAAAACACCATTTTTATGTAACACTCGTGAGAATAATAGCTATGATCGCCATCAAATTTACCTAATGTTTATTATGATGATAGACCGTAATTTGCCAGTTTTTAGGATACGGTGGCAATCATACATTCAACGGTTTCGTTGGGAATTGGATATTTGCGATAATGACTATTAAGACTACACTTAGACAAAATGTCATGTCGCCGTTTTTGTTATTAAGAAGTTTTTGTACAATCATCTTTTATCCTTATTGTAGGTGGTATATTTTTTTGGTAAAAAATGACTTAAGGCCAAAATTAAAGAAAGCTTTATAGGTAATTTGTGTTTTAATGATGATAATTTAATTAATTTAAAAAAATAATAAATGATTTGTTAATTTAAAAAAACATGAATTTTCATTGTTAGGACTTGAAAGATTAAAAAAAATTATGTTTAACTCAGTATTATGTGGCAATTTTTTAAAGTTCAGTCTTTCAATTTAGTAAGCATTACATAGTATAACTAAGCGTTCAATAGAGTTTTGACATTTTATCAATTTCCTTCATTTAGTTTTATATTTTATGAACTTGTTCAGCGAATATTTTTATTTTAGAAAAATATTACATTGTTTACACGTTGCATTTTATAAAATAATTAGAATCCAAATTTTCAATTTTTGCTGCTAAAGACAATGTTAAGATTATTAAGTACATGTGATTAATAATATTATGTATGAATTGTTTTAAATTATAAAAAAATCACATATAACATCTATGTGCTATATTATGTCATCACCTAGAAAGATACAGTTAATTACAAATAAAATTGGTGTTTGATTAGTACAAATCTTTTAATATATTTATAATATATACTTTACTTTGACACATAGTTTCGAAGATATTTTAATTGTATTATCTAAAAATATGGGTAGGTTATAGGTGGTGCTGTTACTAAGTCTAAGTACTCGATTGTCGATACAATCTTTTGCTCTGGAGTACCTAAGTATATGTACTCTCTTCTACGCACGTTCTTTTCGAATGTAATATTTTTCATATATTTTTCAATAACAATATTGTTCACGAGTACCATTGTCCTATAATTTTTTTCATACGAATATATATTCCTCTTCAGGAATGATATTCGTTTCATTTATTTGAATTCTATTGTTCCGATGTAACGTGTAATTCTAGCGAAAGTGTTCCAATGTATTTGTATCGTATTCTTCTGCAGTGTGTACATATAAACATAATATTTTATGTGTTTGTTGTGTGCGTGTATGTGTGTGTGTGTGTTATATATTATGACAAAGTCATCTTAACCATTTATATTTTCTATAGGTGAAAAAAGTAAAAATAAAATCTGACCGATAACTGCGTACCTATAGGTATCTACTTGCTATGTAGTTTCTTCGGACTCGCGGCAAGAAAATATATCTAATATTATTATCTGACCATAACCCGACGACTCTAGCCCACAACAGGTGAACCGCAGCTCTTTTCGACGAGCCATTTAATGATGGATTTAATCAATGTTGTACACTGCGGTGTACGGCTTCGCGTAGATTCTGTCAGACTGTATTGAAATGTGTGATGATTTCCTTTCACTGGATAGGAAATAAAAAAAATGTACCATTATCAAAATGGTAGCGCGGCGGCATAAATCATAACAATAACTTAGTGTTTCTCACGGTGTCTAGTCTCCATTATCGATGTAGAGGTCACAAGAGGTACAGAAAGTGAAATCATTGTTGTTTTTTTGGACGGCACGACCTAAGTTAAATTTTTATTCGGGTGTAGCATGTGTTGGACATGTAAATGAATAGAAAGCTGCTGATATATAGTGGCGTTGTGTGCCGTTTAGGACCAGAAGCACTTTCAAATAATACAAAAAAAGGTGATCATAATTTTAAGCGGATTCCTGTGAATTTTTTTGTCGATATCCCGCGTAGTACGGTAAATGTTACTACTAGATACACGATTACACGATTTATGTAATGATAATATACTACAGTCTACACCTCTCATGACGGAAAACTGGCATTTAACTAAAATTAAAATATAATAACAAAAAAAACAACAAATTGGGATCGGAGAGGTCACAGAACATTAGGGGTTATAAAAAAGTGAGAGTAAAATTCCCTCTAAAAAACTTTGATTGCAATTTCTACTTTTGCTATTTTCGGTCGTAAACAACTCATTCTAATTTTATCCTCATTTGAAATGCGAAATATAACAATAGTTTTGAAAACAGTTATAGATTTTTCAAAACTCGCTTAATGTACCAATCGAAGTACATTTTTAATTTTAATAGTATTGTAAAAAATAATTTAAAAATTGCAATAATTCACATAAAAGTTATTAATCTCGAAAAATAATTTTAAAATTGTGCACGGTCAATACCTTGTAATTGTTATAAAAACTTAATGGTATTTTTTTAAACTCAAATCATAGTATTTTCAGGAAATTACTGTTAGAAGTAGAAATATAATATGTACAAAAATAGAGCACTACGCGTTATAAAAGTTGAAAAAATACAATATAAAAACAATTTTCTTTACTGTGTTAATATATAAGTTGGAAAATTTTAGCTTAATTTTAAGTTTTAGCCTATACCACGCGCCCTAATAAATGCTGTGTATTATGCTAGGCCCCTTATGTATCAATTAAAATCACTATTTCATACGTGTTTATAGAATATTCCGAGGTAAATCGTACTTTATTTGAATTTAGCATTTAGGATTTTTCTAAAATATGTTACAACTTAATGATATTTAATTGTATATATTCAGATTTTGTAAAAATTGTAACTTTGTCATTTTTGTAGATTATATATTAGTAATAATAAGCAAACCAATTAATTTTACATTAAAGTTTAAACAGATAATTTTCTTGTTCTTTTATTTAAAAACTAAAATTGCCTGTTTAAATCTAAAATTACCTATTCTTTAGAACTCTACCAATATATAGTCTACAAAAATTGTTGAGCTACATAATTTACAAAATAAAAATACTTGATTAAAACTAATTATGATAAAAAATTGGTAAAATGATATATTCATATAATTATAAAATTATAAATTATTTATTCATTGTCCACGGTCGAACAAGTTTGAAAATAAGCCATATATTCAACAGAACCTATATCTACGCAATTTTGAAAGAAAATAAATTAATTTATGAATCAAGAAAAAGACATTTATTTTTAAAATAAAATAAAGCAAATTAATTGTTAAGAAGGTTTTGACCTTGTTTTTTTTATTGTTCCTCAATTATAAATAAATATTTTAAGAAATTGAAAAAGTACTATACTAATTTTCAATAGATCATATCTAATGATCGGTTTGAAATAAAAAGTTAAAAAAATATTATGGTCGATGGAAGCTTTTTTAGTTTTTTTTTATTTATCTTAGTTAACAAAAAAGTTATGTATAAAAACCTTTGAAATTGTTATTTATCTTGTCTAAATCTACCATCAGTCCAATATTTAGACACTAAGCCTAAAAACTACAGTCAAAAACTCGAAATTTAAAAAATGATTGGGAGAAAAGGTTGATGTTTTTTTGATTTTGTTAGCCGATTTTTTGGAATAAATTTGGACCTATCTTGACTATTTTTCGGAGTGTTTAGTTTTATAAATTAGAAAAATATATAATAACTTTATTTTGAAAAACAGGAGTCGATTCTTTTAATTTTTATCACATTTAACAAGATTTTGTCACCATTGGTTTAATATAATTTTGTCTATATTGGTTGGTAAACATTATTGTAGGTTCAGATACAAAACAAATCTCTTCTTAGATCTGGACCGAAGCCAAAAAAAATTAACCGTGTGCTGGTTAGTATATAGGTACAACGATAACGAATTCGCGCATAAGGTTTCACTGGTCCTGTCTGTGGATTACAAGTAGGTAACATTGTTTTCCGTTCACTATCTCGACACCCTCATTCCAGCAGAGAAACTATCGCTATATGTGACTGACACGTTAAATAATTGCACGTTTACCTTTGACCTTCCCGGAAGTTGTGTTTTAACTTCTAAATCACAATAGATAATTTTCGTAAGACTGACGTCTTGTCACACCTGTAAAAAGGAAAGTACGACACAAACGCCAGATGATTGATGTGGTATTCATATGAGCAATTTGCAATAGCTTCAATGTGAAGCTAAGATGCGAGTTTTTTTATTTCAATTTGTTTTGTTTTACGCGCAGGTATCGGACCTTTGCAAGGAGTACCGGCGATCGATGAATGCCGAAATCACCGAATCCATGAACACGTTCTGGGCCGAGTGTTATGAATCGTACAAAAACGCATTGGACACGAGAAACCGACATGTGGCCGACAGTCGTAAAGCGTTTCAGGTATTATTATCAAAATATATTTATATTTTTTATTATTATGAACCTCTTTGGCTCGCAGACGAGTAGGTTTGATACATCATTAAGATCGCATTGTAATTCAATTATATCACTTCTTAGTATACATTTACACAGTGGCTGGCTTTATCTTTTCGGAATAATAGACACAGTGACTTGTAATTTTCGTTTTATTTGCTAACAAAAACGAACACATATTATATATTATACATAATTGTCATCCACTTTCTAATTTTGGCTGAACCCGTTTAATTAAATCATAATTGCGCTAACTATTATTAATTAACTTAATCAATTAACTTGTCTTAATAACGACGCGCAATACCTAATTTTTTGTTCCAGTAAATTAATCTTCATTTCTTTATTCTTTGGTTATTATTTTCTTTGTATTTTTTTATTATCTTATGTGTTCAATGATGTTCCGTAGGCTACAATAGTCGATCCGTATAAAATAAAAAAACAAGAAGAAGAATCGAGAATATATTTAATTGAGAATCAAAGGAAGGCCCAACGACTATTAGTTCGAGCTAAGTGGAGACAAATTAAAGGGTACCTTTGCGGCGAACGAGGACCGTGGAAATCTAGGTCAGTATTTAAGATTTATGATTCGTATTGAGTTCTATCGAAAGTATAATTATTCACACGGTAATCGAATAGTCGAGTGGGCAAACTGTCACGGCTAAGACAATAATTGATAAAGTCTATTGAAAGTTTGATACTTACACCATTATAAAATACATATTTATTAGGTAACTCAAGTTTAAATAAGTGACATGTGACATTTTACTAATATTAGTTAAAAATATTACTATCTAGTAAAAACAAAAAAACAAAATAAAACTTATATACCAATGTACGAGTTATGTAAGTTATACTATAATATTGTATTGCTTTTGTAAAATTAATGGGATACTGCCGTTAGCAGCATGAAGTATGTGTCCATGAAACATAATCCATAGTATCGATGGCATGTACTATGCACCCGCTTCGTCATTTATTTTATTATATGAGAATCAAAATATGCACGATGATTAGTGGTATCCGTAAAGGAGTCATATTTTGTTTATTGAGAGTATGAGTTTCGAAGTATCTAAATAATATATTAATTTACAAATTATAATTTCGAGGAAAATATTTCAAAAGAAAGTAAATGTAAACTTATACCATCCAACTAATAATGTAACACTACAATAATGTAACCTAGTACCTATATTTTCAATAAAAACTTTCATGTTTTTCGTTTCGTAGGTGTCCGTATAGTAAATATATATATATATATATATATATATATTTTATATAATATTATTTTAAACTCTAAGGCTAGATTTCTCAACACTTTGTGTATAATATTGTTCTATCATAACTCACTCCTTTAACTTTTTAGAATCAAATGATTTTTCATAGTAATTGTAGAATAAAAAATAGCATTCAATAAGTTTCCAGGTTGATCTGTGCAAGTGTACTGAGTAACTGTCAATTAAGAGAATCTAAAGCATCGATTACATTGAGCGAGTTTACAAGCTGCTAGTTGAAAAATTTACCAGCTGCTAGTAAACTCGCCCAGTGTAATCATGTTCACTAGCCAACTAGCAGGTTGTAAACTATCTGCGAGTAAAGTTGAAAGCTGAGCTACTTTACTCGCTAATCGCTAGCGTTTTGGATTGTAAGCTAGTAAACTAGCCGTATGTAATCATAGTTGCTAGTAAACTAGCTGTGATTACTCATCTACTCGGTGGTTCCTGGTTTTAGTGTCTACAAAATGTCGACGGAAATAGTTCGTGCCGGAGACATTATTTTAGCTAATGCCATCAAATAGGAGTTAAAAAGAAAAGCAGAAAAGGAAGAGGACTGCGTGGGTGAAATCATGGATAGGCAGACGTGAGATGTATGGTGCATCGTCCATCGATCAGTTTACTGAACGAGTTGAAGGACGAAGACGCTTCGGCTTATCGAAATATTTTGAGATTAGACTGTACCCATTTTGAATGTTTACTGCAGATGGTAAATGGAATGCTCAAAAAAGAAGATACGATAATGATAATGTCAATTTCAGTAGCCACAAAACTAGAAGTTACACTACGTTATCTAGCAACTGGAGATTTCTTGTATTCAAAACCTCTGACAAATAATTTGCTTCATTAAACCATGCCAGCTTTGGTGAATAAACTTCTCCAGTACCACAGCCACTTTTTTTGCTTTTTTCAATTTTGTGTAGTTCTTGTCTGTAGACATCTTTAAGTGATTTGATTCTAGCCTTCAGATGTTGCTCATCCATTCCTCCAATTAACTGTTTTTCATTAAGTTCATTAAAAAGACGTTGAAAAATTTCACTTTTTAATTTTATGTCGCAATAGTCCTTGTCTTTTATATTCCATAACAAAGGGTACTGCTGGTAGACATAACCTAAGAAATTCCACAATATATTGACGCTCCATTTCATTTTAACAGTAGGACACCCAGAAATTTTAAAGGAAAAATAACAAAAACGTAATATATTATAATAAAAATGTATCCACAACACGTGGTTTTTAAACGCTACTCGCTAGCTTGTTGGCTACTGAGCGAGTGGAAAGTTTTACTTGTGATCATCACTTAAGGTTCTACTCCTGGTCTGTTGTTTACTTGTTTTGACACTTCACTTAAAAGGATATTTTACATTTTTCCTTATCATTTCAAACTGAATCTTTTAACTTTCTAACTAACTGTTACACACTAAAACATACATATTTCTATACGCAAACTAATATTTTATTTTTAATAATTTTTGTGTACGAATGAAATGTAATAAGTACAGTTTTTAAGGCTTGCTTAAACAAAATTTCTACTTTTTCCATTTATTGAATAAGTTTGTAAATATATTGGAGGAAAATGGTCAGTGCTTGTAGGACATGCATTGTAAGCCTACTCCACAGTTAATCAGTTAATAAGAATCGTTTATTATATGTTTTCGTACAATTGCAATCATTATTATAGAGACTAGGAACTAAAAAAGCGCAAATCCAGAGTGGTAACGTAGGTTGTTGTTGCTATTAATGTTGTTGAAGTAGAAGCATTAATTAATTTAGTTTCTTTATATAAAATCATTGTTTATCAGAAAAAAAAGAAAGTTACAATGATTGCACAATTGTATTATTTATAATGAATTAAAAAAAGCTCTTTCATTGTGTAATATGTCATTATAATATGTACTTTAAAGGTTACATTGAGAATTTTAATGAATTTTTTAAGCGTCTGCCAGTATAGGTATAATTATTATCGTTGCGTTATTTTTAATTACTTACTTTCATCTGTCGTTAACGTGTATTTTGTTCTTTTATCTTTGAACTGGGACGAGTGTTCTTAAAATTAAATTGGCCTTTTTCAGCTGTCTGCTTAAATTTTACTCGGCCATTGACTATTACTCGTCGGTATTTTAGACGGCGTTATGCCTTATTATATTTTAAATGTTTTCCACGTCATTAAACCGTACCCGTGTGCGCGCGTTTTTTTTTACTCGTACTCAACCCCTTATTAATGACTTCGCTTATATCGTATGGATCGTATGCGGCTTTAAATACTAAATGGTTTTGTCACGAGATAAAGAGATTGTGACCAGGGTTCAACAAGTGACGGTACTGCGAGTACGAAAAGGTTAGGAGGACGACGAATGAGCAGACATAATGTGCGAATAAAAATAGCATTATAGAACCAAATAGAGAGAGCGGAAGAAAATGTTTGATGGACACGGTAAAAATATATCGCGGACGGCTAATATAGCTTATTCAGATAACATATTGTGGTTCCTGGCAGGAGTGATTCATCGGACTGTTCGACGTACGGCGGATGAGTCGTCGGGGGAACATTATTATCTTAAATGTTGTTTACGATTAGATGTCGGATAAGCGACTTGTGAAGTGTGTGCGGTCGAATGTATTATTTTTGACTTGCGCCAAAATATCTTATCGAGCAGTGCAATTTGTTTATGGGTCATTGTGATCGAACGATTACTGTTTGGCACACTAAACCTATACTGTAGTGTCCAGTATGTTGAATACTTAGACGTGAAGTCCGATTACACTGTAAATGGCTACAGTTGTAGACTGGTAATCGGATTTAATCGACCGCGTCGCACTCCGAGTATAGTAATAATAATACTAGTAATAGTATAAATAAAAGTGTTGGTCGATTTATTGTAGTGTACAGTAGAAATCTAAACGTTTTAAACGTGTAGAAGGTAGAAGGATGGTATTATAATATTGTTACACTATGTATAGATTATTAATTTATGTATTGTTTAATGGATACACATTATACTTGTATATGTAGATTTACGCGTTAACTCGGGGGTATAGGAGGTACCAGTATAATTAATTTAAAAATAAAAATTAAGTACAGTCGAAAAATTGGTGCGTTTATTAATTTTTTTAAGTTCTTAAAACTATTTTGATACACTATGTTATACATGTGTATGTGTACATAATTTAACCGTGTCAATAAATTAAATCCTTATGGTGTTCGTGTTCCGTCGCGTAGTCAGTGTGTTTATCTGTAACCAGTTTTTGTTTTGGTTTCGGGCACGGCCAACGTATTTTTCAATGGTTTGGAGCCTGCGGGTGCATACCTGACCGGTTCCACTTCGACGGCGTCCACTTTGATGGTTTCCACGTCATCCGCGGCGGCGACCGTCGGCACGAACACGGATTGTTGCGCGTCAGCGGTCCGTTGCACGTAAGCGTTGAACCCGTGGGTCGGGTCGGCCGTATAGTCGACGGTCCTACGTGAACCATCGGGTTCCACCAGCGAGTACCTGCCCTTTACTACGTCTCCTTGTCGGGTCTCTTCCTGGCTCTTGGAGTCACCGGTCAGCTGGTCCTGCACTTGGTAAGCGAACGAGTACGACGGGTCAACCGGAGCTTGCACATGGGCCGGCAACAGCTGCACGTATCTAGCTACCACCGGCACGGCGGCAGCAGGAGCATATGCGGCGGTCGGCGCGTACACTTTGCTTTGAACGGCCGGCGCCGCAGCCGCCGTCTTGGGGGAGGCTGCTACGAGTTTAGCCGGGGCCGGTGCGACAGCGGGCACCACTAACCTGGCCACTGGATCAGCTGTGTATGCGGCCACGACTGGAGCAGACTGGTAGGCTGGCTGTAAAAATGTCCAAGCCACTGGTCCGTGAGAGGTCAACGACGTGGTGGCGTAAGCCGGAGCTGTCAAGATGAGTTCGGCGGCGGCGGCCGAAGCCACTGCAGCTGCTATTAACGACAAAACGACGAACACCTAAAAAGCAGATTGTTTTCGTTAATAATAATAATGTTTTGTTGATCGTGTTTTAACAACTACAAGTTAATACATGAGACATAAATAGTAATAGCGTTTAAAAAATGATAAGTTTTACTATTATTTGTTAGAATCGGAATGGGGGAAAAAGAATTGTACTTAAATGAACATTAGCGAGTTATCATATTTTTATATTTGTAGTGACTAGTCAGGATTGTCTTTGTTTCTATATATATATATATAAACAAAAGACTGTTTGTCAATAGACGCTATAGATGGATGTAGGAATTGCGCAGCCAAACACACACAAACATAAACGGACAGAACGAAAAGTTGTCTTATTTTTGATAAGGACACATATTGTGATCTCGAGATTCTAAAAAAATTGTCTAGAGAACCGCTTTCTTTTTAAATAAACAAAAATCGAACTGACTGTATCAGTCTGACAAAGATTATCTACAAATTGAGTATCCTAATTATATTCATTATATTTTTAGATTAAAGTTAAGAATTTGCGAAAAATTGCCTATTCTTGACTCCTCAATAAATAGGATCAACAAATTCAACTGTAACGTTCGCAATGACATCTTAGTGGCGAAACGGTTTTTGTACAAATCATTTTAAAAACCAAATAGTGCAAAAATAATACTCTATACATATTTTGTACTTACTTTCATGTTTGTTTGTGTGTTTGGCTGTTGATTCGTTGATGATGTATTGCTCGATGAGACTGATCGATTGAAGATGTGATGACTTAAACGTCGCTGGTATCAGCTTATATATCGTTCAAAAGACCCTCAATCTCGCCCCTCCGATATTAAGGACGTTTTGAACGTGTGGACAAATTTAATTTGTATCGACGAGCATAATACATATTATGATAATAACATGAAACTGGCACCGTGATTGGAATAATTGAAGTCAAAAACTCATCGTGTCTCAAATGACCATGATTAATCGTCAACGTCTGCATTTTGCAACGAAATAGATCATTAAATATAACATCCACATGCCAAATACTCTGGCATAAGGTTACCTATCAATAGTGTAATTGACTACCCTACTACTGTACTTGTTGGTAGTACCTAAACATTGTGCAGTCGAGTCATTTACGGTAACGTTTGTGTTCGTCTCATTTAGTACTGTCGTTCCTATGTAATGTTTCATAAAAGCTGTAACCTGTACTATATTACAAATTTGAAAACAGACGACAACAGTAACGGTATGTAAATCAGAAAACGGCGGTTTGTTGTGATTTATAGCCAACAATAGATAATTATAATACTTGGCAAGCTTCCTCTGATTGTTTATGCGATTAAGCAATAGCGTGTATATTTTGAGTAAATAGAAACACGTACGTGAGAGATGACTGGGACGCGCTATTTTATTTGTCGAGGACATTTTGAGTGGTTTGTATTGCAAGAATGATCTAGGCCTAGGCCGCTGCTGTATCTAGATTTGCATTAATCTTGGCTAAAAGTCCATACGTATGTTTTTAGATCATTTCGTAGGCTCCTTGTGTGTCAGCTTATTCTCAGTAGCATTGGGAACAATGGTTGAACGTAGATACAATGCAGAATATCAATAAACCGATTGGATACCTCTGAAAACAATAAATCTATTGTTTAATGACTTGTGGTCGTAATTTAACTAAATAAATATCATTGTCTCGTTTGCCGAGTGTATGGCTAACCGTTAGCGAGGTGGAATTTAAAGTTTATCTGCAAGGTTGATGAGTGTTTTTTTTATTATACTTTTTTACTATATGTTTTTACGCATTGTGATCAGTCTTAACGGATGTCCTATGCATTTCACTGCGTAGCTGAGACTGTACAGTGGATTATTACTTTTTCTAGGATTCATGACATTAGTCCTTTGGGAGTCAGTAATAGGTTCAGAGTTAAAATGACACAACAAGAACAGGAATGTGTTAAAAAAACCCCGTTGTTCTTGATTACACTATTAGAGTTGATGAGACTTATAATATTCAACACAAGTATAGCATTATCAGAAAATATGCAATATAATAAAATAAAATATGCGATAAAAATAAATATTTTATGTAACATAATTATTATTACATATTTGTAACAAATAAAAGTTGATCATTTTATGTATAATTTCATATTTTCCCCAATTGTTTACTATTACACCATTTTTCACGTGTGAATACTAATATTAAAATATCATCCTATGTCATATGATGATATTTTAAATGTAATTGTAATTGGAAAATGGGATTAAATGTAACTGCAGTGATTTAGTTTCAGTGATTCCAAAAGTTGCGATTTTACACTTATCCCCCTTTGCCCGAACACCACAGATTTTATGGATAACGGATCACTTATAACTGCTTGATTTGTTATGTTATTCAATTTTGGCATATTAGTTATTATTTCCTTCGTGTTAACAAAGCAAAATGATTATAGTTTCTTGTAAGTTATATCTTTTAGTTTCATTAAAAGACATGGGAGTTTTTTTATAAACTCATTATTTTGTTTTACTATTTCGTTATTGACAAAAAAAAATGTTGCGCAATGAGAGTCTGGATCGTGTTCCTCTCTATCACATTAGGTTACTGACATCATTAGTAACAGTGTGTGGCCACTTGCTTTCGAAAATATTCTCAGCAGGAAATAGCGTTTTAATTTATTGGATACAAAAAAGTAATATTAAAATAAACACTATTTTTTTTTTATTATTAAAACACGATTGTTTTTTCTATACATAACGTATTTTTTAGTAAATTGAATTTTTAACAATAATATAATTTTTGTAAATTAACAGTTTTATTTTATTTAATTAATTTTCTATTAACTCCGTGTACATACATGATATACGGTCTAATAGGTATTAAATTATTTATTGTAGAATTCGGCGCTTCTTCCCGAATGCGTGCGTGATTGGTGATCTTTCCGCTAACACCTAAACTGTATAAGATCATGACTTCGGTGCAGCAGTTCCGTTTCCTTGTTGGTCACCTGTTACGTTGAATGATGTTTTAAGTTTAATTATTTTGTTGTTATGTTCGGGTTTCTGAGCTCCGTTTCCAGCGGCGGACGGAACTATTATTGGCATTAACGGTTTGGGCTGATAAGATTCGTTTGGTCTGCCGCCCCTATTGAATATTTCCTTGCGAACTACTGCATTGAACCCGGTGTCCGGTGTGGCCGTGTACTCCACTATCCTGCGGGTACCGTCCGGCTCTACCAGACTGTATCTTCCTGACACGTTGTCGCCTTCCCTTATTTCGTGCTGGTCTTTCAGATCGCCCGTACTACTGTCTTCGATCGTATAACCATAACTATACCGGGCCTGCGGCCATCCCTCTGGCTGCCTAAGTCCCTCTGACTGCTTTAGACCCTCCGGCTGCCTGAATCCGTTGATATTTTGACTTTTGAAATTTTGTCCGTTGTAGTCTTGACCATTTGGATTGTACGGTTGTGAAGGGCGCGACTGTCCTTCGCGTCGTCGGGGCGTCAATTGTTGGGAGGGTACGGGTTCATATGAGGCCGCGACCCGTCTCTCGGGTTCGGGTTGGTAATACTGTATTGGAGACTGGACCGGTTGATGTATGAAAGGTATCCGACCGGAACTAACGGTCAGCGGTATGACTTGGTAGTGTTCACCGGGCATAGGATACTGCAGGGACTCGTACGAAATGCCGGACGAAGCTGCCGGTACAAAGATCAAAGGATTCAGGGATTCAGCATTCCTTTCATTCGACTGTTGGCTAGCAGCACGAGTAAACCAAGTGAACATGACCAAACTGTACACCTGTCAAAGCAAATATTTTGAATAAGATTTTAACGTGATAACATGTTTACTCAATATGCGTGAAGTGACTAGATTCAGATAGAACTGGGTGTATAAATAGTCATAAAACAAATTAGTAATAAAAAAAAATTTGGAAGTACCGATAACTGGAAATACGAGAGAGAAAAGATTGAGATAATTTGGGTAAATTACAAGAAAGGAGAAAAATAAAATAGCAAAACAGATTACAGAGTTATAGCTTTAGAGAAATGTAGATGAACCGATGATTGAAGAAGAACATGGAGGTATGTGTAGTTCCATGCTACCGTTTATCAAACGTGCAATACATTAATTTCTGTGCGTATAATATATTTTTGGGCATTTGTTCTGGTGTACCGGGTATTGTTCTCCTGAAGACTTATATAATGTTGCATAAAATAATAATTGATTTTGTTATTGGAAAATTAGGTATTATACGTTTTTTTTATTATATAATCATTCGTAGAATATATAAATCAAGCATTCACCATTGTATCCACGTTTGAGGGTATCCTGTTCAATGTGTTCAAGAAACCGGTAAAATCGATTAATTGAACTACAAATAAATAATTGCGCGCAACTAGACCCAGGTCAAAAAAAAATTACTAATACTCAATGCAATATGTAAATATATATATAGATGTTGAATAATTTCAAATAATAATTTTCTAGTAAACGTCCTTGAAAATTATTTAAGCCCGGTACCATGATTTGTGGTTGAATAAACAAAATCGGATCGTTAACGAATTATCAATTAGAAACGGCTGACCCTAGTTTTGTACCAGATAAGGTTGCAATGAAACGTATTCTGCGTTGTTTTACTTTACTTTTATTTTTTGCACAATACTGTGATAATAGTAAAAACAGATGTGAAATCAGGTAATTGTACATTTCGCCACTGTTCATTGAGAATCGAATGCATAATTTGATCTAAAAATGAGTCGCTTAATCCGCGTGTCTAGAATTTATAATTTGAACGACTCATAATTTGTTGATATTTATACTTTTATGTACAATTATTTGTCATTTAATAATAATGAATAGTTATTATAACAATAACACCTAAGGCAGGTATCGGCTTGTAAAGCATTTTTCTTTTCCTTTACCTTTATTCTACGGTTTTATAATTATATATTTATTTTGGATTTATCATTAATGTAAATCAATATATTTAAGGACTGCGATGAACCGCTAATAAATTGGAAAATGGAGCCAAAAACGTGGATACTAACTAGAACAAAAAGAAAAACGAAGTACATATAATAAATATTGTTATCAGTCCCATACTAATCCTGGTACTTTCTTAACAGGGCGATTTTATACTAGAACCCCGTTATAACTTAAATAATTAAAAACATAAATTGTTAAATATAATAAATTATAAACTACAAAAAATAATCATACATAATTTAACTAAAACTAAAATAGATCTTGAGTAAAATAAAATAGTTGCATGAATTATATTTAGTTTATTCATAGTTCATTAACATTTTATAAATAACTAATGATTAAGTTTTTGAAAATATATTAGAATAGATAATGTTTATACACATTTGCAAAAATTAATAGATGAGTCATTAAGCCCCCCGAATCCATGTGCTATGGCCTGATTAATATATTCAACACTTGTATGCGATGCGATGAGAATGAGAAACAGTTTTTTGTTAAAATGGTGCGACCGAGGTAAAATATTTGGAACATATTTTATCTAAAAATAATATACTATATTTTTAAGGCATTTGGTAAGGATAGTTGATTTGAAAAGTTGTCAAGTAACGGAACTGTGGTCTTACCTTTTTAGAATGGAATTATCTAAATGAAAAAAATAGTTTGAATGTGTTTGATAAATACCAAGTGTCTAGACAGTAGTTTAGTTGGTAGAATACTAGCAAATCTAAGAAAAAAATCGTTAGAATCAATGCGGGTTGTAAGACCTATTTCGAGGGTACCTTAAATAATTTTAAAAATCTTAAGAAACGAACATTGCGTTTGACGTTATAATGTACACGTTTCTCAGGATCGGATTAAACCGTTCATAGATCATAGGCACTCGGGCTATCCCTAATTATTTCATAACATCTCTGTAAAAATTAATCCAAAACTTTTAGCACCTCCAACACAATAATTTTTTATATCTTTTTATAAAATAAAAATGTTATAAAAATATTACACAATAAGAATTGTGTTTAATTTTAAACAAATACAGCAAGTTTAAATGCAATTTTTAACTATTTTACAAAGATTTTTAATTTTTGTCAAAACATAATAATCATAAGGCTGTCGCTTTTCTTGTATCAACAATTTACATTTTAATTATTTATTTACAAACACTCCAAGTCCTCTATAGGGCCTAATTTCGACTGTTATAATAATAATAGAAATTTGTTGAAACAATTATTTTAATAAAAATAAAATTGGATGGATGTTGAAATTTTTCTTTTGTTGTGCCCATGGGCCACTAATAGTAACTGGACTATCGTTAGTCGTGGGCTATGTGTTTTTCCCTGGGCTTAAGATGCGGTTGCTGTATCGTCTATAGGTTATTCCGATCTTCAAAATCGCCTAAAAAATATGTATGAATTTTTTTTAGTCCTACTCGAAAATGTATTGCGATTTTCACCAGATTTCCATAAATTCGACTTTAATATGCTGTACACTATTCACTCTATATAATCTTTTTAAATAGCAATGTATTTTTGTTTAATACAAGAAAGAAAGCGTAGGATGGCAGTAAATTTTGTACAATGCGCACTATGGAATAGCTCTTTAATGAGTAACCATCGACAAATTATATTGTCGTCTATGCTAAACGTACTTTTACTTTAGGGTTCGGCCCCTGCATATTTTTTTATTATAATGAAGATATTGTTCATCGCAAAAAAAAAAATTATGTGTATGTATTTAACTTACGGTTACATCCATGATGTACAAAAATAATATGATCTACAACCTGCACGATGAGTTCCTTTCTCTAGTGAAACATACTGGCGCACGGCAACAACAAAGCTAAGTACTCACATAAGTCACCCACGGTGGTGCATATAATGTATTATATACCCGAGTCGAAGCCTATGTATTTTTTAACACTTGCGGAAAGCCAATTATATATTTCCTAAAGCAGTGTCTTGCGCGCCAGTAGGGGTTTCCGTGTCAAATTAGCGGATCGAGTCATATTATTATTGTTGTTATAATTTTGTTATTATTATTTTTTACATAAAAATATTATCTTCGACCGGATATCGAATTACCCGATGCCGGTGTGCCTTACGCGATTACTGTTCGGTGGTTGAACATTGATAAATTATTATTTCTACATTTATAATTATTATTGTACTTTTGGCTTTAACAATCGGTCACTTATTGTGCTTACAACGCTGAACCGTGGTAACAATTATACGCGTATCATTATCGGCTACTAATTAATGAAATATGCTTACGTGCGATACAAGTATATCCAGTCCAACCGAACGACGTGATTAGCGTTAACCGCCACGCACGCTTTCTAGTAATTACACTTTCAGTTTTAAGCGTTTTTAATGTTCTTTATCGATCACATGAGTTATTACAGAAATGTGAGCTCATCTCTTAATAATTATAATTGTACGTTTATAGAAGTTTCTCAATTTGCGCCAACTAAATAATAGTTATTAGTTTAAGCTAACCTAGTAGTAAAAGTATTTTATTTTTTTATATATTTCAATGCGACCATTATGATCGTAACATTAATAATAATAAATTAGTCTGTCGGTTCAGCGAAAAATAATTAGTCTGGGTTAAAAAAAATCACATTTGACCGATTAAAATCCAGGTGGGCCCCAATTATACGAATCACGTTTACAGTAATTCACACGATAGTAAAGTAATTTTTAAATCAACAATGTATTGCCGCTGAGGCTTTTTATTGACTCGGAACAGCGGCTTTTAATAAATAACGAGAACCACATTTCTTCGTGTGACACTTTTTTTTTAAAGAACTAGTTTCTGCTATGGCAGAAAAGATGTATCCGTCTTTTCGGTTTTAAAACGATCACAATCACAGCCATAGGACATCGTATTTTTGGCGCGATTGCCAAGTTTGCAAACATTAAAAATTATGACATGTTCTTACATAGTATGTCATTTTTTATCTGAATTTATTTCTATGTTTTGTCATTAGTTAAAAAAAAGGTGGAACGATGCGGAGCAACATTGTAGTGGGGCAGTTATTGGTCTGAAAGTTAAATTAAAAGTGATTTTATATCACTTTTCAAGAACGGCTTCGGTTAGAATTAGTAAATAGTAAAAACGTAAAATATTTTATAATATGATTGATAATGTGTTTATAAACAATGAGCATGTTGTTAATTTTTTTTATTTCTCTTAAAAAATTGTCAGTTTTTGTAAATATGTGTCACTTTAATAACTTAAATCTAAAAAATGCGTCAAAACAAAGTTTTTCTACACCTTCTGGGGAAAGTGTTCGTGATATTTTACTACCTTGCAGGTGATTAAATTTGTAAAATGGTAGTGTCATACCTAAAGAATACCCTAAAACAACTTGAATTTATAATCTACCTTTCATAAATTTGGTGAGTACTGTACCTACTTTTAAAATTATATTTTATGTTTGTTATTCTCGATTTTAAATGGTAAATGGTCAAGTTTTTCAACTTTTCACAATATGAAGTACTTTTTGTGTACAAATTCTGATTTATAGACAGTATTTATGAAGAATCGGTCCAGTGGTTAAAAAGTGTTTTTACATTTTTGTTTCCCAAACCATCTAAACTAAACGTCATGCTTTATTAAAAAAAAGTAAATAAATATCACCATATGAATATGTTAAAACTATTCATTACATTAAATATTTTATCATTCTTTTAAAATAAAAAAAATCAAATCAATGAGTAATAATTAAACAGAAATTTAAGTATAATTTATTATTCAATTAGCACTAATAGTCTTAAGGGCGTATTCTCATTCGGACTTATAAAAAAGATTGTTTTAATGTATTCATACAAAAGCTATTTAATCTATATATTATAAATTTGGCAAAATCTGTAAGCAGTACACTTTTTTGAGTTCTTTAATTAACTAATATTGATCTTCGTCAGTTTTACGAATTATAAAATATACATAATATACACAAATATTTTTACTAAACTTATAATTGTAACTAGGACATTAGCGTAACAATAAAAAGTCTATCGTAAGTTATTTTTAAGAAAATGGATTAGTACAATATATATTTTATTTCATTAGAATATTACGCCTTACAATACGACATGATACTATAACATTACAATCATGTATAGTGTTCAATTTGTCGTACTAAGGAGCTTTAAAAACATTTAACCGGGGAGGTTAAAGCAGTATTTTTTAGATTTACCAATTATGTTAAGTATTCTAAAATAATACATAATATAAGGAAGAAAACAAATGAATTAATGTAACTAGTATAGTGATCGGTCATTTCAAAAACGACATAAGTCACCGATTTTTCAAAAAAGACTTTTTGTCAAATTTGATAATTATATAGGTAGTTACATATTCTGTGTAAAAATTATATTTTTCAGATTCATGGCATTTGTCAGAAATATTTTATTTTATTTTAAAAAATTATACCAGTTTGAGCAATAATTCAATTTCTGTGTTTATTTATTTTATTTTATTTCTTGACCTAATTTCTAAATGATAAATTTCTATTCCCTGCAAAAACAACGCAAGTCAAATATGTCTTATCTCAATTTAATGAATTATGGTCAAAGTTAGATTATTTAAATAAAACTATGGATTATGAATATACGATATCCTATAAATGAATTAGTTAATAGGTGTAAATGCAAAATAAGTTGAATTTTTGGAGTTATGAAGTTTTTTGTGGCTAGTGTAAAACTTCAATTTTGTGAAATGACCGATTCATTATTATAGTTTATGACAAAACTATTGAGTTTGTTTAGCATTGACTAATTAAGTTGAGCATTTTTTTTTTAAATTTAGTTAACTCTTTTGAAAATTTTAAATCATTAATATTGGCATTAACCTACCGTCTAATTGCCAATTTATTTGTCGAATACATAATAAACAACAATATAATAATTATTGTATATAATCACATCTAAATTCTAACCCGTTTTGCGAATAACATAGGCAACTTAATAAGCGTAAAGAAGAACGAACAAAAACACAGCTTTCCATCAGTATTTGTATGTACAAAAATATAATTCGGATACAATTTTTACTTTTTGTTTAACTTATTTTTGTTTATCATTTAGATGAGTCTTTTTTGTTTATGCTTTTGACTTTTTTTTGTTGTGATGCGGTATACAGGGTGAACTATTTAATGTATAAAGACAGTGAATATCTCTTGAAATAATTTCAAATTTGTAGTTTTTCTTATTTAAATTAAGAATACCTTTCTGAAAATTTTAACTGGAAGATAACTTAACCTAACCATTTTTGAAGGATTACTCTTTCTTTTTAAAGATATTAAAGTTTATAATTTAGGACGAGGGATGGAGTGCATTTGAGTAATGGGTGCAGATAAAATAATGCTACACTTCACTTTTCCTCTTGTCCTCAATTTTCAAAGAGCTTTGAAATATATATTCAAAACAGGTTATCCACCATTCAAAATTGTTATTAAAGTATTCTTAACTTTAATGTATTTTCATCATATAAGGGTCGCAAGTCGATAGAACTCAGTGGCCACTTGGTGGACGCAAATGTGGCCAGATACCAAAAAATCGTGTTACATATCAATTCAACAAGATTTTTTCTCCCAATTTCAAATCTGACATATTTTTTTTCGTAATATAATTTTTTTAATGAAATACGAGTTCTATTTTAAATAATTTTAAAATTAAAAAAAAATGAATATTATTTATTGTACCCATAGAGCATCCTGAATGTATCATTTGAAGCTCGGTAGAACTTTACATGACACCCTGTATATATCTAGATTCTAGGCCATTGTTTTCCTAGATGAATTTTGTGTTGACGGAATTTAAGAGAATGTGATACTCTCTATTTATTGACTAGTTAGGGATAGGCAATTTTTTGTAAAATCTTATTTTAAATCTCAAACTGTGTAGTTATTAGTTTAGTGATCACAGCATCTTTGTCATCTTTCGTTTTCGTTGCAAATATTTTTGCTCTAAAATCATCACGGAGCGAGTAAAACGCATTCTGCGTAGGTATATTTTAACGTTGGTAATTGTGAGTGTCGCCCTTAAGCTTGAAGCAAGGATAGTTGTTTAGTAAGTACAGGAGAAATAAGGTTCTCGTTTTCTGTTACCTAATTATTGTTTATCTCGTATAAAGAAATACATTTTAGTTTTTTTGTTTTTATAAAAATGTGTTATTTTCATAACTATAATTTGTTTTTTAAAGATATAATTTAAGTATACAATATTTATTGTATTTATGTAGGTGCGTTGAAGTCATCAGAAACTAGGTAAGCTTTGTACACTTAATCGTTGAACTGAATATTAATTAAATAAGTATCATCTATAATTTTTGGTACACCCGGATTTTGTAATTCCCTGCCCTAAGAAATAATCTCATACATACTAATAATTATAAATTGTACCCGTCTAAATGGATAATAATACCCGCTACACGTCTTATAAAGCAATTTGTCTCAGGCGGCTCAGCCCAGGACTTTTTATTTCCTTGACGTAACATTTTTCGATATAATTACGTATTTTCTTATTTGTACGTTACACGATTTTGAGTTGGCAATTTTAGAACTTGAGTATTGGTATTATACACATATATTAACTATAATTAAAAGAACTGAAATGAGTATTATAATATTATATTTGAACACTAGATGAGGAGGAGTGGCCACTCGGTCAAGGGCACTCCGTTTGCCGGGCGAGCAATAGTCCGGTAAAAAGGTTCATGATGGCAGTGTTGGGCCTTAAAGGCCCGTTAAGCTTGATGATGATGATGATTTGAACACTAGTTCGAAATAAATTATAGTTCGCATGCATCGAAGATTTGAATACATGAATATGAAGAATATTTCTTAGTTTATACCTTTTATGCACATTTCATCCACAATAATAAGTGAGAATAAGAAACAATTATTAAAAACTAATTTTTGTTACTAACTTCTTCTTGTTTAAATACACTTATAAGTGTACCTGCATATTTTATTTCTTATTTTACAATTCACTTTTAAATTAATATATTTTTAAAAATTCTGCCAGCTATTATAACTTATATAAGTATAACGTATAAACTTTATTAACTTTTTAAATTAAAAAGACAATTACTAAAAAAAATTAACTGCGAATAGTTTTTTTCATTACTGTACCACGTTCTGAGTTTTCACCAGTTTGGCATATTTATATAGAGTTCAGCCTATAGTTATAGTGTACAAATAGTTAAAATATACTTTATTTTTAAGATTAAAGGATGTACGTTATAATAGGTATGGCGTCGTCTTTAGTAGGTGGTAGTATAATTATGTATTATTTTTATATAAAAAGAAATGATAACAAATTAATTATTTGATATTAGGAGTGGGAAATTTTGCTTACTTTATTTTACAATTTTCATTATTTGTAGCCCTCAATTTCTCTATTTTCTAAAAAATGATGATATGCGAAATTTCAATAAAATTGAACGACGAAAATATGTGCACTAAAGCCTTCGAAACTCCAATCATGTATCATATTATCTAAATAACAAAAAAAATTAAATCATTTTATTAGGACCTAAATAAAAGATAAATAAATTATTTTATTGACATCATGATTTTACGACCACCTTGTTTGATTTTAGTAGATATAAATGTACATTTTATATCTTAGTCATTTCAAAAAACATTTAAAAAGTATAATAAACTATATTTTATTAAAGTGTTCTGTAGGTAAACTCGGCGTACTATATAATATAAAATTAAAATAAAAAATCATATTTTCGGATGGTAGGAAAGGCGTTCGTTTGCTTAACGACATGCGTTTCTTTGCTTAAGGTGAGATCTCAATGATACAATGGGTATGATGGGTACGACGGGGCATAGGCTTTGTTGATGGCTGGGTAGTACGGAGCAGGACCGTACGCCTTGACCGGGTACGGGGCGGGCGCGTACGCCTTGACCAACGGTTCCTTAGTGACGACAGCGTTGAATCCGTGGTGCGGGTCGGCGGTGTAGTCGACGGTTCTCTTGGTGCCGTCTGGGTCGACTAGGCTGTAGGATCCGTGAACGACGTCGCCTTGTCTGGTCTCGTGCTGGCTCTTGACGTCGCCGGTCAGGTGGTCGTGCACGTCGTAAGCGTATGAGTACGACGGGTTCGGGTCGTAGTCGATGTCGTAGGCTTTGGGTGCTACCGCGTACTTGATCGGCGCCGCGTAACCCGGAGCTGGAGCGTATAGGGTGGGTGCGTATGGAGCTGGAGCGTACACTGGCGAGCCGCATGTTACCGCCAAAACCGATGCTAAGACTGCAAACTGAAAAACAAAATATGTGTAACTTCTAGTGTGAGTACATTAAAAGACTCTTGGGAGGTACGCCAACAACAGACAAACAAAGAGAGAATAGATTAATTGCTTTGGACACGTTAAAATAATAAGAGAGAAATTTACAACAGTAAAGAGAGATAAGAGTAGAGGTAAATAGACTTGAAGAGTAGAGAATAAAGATAGAGATAAACCGAAGAAGAACTGCTCAGTGCAAAAGTTCACCGAGTCAATTTTTTTTCACTTGGTGCGGCTTTTTTGCGCTAAATAGGTGTAATAGTATTTCAGTGCCACGTTGTACCAAGTCCTTATATCATCGCAATGCCGCAAAATGGCAATATGCGAAAAATAATTTAGGAACCAATTACTGGAAATCGGCTATGATGGACTTGGTTCACTTTTGCTCTGAAACCTCCAATTGGGAATGATATATAAAAAAGACGCGTAGAGTAGATCCGTGACTGAACTTATTTGTATGAGAAAAAGCGATAATGAAGAACATATTCAAGATTTTAAGCCGACAACACGGTTTAGGCGAAAACGGTATTCGAGTAGGTACAAGTGAACTAAGGTTTTTTTATGTATCTGATTCAAGCTACTTAGTCTGTAGTAAACATAGTAATAGCTCAACTATTCTCTTAACTACTCACGGTTGATATTCGAAAAACTTTTTATTAATATTTAAATCTTTTAAATTTAGTTAGTAAACTACAAAGAACCTAATATTAAAGAGTTATCACTTGTACACCCGTGTCAGAAATCTAGTATCTACGATGTGTACTCACCCTGAAAGCCATGGTTGTGTTTAGATGTATGTGATTTTCTTGTGGGCTACAGGAAAATAGTAGTGCACTGTACCGAACGATTTACTAACTTCGACTGGTGTGGTTGTTGGCGGCCCGTGGTCTATTTATACGCCGGGAACTCGTGGGTTATTATGATTATTATTTTTTTCTTAATCCGAAGATCGAACCTTCCGAGACCACTCCCAGATGCAGCAGGAGGTACAAAGCGGCGAAGGTGTACACATACATACGAGCCAGAAACACACACACACACACACACAATAAGGGAAATTATCGATGGCCCCCGCGGCTTTGTCGACAGCCCCGGTGACCACGTAACAAATATACCGAACAAAGCTAAAAAACCGAGATTGGCCATCCTATGGCCGTCCTAAGCTGTCGTAGATGTTCATACTATCATTATTATTATGTCGCATATAATACACGTTGTAAATGACCTTTTTGCCAAGGTGCGTGAGACGACCGTGGCCTCTCTGGTTGGCCGGCCGTGGTCACTCATCCCCCATCGCTCCGTTTTCCACGGACCATTATGCAGATTTTCCACGTTAAACGCCTCCATCATACAAAAAAAAAAAAAAATGATAATAATAAAAATAATATTATTGTTGGACGCCGACCGTGGTCTACGCAAAAAACGTCAGTTTAGAGGACGTGTCGCGCATTGACGGCAGTCATCGTCGTACAGAACAACAATATTATAGTGTGCGCTGTGACATGAGGAATCTCCTATTGACAAACGTCTTTTGTGAGCGCCACTTGTGTCAAACGTCAAGAAAAACGTCTCCTTGAGGTCAGGCTGTCTCGACGCTACCCCACCTGCCTATTTTTATCTAAGAAAAACATTCTTCGTTATTCCATGAACATATTTTATGGTTTGGATTGTTGTACAGCAAAATAAAATATATTGGGCTTTTATAAGGAAAGATAATAGAAGAGTGCAGCAAGAGCAATAATGGAAATTATGTAGTAGAAGAAAAATAAGTAAAGAAAGGCTAAAAATGAAATATGACGTGTTCGTGGATGATATGAAACAGAATGTGATGAGTGGACCTAAGACGCTAGGTTAACTAGTTTGGGGAAAATAATTGTAAACAAACATTAAGAAAAGCTTGATTTACAAAATGATGATATTATAAAATATATAGTTGCCAAATATATAAAGGAGTATCAAGAAAAAAACTGTTGGGTTCTATTAAATTTCGACCAAAATCTATCTCTTAAAATTAATACAAGTTCTACTATATCTAGTATAGGCCGAATAGATCACACAAAGTTATTTTATGGAACTTTAGTTTTTTTAAACCATGACAGTTTTTAAGTAAAAATGTTTAAATGGAACTTTTACTATTATAACGAATAATTTATCCGTTAAATTCAATCTCTGGTTAATGCGTTTTATGAAACTAAATGTTGTACAATTTCTTTTATTTTATAAGAACATTGCGTGTATAATTAAATCGAGCATTTTTATGCTTGACCACACACTAAGAGATAGTATTATTTCCAAGTATTTTTTTCATTTTTAATGTGCAAGTTACATAAAGTGTCGCAGTGTATTTTGTGTCTTATAATACTAGTATAGCGTTCATACGTAAACACCATCATTATATTGAATTGTTTCTAACTGGCCTGTATGTTTTTATTTGTACTTAATCACTAATATTATATTTTATAATAATTTGAATTATAGCCGTGGCTTGGGTCTAAAAGGGCCAATCTCACTTTTTGTAAGCTCTATGTTGTTCTAGGCTCTATGTTGTTTTTTTTACCAAACTCTTCATAAGTAATTCATTTTTTGGCTTCAGAGTGTCAATTTTATAACAGTATATAAAAGATGTTTTAACTTTTCCATTAAGCGGGCTAACTACTTTTTGAGTGCTAAACATCCTAGCCTCTGCTTTTGTCTGTACATGCGTTCTTATTGCTATACTGCAAAAACGTGTGCAAATATGTATGATAACCTAATAACGCTGCTTCAACGGGATACCGAGTGATATGACCACGAGACGAGCAATAAGTCTTCTGAAAGGGACAGTGAATAGTCTCGACGGTACAAGGAGTCGATGATCGTATTGCACAACGGTCACGGCAGTTCAGGGCCAACCGTGAACTGGCATTTAACGGTCGTGTAATAATAAACAGCATAACAATAACGCAAGTATATATATATATATAAGTACAATATAAAGCTGCATACACACACGAACAATATGTATGATTTATACAATAATATTATATCTAGGACGTCGCCGTGGACCGCTAGTACGGGCGGCGCGGCGGTTGTCTCGATAATTATTGGTGTAACATAGTATGTGAGCGTATCTTATTCTATTTTTTTACGATTCAGGAGAACCCGAGAAAGGTCAAGTGACCATTTTTCAAATATCACGTGTAATACAAATGTTGAAACGAGAAGAGCGAAAAAAAACATGTGTAATATTATGTCTATTATTATCACTCTCCTGTGAAGCCCAAGCTAAATAAATACTGCGTCAAAATCGTTAACACCCCGAGTATAATGTCATCGTGATATTATTTTGTTTATTTTTAAGTCTTTCGTTTTAAGCCCATGACGTTTTACAATAGTATCGTTCGAGTATTAACAAATTACTCAGTATTGGACTCTACTAATATTACAACATCCTCAGCCCTTGTATTTACTGTTCACGGAAACGAATGTGACCACTAGCATGGTATTATACATTTTATTGATACTTAACGGTGATTATTATTATTCGATAATTTATCGTTATAATCGTAAAGCTGCGGTCCATACATCGCGGCTATGCGATCCTAAATTGGTTTATTAAGATCAAAATATACTTTAAGAATACATAATTTAAAAACAAATTATCGGAATTTTATTTTACATTAAATGAGGTATCCAGTTATAAAGTATTTTATACACATTTGTAAATATTCTATGTCATTTTCATCTTACAACGGAGACCCATTATTTAACTAGTACATATGTATTTCCCATACATGTTTTACTTATTTTATAAAATTTTAATAACTATATTTTCATTTAAACGTTTATAATTTTTTTTTTTAACTTAAATAAATATAAATCTTAATAAAATGTTTTATGTACACATCCATGTACTGAATAGCTCATATTTGGAGTTCTTTTATACTTAGTTTATCTGCTTAAACCATTATTGAAACTAGTGGTGGTACATCCAAGATATATGTTAACATGATTTAAGCATTGGGGGGTCAAACGCAGAGAATGTTTTGCGGTCACGCAGCTTATATGTATCCAAAATTACTGTTATTACTATAATTCGAATTTGTTGTAAGTTGCGAAACAAATGAAATACGCCACAAACCTTTTCTAAGAACAATGCTCAACTAAAACCACTGTGCTTAGTCAGATGTTTTTCGTAAAACAATGAAAACGCTAAACCATATAGTCGGATCTTTAAGAACTCATCGCCAACCAAACCAAGGAAGGTTAGGCGGGGACTTGAAGGTAAACCTTGGTCGTTTTCCATAATTCTATACTCCCTTTATTTAAGCCTATAAGTGCAAATAATATTTTATAAATATTACATTCAAAATTCAGATTAAAAAAAGCCAGTACAGTGAGGTTAAGGCATAGTAAGGACGGAGCATAATGGGTCAGGGGAGGTCACAGGTATATATGAGTTATTACAACTGAAAGTGATAAAATCACTTTCAAATAAACGTTTCGATGCCAATCTGTAATGGTAAACTAGAAATAACAATTCAAGTATTTTATATGACAAATGACAATAGTGTACTTAAAAATGTATTAATGATATTAGGATTTAGGATGGATACGATAAGGGTTGATCATATGATGTATCGTAATTATTAACAATTAATGAAAATATTTTCGAATATCTGTTGACTGTTAATTCGGCTGCAATTTGATGCATTTTTACCAGAAAATCTCACTTATATCGTAGATAATATGTAAAACATTACAAAGAGCTGCCAGCAATTAAAAGGTGTATAGTTATTATAAGTTCGAAGACGACTCTAGGTCTTGTATCGTTGTTATAAGATAAATAAGAAATTATGCTATGCTTTAGCCTGTTATTGTTATTGTTGACAGGATTTTTTTTAATCATTAATAAAAATATTGAAATAGATAACACGAATTTGTTGTTACGTTGTTTTAATACCGCATGCATTGTATCGTTACTGTATTGTCTCTTGACTACCGTGTACGCCCATTTCGACTTCTTACTGGTTCTACGTACAATTTATATTTTTCTTTCATTATAGCATAATTTATTTTTTAAATATTAATTATTATATTTTTTTCGTTTTTCAGGTAAGTGATCGTTGTAACAGTACTAGCATATAATATGCTCGTATGTGTAAATTCATGGACTTGCGAGCAAATACATGACTGCAGCACTCGTGATTAAAATATTGCATAAACTGGTGCAGTTTACAGATTTTTTTTTTATGTTAGTCTGTTCCGGCAAATGTTAATAATTGCGTCGGTAGGTAGCAAGTAAAACGATGTAATAATAATAACAGTGTCCGTGTACGATAATCGAACGGCCCTTGACTGTCTTATACGACGATAGCAACAATGTTAAGGCTATTGGTTAAATAAAAAATAATAATAACGTGATCGCATAATATTATGATACATGTATGTAACCGCAGAGCGACACCATTATAACGGCGATCGCGTTGAAATTGTTCTAATGTTTATATATAGGTAAGTGTGCAACTATCATACCAATGCACAATCATATGAGAGTTTCAGTGTGTATGGTGGATTGCAATAAAATAAAAATCACAAGTGATTACGTATCATACGGTCGTACTCGACAGTAGACTAATTAAGAGACAAAGTCTGGCCCTATAAATGGTCTATGTGAGAAACCGACGGACGAGTTCGTCCAGTTCGGTTGCAAATACCACACCCTGTGAAGTCACAGCGTTTCTCCGCGTATCGTGTCCCTCCAGCGTAATCTTATGTACATATAAACCTCTACTAGTGCGTTTTTTTGTCGACACAATGACATTTTTTTTATCAAAAAAATATAGCAATAATTTGAGGTCAATGTGTTACGTTTGAGAGTTCATGTTTTTACTGAATGATATAAAAACAAGCGAGAGCTAAATAAAGCAAATTTAGACCCCGCTACAAATTCAATAACACTTTGGACAAATTAAAATGTATGAGTATTATCGATGGTATTTTTTCAGTGTTATGTAGAATAATTGTTTTCATGTTAATTGATTTCAGTTTTTGGTAGAGAAGTATTTTATTTTGTAAGTTTAAAAATAGTACAATTATTTGTTTTTTTTTTTCATTTTATAAATCTGAATTGGTGAGTCCCATTCCTAATTAACGTCTCATATTAAAATATTCGATTAAAATTTAACATTTCCCAGTTATTTTATAAATAATGAATACTTGAAATATAGAATATTTAAATATTACATTTTACTTATTTTCTTTCACATGTATAAAAATATACTGAACTTTGATTATAGGCAAATTAATTTGGTTAAAATAAGTAGATACAGGGTCCGTCAGAACAAACGCATGTTATTCAAAAATATGTTACGCCAAAAGTAATTGCAGTAAAAAAAAATGTATTATATAAAAAATTTCAGAAACATATGCAGTTTTTTTATATGTAACAAAATTTAAGTTCTGAAAATAATGCCAGTCATATGGTGCATAAAAAAACTGCATTTTTTGATATAATACATTTTTAGCTTCGATGCAAAGCGGCGAAGGTTTCTGATGTGTGTTTTTTTTTTATCTGTATACACTGTAACTTTTTTAATACTGAACCAATTCCTTTGAGTAGCAACTCTATAAAATCACAAATTTCATCTAGTTGGTATTTTTTTTTGGGGGGGGGGGGTAAAAGTTGAAAAGTTTACTTTTTCACAGTCGAAATTTAGAAAAACCAAAAAAAAAACCGTACGACTTTTTAAGTTAGAACTTTTATTGGCTATAATTTCAAGAAAAAGAGTCGGATCGAGTTGAAATGTATAAGAAATATTTAATTGGTATGCCCGCACACGTCAGTTGTATCAAATTTAAATTAAACCCTTTTCCTACCACTCTAGGGGGGTACAAGTTTTTTTTGTTTTTTTAGTTTTTTAGCCGTAATTTTAGGATTTTTAAGTTGAAAATTTGTCAGTAGTTAGAACTCATATGTGTTCATAACATATTAAACGGACAAAAAATTCGGCACCACAGTTTTTTTTTAATTACCGGAAAACTGTGTTTTCGCAGATTGCGTATATTTTAACAAAAACGCCTAAAATCTTAAAAAAAACTAGTACAGTGGGGTCGGGGCATAATGGGGACGTTGCTTTGATTCCATTATGCCTATACTCTACTGTACTAGTCCTCTCGGATAAAATCACTTTCAAATTAATGTTTTGATGCTTATTTGTAAATACATTACCTCAATTTAATACTTTCTAACTTTGCTGGTTTATACTGTGCTTGGTTTGGACTGTACTGGCTTGAAAATACTAACTACCGATTTGCCTCGAAGCGTTTTTTCGAAAGTGATTTTATCACTTTCAGATTTAAAAATTCCTGTAAACCTGTGACCTCCCCGTCCCACTATGCCCCGACCCCACTATAATGGTTTTTTTTTTACTGCAATTACTTTTGGCGTGTCATCATTTTGAAAAACATGCGTTTGTTTGACATGTACTGTAACCTAACCAGTAACCTGTTTTATGTATTTAAATAAAACAGTTTTTAAAATCATTTTTAATCAGTAAAATAATTTTACTAAGTGCATATTTTATTCTAAATTCAAGTTTTTTTTTATCACAATATATTTATCTACGTTCCTTGGTCGTTTTTGGTGCATGAATTTCCGTATTTTAATAAATATATACAATTATTTTCAATATGAATAATGGAATTATTTAACTGGGTTAAATTATATTAACTATTATAAACTATTAACTATATAATCTACAGATAATTATTTAATTTAGAATATTAGTTGATTTATTTAAAGGAAAAATTAGGTAGTTATACTCCTCTCTAGTCTATCTCTTTTTTTAAATTTGTCTGGTTTCAGGGCAATTGTACAATTTTTTATAGAAAAACTATTAGTTTATAAATAAGGTTATTGATATTAATCGAATAATTGGCTATAATAACAGAAGATATTAAGTTTAACATTTTAGTTAGATGACTAAAAGTTATTAACGCATTAATATTATAGTAAAGATATAAAATCTACTTGAACCCTAAACCATAAAAATTATACACTTCTTGCGTACACGTGTTACGACAACGATGTTGTCATCTTCAGCGCTAACAACAGACTGAGGCCGATTAGGGTTCAAGTAGATTTTTTATCTTTACTATATATTTAACCATAAGTTTGCTTAACAGTTTTTTCTGCATTAATATTATGTCTAGACTTTTAGATTAATTTAACATTTTTATATTATATTCATTTTAAAATTACAGTTGTAAACTTTTACTCGATTCTATATAACTTTATTGTACAATTTATTTTTATTTTTGTAAATTCCAAAGGACTTAATTTTAAGAAAGTAGAGAAGTTTATTTTTTAATAAAAAATATAACTATTAACAATAATTTTAAGTATTACCCAATAACAATATTATGTTAGTATTCTGTGTGTACTGCTGTGTGTATTTGTTTGTCATTTCAACAGTTGCTCGGTAGCTTTATATTTTAAATGACCTAGTACGGATGAGGTATACGGATATTGGTCATGTCAGGATTTTATAATGATAAAGATTTCTTATTCCTCGATGGCATACTTATTTGAAATTGCTTTGTTCTTTTTGCATTTTGATCTCGATTGCCGAATTGATTTCAACTATGTGTTAAACATTGAGTGTTGTTTATGCGGATTATTGCTGTGAACTTGAGGATTTTGAATGTTCAGACTAGAGGTCACTGTTTAAAAACATTTTGAGGGTTTTTTTTTTATCCGAGGTAATTTTTTTTATAAGCATAATAAGATAGTACTTGTATTAAAAAAGTGAGTATTTACTGATTTTGTACAAAAATTAAATTTGTATACCACATTCGATATTGATTCAACTTTGTATAGTTTATTCATGCTATTCTCAGCGTTGTTGTCAAGAGCGCGTAGGTTTAGGCAGAAAATAGAAAAAAATATTCACCTACAGAGCTTTGTAACCGATGAAATGGTCTCGGCTTAATAGCTAATGACCGTTGGCTGTTGCTATTGTTGTTATAGAACTCTTTGGTTTATCACAATAACAAGTATTTCATTAAATCATGATAAGCGTTTTACGGCGCATTGAATCATATATAAGTAAACACAATAGTCCTGCTTCGACTATCTGATTACAGCGCGTGTTGTACACCATTGCATAGATTACATAATGCAAATCACTTAAGCCAGACGAAATCGATATCATTTTGCTGCTTGGAAAACACCCGATGATACGATAGTCCCACCGATGACGTAACCATGTATAATAATAATAATAATAATTTTGGGTCGACGCTGATGATAAAAAATAAGCACAAATTTAAATCGCGTCAAATATTACAAAATTATTTTTCTATATTTTGTTTTACATAAAAGAGAGAGAGCATAAGAATTGCTCTTATTCTATAATTGGCTTAAATATAATGGCTTAATATATTTTATTTGACATATCTGAGAACGATGGGGGTACGTATCTCTCCGGTGTTTTCATTATCTTTGTTATAAAAATCGGCTTTTCTTACTAATCTAATTGGGATTCTTTGTTTTGTTCATCTTGAAGTCAAGTAAAGAGGAGATTTTAGGAATAACTATAACACTGTAATAGTGAAAAATTGTACCTCACCTGAAACTTTTGAGAAAATGTAATGTCCAGACCAAAATCATCATTTATAAGTCACTACGATAATGATTGGTATGAGCGGAGTCAGTCATACTGCATGACTCTATCAGTTCTTTATTCTTGTTAACACTAAAAGAACATTAGCCTGAAATATTTTTCTCACTAAATAGTATACAACCGGCATTGCCTATTAGGGTTTTATTTTTGGAACGGCTGAAATGTATTTAATTTTTGCTGTGTTCGTTGTATTTTTCTACCATTCATTTTCTGACGTTACAAATGTTGTCAAATAACAAGTGACCATACTGTTTATGACTCAACAATGTTAGGAATTAATAGTTTAAATTTTTAATGGTTATAGTGTATTGCTTAAATATCAAACAAAGATATGAAGGGTAGCCACATACCTTGCTGAGTTGCTATCGTGGTAAGTAGTAATCCTTAAAAACATAATATTATTATGATCAGTAACTGATGGTAACGCTATGAATCCTATCCTATGACCTATAGCACTACTAGAACTCATTCATTTATATTTCCATCTCATACATTACTACAGCTTGGTAGCAAATTGCTAACATAACCAGTTGGTCTTGTTGTTGGTATGCTCGGAATTTTGTCAAGGTATATAGGAAAATCGTCTTTAGTCTTTAGCATGAGATTGCAAGAGTGCAACGATAAGTGATTGCGAGTAATCTCAAATTCTCTGCAATATGTTATCTCGGTTGAAGTTGATAATATTTTGTCCATACGGAATCGTGCGAATCGGCTAATATCGTTACCAAATCCGTGTTTGATGAAAAAAAAATAACAATATGGGTATGAGTGGTTATGCTCGTTTGAGCGTTGCACTTGTTTATGGATTGGGGCGTACGCAAACTGGAATTATAGGTTAGTACCTGTTTTCTATAGAATCACCAGTTGTTGCAAAACCTTACCACCCCGATGATCACATATGATATGTATTTGCGGTGTGTATATAAAAGCGCGACTTTGCCGACAACTGTCATACTCAACCGTCATCCGCAGTTGTCATCGTATGACACTATAGTGATTTAACAGTGCTGTTTGGTTATTTTTGTTTTCGTTTTTCAAGACGGTGCTTAGAGAATCAACCATGTTCGCCAAAGTAAGTATAGTGCAGAATTTTACTAGACATTTCACTCAGTGTTATTTGGTTTTATTGATAAAAATACCATAAACTGTAAAATTCTAGTATCTGTAATCAGTTATTCGATTTTCAAAGATTTTTATTAATTTTCCAATTGTGTAGGTTGCGGTGTGTTTCGCTTGTATCGTTGTGGCCGCCCGAGCTCAATACTACTCAGCTGCTGCGCCTGCTTACTCTACACTGGTGGCCGCTCCCGCCGTGGTGCACGCAGCGCCTGCGACCGTCTACCAACCGGTCAACCCGAACCCAGCGTACAGCTACAAATACGGCGTCAGCGACCCGTCCACCGGCGACTACAAATCGGCCGAAGAGAGTCTGTCCAACGGCGTGGTGCAGGGACAGTACAGCCTGTCGGAACCCGACGGCACCGTCAGGACCGTGTCGTACACCGCCGACGACGTCAACGGATTCGTGGCACAAGTGTCCAAGGGCGCAAAAGTCGCCGTGCCGGCTGCCCCAGTGTACGCGCCGGCCGCTCCAGTGTACGCGCCGGCCGCCCCAGTGTACGCGCCGGCCGCCGCTCCAGCTGTTTACCATGCCCCGGCCCCGGTTTACCATGCCGCGCCGACAGCCTACGCTCCGGCGCCCGCCGTTTCCTACCCTTATGCTTTCAAGCGTCAAGTGTAACTCTTCTACGTATAAACCATCTACTATGTCATCCTCAAAACTCACTATTGACTTTGTACTTATACTTCTATTCCACGTGTTTCCTATACAGATCCAATAATTTGTTTCTATCATATACTCTACATAATTTCGCATATTATAGATTTTAATATTATATAGTTCTCTTATTGTTTTGTAATTAGTTACGTTTACATACTAGACAAATATATTTATAAATATATATATATATACAATATACATGTTTATAGTTCGTTTTATTTCGAAGCATGGTAATATTTCTGATAAAATAATTCACTTCAATGCGCATTTATATATACTCGTACATTATTTAAACTGTAATTAGTAACTGATTTTTTTAGAGCGAAAATACTTAAGAGTTAAGAATAAAACTTCAGAGGCGCTTAGCGGCAGAAAAACTTTACCTAAAAGAATTTAATTTATTTTTATTACAATAAAAATTTTAGAATAACATAATATTTCAAACCATACTGACTCAAACCTAAAAAAAAATTATCCATTAATTGGTAGACCTTATTTTTTTTTGAATTGGCATTTAAATAATGGTGTTTTAAAAATTATAATTGGATTTTTCTTGAAATAATGTATTTGTGGGTTAAGCTGTTCTGGCACTATGCGCCTCACCTAGTCTTATATCATAAAATTGATGATATACCACTCTACAAAGGCTAACTGTTGTTTTTATCATTTGGCCGTTGCATAATTAGTACAATGTAATACTGCACTCAGATCGGATGACACTTTGCGGCATTCTTCTTCTAGCATTAAACAGTTAACCCCACTTTGGAAAAATAGAGTTTTTATTATGTTTATGAACCGATTGATACCGGTTTTGCTGTTTAGGCTGTTAGTCTCACCGATCTGTTACGCGTGACACTTATACAACACCATGATTTTCTGAAATGTTTGCTAAACACATTTTAATTATTTTTACAAGTCTTCCTGTTTTGTGTTATATTTAATTGTGTCCACTGTCCGCATTTCCCGTTATAGAATATATGTAGTAATGGAATTTACTATGTACTCGCCTAAGAGAAACCCGTAAAAGGAATTATCGTTATTGTAAAAAAAAAGTTGTTTTATTCTATATGTACAAAAGTATGACAGTGAAAACATTGATTAATTGAACTCATTTTTCTTTAGTTTTTAAATCAAATGGCGATATTGTTTTTACTAAAAAAAAAACAGGTATCTATCCCCGATAGCATTTTGGTGAACACACAAAATGATGTGACATTGAAATCACGTTGGGTTCTATCACTGGATAGGCTCCTCCTCATACAACATCACCGTTTTTATTTGTTTATTTTTTTTCTCTCTCTGTATATATAACAATGTATATATAACGTATATATAACTATTTGCTTATTATGCCTTGCAGCATAGATTGTAAATATTCTTTAATAAATAAATAAAATAATAAAATTAAAAAAAACATTAAAGACCAAGTATAGGTCTTGTTTTTACTAAAAAAAAAAAAAATAGTGAAAAAAATCGGAAGTGTCAATTGTTTGTATCAACTTGACCGTGATAAATTGGCTATTATATAAAACATACCGCAGTAACGGGTATATGTTTTATTTATGTTTCGACATTTATATATTCTAATAATTAGGTTCTTGTATTATGTAGGTTATTGATATCTAAAATCGAAGATAAGTCCGATGGCGCTTGGTTTTTACAAGGCAATTTTGTTTTTTAAGGACTAGCGAAATTTTAATCGGTTCCGATGTGTGTTAATGCTGGATGTGCCTGGTCATCAAGGTAACAATAGGGGCGTATACTCGTGTCTACATATTTTATTAATCCTATTTATTCGGTTAAAATTGCGTTTAATTGCCGGCTACCGGTTTGGAAATCATAAACCATAACAATTATTTTAGTAATATTAAAAACGCTATTTTACATCTTCTCACAACGGCCGATTATCGATTCTATTTTGTAAACAATACAAAATGTTAGGATTCGTGTGACAGTTGGTTATGTGTTGAAGTTCACTTCAGTGGTATGGAAATATTAAGGAAACATGGAATAGTTAGTGTGTGTATGTAAAACGTACTGTACAAGAAACAGCGTAGGTTTACAGAGCACCGACCCCTTTTCTTGGATTACTTCACTCGAAATGAAAAACCCATTTGCCACAATGACATTTCACCGACAGCCGCGGTCCGTAATTATTTGTAACGATCGTTGAAAATTATTAAAGAATCCAACAAAAACGTTGCATTTTTTTTCTACTCCGATAAACCTAGTGTCCTTGCAAGGCATTCTGAGGCGTGGTCCACACGTTTGTGTGCTCTGAAGAACCGTTGACCCAGTTTTCTATGTAATAGTTAACGTGTGCACACAACACCGCAAGTCTATAATATAATAGCGTTCATCATCTAGAGCGACTATGCCTGTTCATTGAATCCATATGTTCTAAGTGTAAAATCGATTATTTTATGTATTGGATAAGTACAGCCTGTGTAAGTGTATAGTGGTTAATGCATGTAAAGTATTCGATGTGTATGCAGAAGTACTTTTGGGCTCCGGGATGGAGTGAAGATTAGGTTCATAGCAGTAAATTTCACTTCATTCTAAACCATTAAAACTATTTTACAAAAAAAACTACCTCATTAGATTAAAAATTGTTAATTTCTTTTTATATTATAGATGAATTATACATGTTTTATAAAAATGATTGCCTACTAAAGGGTACTTTGTTTATTTATGTACTACGCCATGAAATTCTAAAGACCTGTAGATACAACTTGAAGGCAATGAGACAACTGTCAGTCTTTGCCTAGTACCTACCATACAAATAGATTCTTTAAGTTATAACTCTTGTAAGACAACAACTTAGTATACTATAGCTAACAAAGTGAAAAAATAACAAACTAAAATCAAATTTGGTGCAGTAGGTGCAAAGTTTCTATAAAACCACTTTTAAGAGAACGCTCGGACCCGAACCGGATTTATACTGTGCTGAATTTTTATTATTCGCAAATTCGCATCTAAGCATTAGATTGTGACGAAATCATTTTCAGAATTAATAATTGCTTTGAACCAACTTTGCTAACTTTTTTTGTACTAATTTATACTGTAAATAATTTGGACTGTATTGGTTTGATCTGTGCTGCTTTAGAGTTCACACTGTGCCATTATAAATAATACCGTTTACTGAAATAGAGGTCTATAAGCTTAAATACGTGGAAAAATGATTAAAATCTAAAAATTATTAAGATACTTGCTCTACAGATCTTTTCTTACGTTTATAATATTGATTATTGACTATTGTTTGTGCAGCTACACTGATTTTATTATTTGTTATGGTTATGTTGTTAAATATTATGTTTTTTAATTTTATCAATTTTAAGTTATGTGGTATTGTGCTATAAATAAAATAATAAAAACACAATCCATTAAGTTTTTTGGTTTTTAACTTTTGAGTTTGTTATTATGAATTTTGAGTTTCCCTGTAGGTTGTAGTTAGGAAACAAGTAAAAATTGTCGTTAATAATACTACAGTAATAGAGTTATTTCCATAAATTAAAAATGTATTAAAACTAAAATTAGTAAGTCATTGTACATAAACTGCTACTTTTTAGGGTGACGATTCAAATGTTTGAGAGGCTTTTAACTACACCTTACACAACCCCCAATATAAATAAATGCCTGGCGATAAATATTTTACTTTATAGCAAATTTTTCTATGAAATCATTATTTTACCTAAGGATTATATATTATTTGGTTTTTTGCAAGGGGTGGCTATAGTAGTTTTAATGGGACGTAAACTGTAGGACTAAAGCCAGTCTGCCTAGTTAGCAGAAAAAAAATACCGTTCAATACCTATAGCGTGGTAACAAGATATCAATGGTAATAGTATCTTGAAAAAAACAAAAATATTTTAAAATAAGGGGTAAATACATTTTTTTATTGTAATATAGAGTACCAATTGCTTTACAATGTGGACTTTTTTTTTGTGGCCATACTGGTTTTAGTCCTACTATTTACTTCACTACCCCATACAAGGTAGAATATGTTAGTTCATCTATTTATATTATTAGTCTATGGTATTTTGTTCTAAGAATAAACAGGTACAATTCATAAGACAATTCATATTGTTTCATTCGTTTATAGTCCTTATTCCAAGTTCATGATATTGGGATTTTTATCATGCTACTCGTGTGTTAGATTTATTTTCGATGGATAGCGTTTCCAAAAAAAAAGTTGAAACTTTTTCTTGTCGCAAGATCAGTTGAGCCTTTTGTAATACTCTATTGGATTATCTGGAATGATCTGTGCATAAAAAGACGTGTCTAGGCGCAACGCGTTATGAGAATCTTACAGATTATCTCTAGTCGGTCAACATAATATGTAATTGCAGTATTATTATAATACAACGAAGAACACTAATATTTTATTATACTATATGGCACTTGAATGGAACAGCAAGCCTTGTATGGAAAACACAATATTATTTAAAGAGATACGATCAGATTTGCTGTCATACACAGTGAGAAATAAAAACAAATGTTATGACTTACGCCAAACGATTATCTTGCGGGTTGTTAATTCATATTTGAACTCTGCACACAAAGTAAAATAATTTTCCAATAGTCAACCATTAGATAATTTTCTATGAATATTTTATGGTAATAATGACAATTAATTTTAATACATTTATCAAGATTTAGTCAACTGACTTTGTAAAAAAAAAAAAAATAGATATCTCCAACATATTACCAAAATCTTTTTTTAAGTAACTTAATATACATTGTAAGGAAAAAAACTTTGTACATATTTTTCATAAAACACAGTGAATCAAGTTTCATTTCTAAAATATAATAAATATTTTTTTTAGGCGATTATATTATATATATATATATATATATATTTCAATATTAGAATAGCTAATATTTAAAAAAAATGCTAATTATTATTTGATATTATTAAAAAAATAATATATGTTAAATGTTAATACATTGTAAAAATGAGTTAGTACCAGGATGGGAGTAAGAAAACAAAATAACTTGTTTGTCTAAACAATTCCTATGTTTTTCAATAGCGACTGGTGGATTCGAATTTATCCCTAAAATTTTACCAGTATTCTAGGTTGTCTAAATAAATGAACTGACTAAACTTTTGTGGTGATTGAATTTCATTTTGACTAGAATTTTTGTGCAGCTCAATAGTTTTAAACGTTATGACTAATTTTGCTGTTATCAATCGAACTTACCTTAAACTGTTAGACCTTGATAAGATATTTGTTTGGTATGTTACCCTGGCACCCAAAGAAAATATATTTAGGCTTTATCGTAATTTCATTTCTAGTATAAGTAGAATTCGAAATTAAATACCAATGATTAGGCAGTGGCTTTTTTTAAGTATGTTGTCATTGTCAATTGAGTTGTCTATATAATATTTTTTAAGGCGTGTTGCCCTGTGATATAATAAACTATTATTCGGTAAACTGTGATCTGAGTACTAGAAGCTTAGTGAATAGTGTTTGAGTGAATGTGTTGAATTCTTACTTTCAATTCAACACTTGAAGGTTCGAATATTTTATTTTAACAATTTCCCAGAACTTTCTTATCGCACATAATCATCGTGCAATAAGCAAAAAATAATTCTCTCTGGCAATTAGTTCCTCAATAAGATTCCTATTTCGAGCTGAAAATGTTATACAATTTATTGAAAATATGGTTTCATTGTAGCAGCCATAATAGAAACAAAATAAAGTTTTTGGGAGTCTAATGTTTTTTTCTTGGTATTTGCTTAATGAAACACGAATATTTTAGTAATTATACAATATACATGTCCGTTTATTTATTTAGGTATATAATGGCTTAGTGGGTATACAACTATTGTATTGCCTGTTGGCTAAATAACTGATATATTATTAACTTAGGATAATAATTCTTGCGGGCCTAAAGACGCGTTCAGTGTCGTCTATTTAAAAAATGCTCAAGGTAATGTTTAATGTTTTTGAAATATATGGGGAAAACAAAATGCATTTTTTGTTTCCCGGTGACTATTTAAAGGTAAATAAATTTCACAGAAGAACATTCAGTATTTAGTATTTAGTCGTCATTTGTCTGGTTTTGAGCTTACGATTCAGTTAAACATGCAGTGCCTTTCCGTAAGTACCTATACATCTTATATATTATATTACACTTGATGCCACTGCAGTTATTTATAATTTGCTTAAAAAAATATAATTTCTGTTATTTAACTGGGTGTTTCTACGTCCGTTGTATAATAAATCACATACTTACTCAGTTATATGTAATGTAATTTTCAATTTTTTGATAGGCAGATAGATATCTCAATAACATATCTATTAGGGATGGGAATCCAAAAATCCGGGTTTTTAACAAAAACGCTATTAAAGCCACTTAAAAATCCTATAAATATTAAATATTATTACAATATATGGCTGTGTATCAAAGTAAAATGTTTTGAAGAAAATAAAAAATAAAAATGCTTAACTTTGACTGTAAATTACTTTCGGGTTCCGAATTTTTGAATTTTAACAAATCCGGTAAACATTTAAACCTTATCCATTGGCATGGTTAAAACGTTAAAAAAATCGTTGTGTTTGTACGTTTAAAATTAAACAAATTTTCCTATTTCTGTGTTGTACTCCGTCTAACGCTTTCTCATCATAAAATTATTTTGGTTATAAATTAGTGCTTTTCATCCGAATACTGGGTTGACCGAAGCTGGCCTAAGCATTTTTTTTTTAATTCATTGGGAACAGTTTGTTAAGTTATATGCGTTACAGGCGGTATTATTGTTGGCTACCTTGTGCATGGCATTCGCCGAAGAAGCCAATCAACCAATCGACTACAACTTCGCTTATGGTGTTAGCAACCCGGCTACCAATGACCAAAAAGACCAAAAGGAATCGAAAATCGGCGATGTGGTCACAGGATATTACCGCACCCTGGACGCGGACGGCCTTGTGCGCACCGTCAACTACAAGGCCGACGACGTCAACGGTTTCCAGGCCGACGTTGTACGTTCTCCGTCGGTTTCCGAAGGCATAGTGCAGGCTGTCGCTCCCGAACCGGTCGCCGTTAAGTCCGCTCTAGTGGCAGCTCCGGTGGCTCCGGTGGCTCCGGTGGCCGCCACAGCTGCTAAACTATACGTGCCCGAGCAGAAAGCGGCCGCCTACCCGTACTACTACGGGTACTACCCTGGACAGGGTTACTATTACCCGACTGCTAGGATTGCCGGTTACCCTTACAACAACGATTACCGGTACAGCGCATTCCCGTACAACGCTTACCCATACAGCGCCTTCCCGTACAACGGTTACCCGTACAACGCCTACCCGTACAGTGCATAATAAGAAATATTTTTTTCTAAAAAATAGACATTTATTTTTTTAGTTTTAATGGCTTCTAAATAAGAAAACCATAACTTGTAAAATGTACTATACTTCTAATAAAATAAAATAAAAATACATTGCGAAATATGCAGTTCTTGTATTATATGTCTAAGTCATTAGACGTTATTTTAGTATACATTTAAAAAAGACACATTAAAAAAAAAAGTAGCATCTTATTAAAGTTCTGAACGTATATATTTGCCTCAAAATCCTGTTTAAAAATTTGTAGTTTTATTAAAAAAAAATTAAAAAAAAAGGAAAAAAAACTTTTTCTTTATTTTGTTTTTTTAAGTGTACAGTTTTAGGGCCCAAGGTCTGAAATTTAGACTGCAGTAAGATTTAGAATGGGATTCATTATAACAAATACACAATTTTTCTCATAAATCTACTATTAGAAATTCGTTTGGTCATGTATGTTTTTATGTATAAAATGTTGTTTTCCCCGTTAAATGTTCTGACTAAATATTACTAGGTGAAACTGATTAGTAATATTTAAGTGATATGGAGTATTAAAAAGAAAGTCGATCAAATTGCAATTTTATTTTATTATTGGCATTGCGTCAATTTTTTAGTAGCGTTTGGCACACTTCCTGTTATATGATAAATTTCGATTTTAAGAGTTTTAGTTAAATAATATTATTTTCTTCTTTCAATTTAATTATTTTACTCTATAGCTGCTACACATTTTTCATATAATAAAAGGAACTATTGCAGAGGTCGGGGAACAAATTATATTTGATGGGTCTTATAGGTAAGACTTCAAATATAACAGTTGTTTTTAACAGATCTGTTTTTATTTTATCACCATCATCATCATAATCATTTTTCTAGTCATTTTAAAAGCCAAATATAGATGTTGAAGTATTTTAATTATATTTCATTACTACCAAAAAATTACAAACATTGCTCGGTTATACCATATTCGACAATTCTAACTGACTATACAGACACTTTTTGATCGATTAGAAATTAAAAGATACAATTGTATCATGTCTGTGACACGCATAGTAATGAGCGTCGATGCATTGAACACGATTTATAATATTGGTTGATGTATTGAATACAATTCAACGGCAGATTATACAAGACGCGTGTAGTACAAAGACTAATTATAAAAAGTGTATTTTTAAAACGATTTTGGGAGTGATGGATCCAAGAGAGGATTTTTGGAAACTTAATCGAGGATGGCATATTTTGAATAGGAATTTTAATATTAAAATGTTTGTTGTTATGTGTTTATTTGCTAAACCTGAAGACCTCTTTGAACTCGAGCTAAGCCATAATATATATTATATTTAGTATAAATTTATTATGATAAATTCACAACTAAATCGAACGAATGCACGAGAAAATGAAATTAGGTTAACTACAAATAACCTCACAATCCCAATTATGGTATTTAGATGTGAACGGGTACGTAGTCCTTTCTTGTTTTTACTTATACAATTTGTGTTACAAATTTGGCCCGAGAAGACGACGTTCTTTTCCCCCTACTAAATCAGCAACTTACTTTATTGTATCGAAAAATAAAAATAAAAGCGAACCAAAGTTTAATTGGTTTTTTTTTTTTTTAATATTATATTTACAATAGAAACGCATCGCATATTTTAGTCAGATCACAACGAACGTACGTCTAAAACGTATTATAAACTTAATTAGTATACTTCACGTTAAGACGTCTAGTGGATGTTATTCGGTGCTCCTCAAAAGTGCTGTTGTTCTTGGTGGTGATCATCAGTGGCAAAGTGCGGCTTCTTCCTGTCCACGACCGCGTTGAACCCGTTGTGTGCGTCCGCCTTGTACTTGACCGTCCTGATGGTGCCATCCGGTTCGACCAGACTGTAGAATCCGGTTACCACGTCTCCTGTGCGGGTCTCGTGCTGGCTCTTGACGTCACCGGTGTGAGGGTCGTGCACGTCATAGTGGAACGAATAGTGAACGGGCGCATGGTGCTCTTCTGGTTCTAATTGGTGCCCATAAGACGATTCGGCCGAACCGTAAGACTCTTGATGCTGTTGCTCCGGCTGTTGGTATTCGTGGAAAGGAGAGCATCGGACCAGACACACAGCCGGGGCGAGAACAACGCAAAGCTGAAAGAAAAACAATTGAAAAATAACCGGACAGCACAAGTCACTATTGGACTTAACGGGATCACTATGTAGCTATACTCACTACTAAAGTGTTCATGTTGACTGTGGTATTGACACGGGTGTACTGGTTGCTGGCTCGAGAGGCGTAAGGCTTTATAAAATGGAAATACACCGGAAACTTTTAAAGTGAAAACGTTTCTGTTTGTACATACGAGCTACCAAGTACGCATAACGTTGCACACACATCCCGCACTGCGACACGGTACGGTGAACCCTGCGTGAGTGTGCACAGCAATAATATTCATAATCTGACCGGCACGGTATTTAATTAGCCACCTGCCTAAGACGTAATACTCGTCTTCTCCTCTTGGCCACTTCACGGTATTGTACCTTCATCGACGACACATGTCCAGAGAACAAACAGACTGGAAAACCCCAACCGAATAATTTCATTATAGTCGGCCAACGACTCCCCTTATCACGTCAAATTGTTTTCATCGTGTTAATCACATTTCTAAAAAAAAATTAACCTAACGACACCAAAATTTAGAATGGTCATTAATACCCGTTTTGATAAAGTGTTCATAGATCAAAGCAGGCGCGGATTCGGGGGCAAAAAGCTAATGGACATAACCCATCTATCCCTTTTGCTAAAATGATAAACTTACGAGGTTTAAGAGTTTTATTGCTTATCATAATGCTTAATGACTATCTCTAAAATGCTAATTAAGCAGCTGTAGTAGGTTAATAGAGTTGGATTTTGATTCAACGCGGATAATGGAATATTGAGCATCACAACAGTCAATTTGGTACATGCCGTCTATAAATTTTGTCCATTTGTCGTTTTTTCATTAAATTCTCTTGGGTGTCATTGATGCGTGTCAGATGCCGGTATTTCAACCATTTAGGTAAGGTCTACTTAAAATATTGGTTATGTCAAACATAAATGGCTTAAACTAATTAGTTGGCATGAAAGTTATTTCTCCAAGGATAGATAGTAGTTGTGTTGGTAGTGGTTGTTCGCGGTGAGTTATGTAACCAGAAATCATATTTTCATTTTGATGTAAAATTCGTTTGTATAGTGAAACACATTTTTTTGTTGGGTCTAATACAAACTCACACCTACCGAATCGATTAATTTGTTTCACGACACTGCTGGTCAAGTGCCAATGTACTTGCACTGTGGTACCAGTGGGCACGTATAATAATATTGTCTACATATATTGATGTGATGACTGATGCATGAGAATACCAGGTCCCTCACTTAATTGAAAGCGGGTTTTTATTATAACTATCAAAAAGTAATGGTAAAATAAAATGTTAATACGAGATGTTAATTTATGTTAATGTAAATGTATGTTTTGTCCATTTATTATTGTTTACTTAAAAAATAATAATAATTTGGTATTAAATGAATTGTATAAATAAATCTTCATAAAAAGTAACCTCGTTCTTTATACTTGTGTACAATTTAATAGTTTTTTTAATATAGTTATAATTGTTTTGTTATTTTTAACGGAATTTTTTTTATAAATACACAAAAATGTTAGTCAAAACGTTTAATGTTTGAACAAACGAGACTTAACGAGAAAAAATCGTTGTATTATTTTATGATGTGCGTGGGTAGATAAGTATTATAACATATATAAATCCGTTCTCGTCGACGACGTCCGATAATTAGTACGATTGTTTAACGTCCGGCATTGTCCGAAACAAACTTACCTGACATGATATAATTATTAATTAAACTCTAACACAATACTATAATTTGTACGCGTTTCAACAAGGACAACAGTAATTGTCGCGATCAATTATGTAGATTACTAAATTTAGTTTTTAAATGCTAGTTTATTGCTAGTTATTTTTCGTTTTTTTACCTTAGCGAAATCCGCTTAAACTTACATTATGACAAATACTTCCGAGTATAACCCACTAATAATTATAATTTGCTCATTTGATTATTATCTATTAACACAGTATGTAAAATAATTGCTAAAACTTTCTAACCTTTTTAATTGTCTGCACATTACCTAAACGGTTGTAACAAGTAGGCGTCTAAAATAAAATCGTACTGTATGCTCAAGACTGTCTAATGACATAGCGCTCATAGTTTAAAGCAAGCCCCGATTTAGAGGGATGAGGTAAATTTACTTGTGCCATTTATAAACGTGGAACTTAACGATTTATTTAAGTGTAGTAACTTGACCGCTCTGTTCATTATCACGGGGTTCTTTTCTTAGATCAACGAGAGGATGACCACTATCGAATTCTACCATTACTCAGTTTTTTTGGTTAATTCCCGTCATTTGATTTATGTAGAAAAACTTTTATGTTATCATCTCGAATCAAATTAAATTTGAGAAATCGTTTCTGTCTGATTTATTTAAATGTCAAGTTCAATTTTTCCCGTGAAAACCCTGTTTACATGGTTTAGAATGTTTTTTTTTAGCTTGTTGTTTTCTAATATATTTACAAAAATCTTAGTAAAAAGTATTGGTTAGGTTTGTTTAATTAGATTAATTTCCTAAAATTGTAGAAAATATTTGAAACAAACTTTTTGATATTAGAAGGATTTCCAAGACAACGATTATCACCACGGCGTGATGTAGTGGTGACATCACATTAGTTTGTGTTTCATCAATTCCATTATGGCGCACATTGCGGTTTACCCTTCGAGAAATAGACAGAGCTCCTGTATTCGGCTGTACTAATAAATTAATTGGATTGGAATAATGTTATACCGTTCATAGTGTCGCCGTTGACAATAAACGTTCACTACTATTTTCAATTGAGCGAGCTGATACGCCGCGCTATCAGTGCGGTTAAACAAAGATCATAAAAATTGTACAAAGAACGGCTCCTGGTTAGACCCAAAGGGCACATAGTTTTTGATTAACCGGTTATTGTCTATTGTTTAAACAAACAATAACAATATTATTGTGTACTAATTAAGACGTACAGTACACGTACGTATGTATATTGTGTTCGTCAGGTCAATCTCGGCAGTAATATAATAATTATTGTTACTGCACAAACCGAACGCTATTTCATAATAGGTGATACAGCCAATAAGTCGATTTTTCATCTACCTAGCTTGTTGCTGGCGTAACACGAGCCCAACGCCTGTGTTAGGTTAGGTTGAAATGATAAACGCTCGATTATAATACATAGGCTCGAATGTCTTGTGTAATAATGAGCATATAGAAATTTCAATATGCGCTCTTTAAGCGACGAAATAATTAATAATAATATTATTGCTATAAGGCAAAGCTCGGCGACAACAATCGTACATATTATACACCGTGTACAATAAATAACGACAACGGTCTTAACGCGGTCGTCGTCCAATTAAAATGCGTTTCTAAATTATTATTATTATTATTATTGTCTGGACAAAATCCACTTTGGCAAACATTATAATCTTTTGTCCGCAAATGAAATCATATTGTGTTACAGCACACAAACAATCAAGCAGTATCTTACATACATACATGCACACACATATACGGTCGCATGTATTCGGATGGCAGTAATCGCGTTTGCAATCATGGACGTGATATACATACAAGATCCTAGGGGGGCGTTTTCTCTATTTCAGTATGTCGCAATGATCGTAATGTGTCTTCATTTTTATTATATAGGTATACACATTGGTTAGACCGCCGAGGCGCATTTAACCGTGATCTTGAACCAATTAAGCTGTTGGGGTCCTTACAGATTTTTAACAAGGTTGTGGAATCTAAAACATTTCGTCTTACTAATATAAAAAAGGATAAATAAAAAAATTGCACGTGCATGTCCTTAAGAGTTGAACCTCTGAAAATGTTATAAAAAAACAATACGGAAAGTACAAAATATTTAGAGATTAATTAGCGGTAATGTGTGTCGTAGGTATGTGCATCTACAAACAAATCGGCGTAACATAATGTGACCTATAGTAAAATTTTACCAAGGTCTAGCATAGTGATATACACTTTCCCAGGAATAAAATGTTTACCTATCTGCCTACATATACCGCTTAAAAATAGCAAAATCTTAAACTATATATTTATATAACGTTCATAAATATTTTGTTAGTTAATTAAATTCTTTATGTTCATGTTATATTTATGTCATATTTATACACAATATACACAAATTAATTAACTAAAAAAAGGTGAAACATAATAATTGCACATCTACATCTTATTTAACTTCTTTTAGACTTTAGTATAATACTAGTGTAAAATATAAATATATATTATAAGTGTATTTTATTCAATTAATTAAAAAAAAATAAGTTTGCTTTAACTTAAACTAAAGCAAATAAATTTTAAAGTATATATATATATGTTTAAACATAAATATTATTGAAATAAGTACACTTTTTCAATAAAAATGTAATGTTTTAAAAATCTTTCCGATAATAGAATTATCTCCCCTACTTTCGCGGTCAGCACAACTTGAACCCAAACTTATATCAGTATTATGGAGATAATAATGTTCGTATACAGATTCAGAACTTCTTGATTCTAACTAAATCACTTTCTAGTAAACAACTAAAATACCTACAATTAATACACTAATGCCGGGCTGCATAAACGTTCACTAAATGTTTAATGAACCATTAAATTTATTAATTCTTTATGCAACCCAGCATAACATTTAAGAAATTTAATTTGGTCTTTTAAAATAATACAATTTGATATGTCATATGATAATTTGATTTTGGACAGACGGGAAAGTAGTCTTGAAGAACACTCTGGAAACGTTCCTGTGGGACATCACTAGACTAGTAAAACTCTTTTTACTACCCCAGTATTATGGTTAGTGCTATTTAAATTGTTAGGAGATACGTGGGACAAGGGACACGTGAAAATTCCTTCAATATATAATAATTCTCTTAAACAAAATAGGGTAGCAAATAATAATAAAATAAAATTTCTTCACACACATCGTTTTAGTTTTGGAAAACTATATTCGAATTTTATGAACCACATAATGTACACCGAACCGGCTAAGTGATATAGCAAGTAAAAGCTTTTATTGAGGGAATTCTTTTTGACTGCAACGTTTAATTATTTTGATGAATAACACGGTTGCTACTGTTACACCACTTTTTAGGGTAGTTAAAACTATTTCTATTTGCTAACGTATAAATTATAATATATACAAAATTTGATGAGGATATTATCAAATGACACAGTAAATTTAAATTAGACTTTTATGGACTACGGCTGGCCTGTGTTTGGTAAAATGCTAACGACGCACAACAGTATTTGTATGAAAAAGTCGGACAAAATGCTAAATTACAAATTAATAGAAATCCTCGACGAATCTATTTTCTTGTAACTTAGTAACCGGTTTATCAAACTGCACTGATAAAAACAGTTCCACATTTTCCCCCTTCTCATATTAAGTCAAACTTAGTCGTGTGAAATTCGAATAATTTGGTTGACAAACATTTATTTAAGCGTATATTAGCGTTATATTTTACACTATATTTATTAAAGGGAATTGAGACTAAAACATAAATGAGGGTTAGAAACATATATAACAAGAAAACTCCTTTAAGACACTCCTTAAAGACATATCCTTAAAGACACTTAATTTTAATTTTTGGTTAAGTTTCATTTCTTAAGTATGTAAAATAAAAAGTTGTCAACATTTCAAAACTTTAATGCGTTTTTTTTTCAAAAAAACATTTTTTGAAAATAAATTCAAACAAAATATATAATCGGCCAATTATCAAGATAGCAGATCGACTCTGGTCCGAAATGTTCAGAATTTAATGCAGAATTTGGAATACCAATAACTCAAAATTTAATTTTTGCGATAAGAGGTCCCTCTTCCCCTTTCGCCTCGCATATTTCTATATATTTTTTTAAATATTCTTTAGCGTTTATTAAGAAATTTACCAAGAGAGAGCTTTATTTGTATACTTTAGGAAAAATCGACGGAAAGCTTACGTTGAAAGAACAGAAACTTGTGGGAATGACTAAATTGTTGTTTTTTTCCAAATAAACGATTAATTATCATTAAATGTTGTGCCTTATATCTTTTTTGACCACTTAAGTTCATAAAATCATTTTGCCTGACTTTTTAATATAAATACCTAACGCGACGGAGGCGACCACATGTCAGACATATACAACAGAAAAGTGCATTCGTCTCTTCTTGACCAAGTACTGTATAGTCTTACTTTCGCCGTCGCATTATCCTATAGAACCTTATAGATTGGATTGGACTTGGACCAAGATCGCCTTACCCGATGACCCGTATACGCCTAATATCGCATTCGGACCGCAACACGTCCGTTACGACACCCAAACGAACGTTGGCAAACTCCCCCGTGTCCGGTACAATGCACGGGCAAACCCTAAAAGAGTGGGCGCATATGGTTCGGCCGAGTATATAACCATCGCTGTTGACCAGTGTCAATCATAATCGTTTTGTGAGTCCATTCGACAATTATATAGTGTGTATACAAGTACATAGTTTGATCGTCCATCGTCAACAACCGAAAACATACATTAAAAAAAAAATGGCGTTCGTCAAGGTAAGTGTTGTTTTTCCATGATACATTATTATTCTATTCGAGTATAATTTCCAAATCGTGTCCAGCCGTGGATAATATAATAATATGTGAGAAGCATCCAAAACTAGTGACAACTTTTGAATTCTACCGGGACGCATTAACTTATTTCGCAATAAGTTGATGCGCATTAGAATTTGGGTTTATATGCAGTTTTTAATCCCGGATTTAGATTAGATTGGAAGGAATACAATTATATATTATATTTGTACATGATAAGTTGTCTTATAGTTATTTTGCTTCTGTTATTTGCCAGTCTGTCTTCTTGTTGGTGGTCGGCACCGTCGCCAGTCTGTCCAGAGCTAGTCCAAGCGTCGTGCCAGCTCCGTACGCCGTCTCGCCGTACGCGTATGCCGGACCCTCGCCATACTACGCCCCAGCACCGGCCGCGGCCCTACCGTACCCGTACCCGTACAAGGCGCCGTTTTACCCAGCAGCCCCCGCCGCCGTCAGAGCGGCTCCGCTGGCAGCCTACCCTGCACCGGCATTTGGCAGGTTCGCTCCGGCACCGCTCGCAGCCGCGCCGGCCATTGTCCGAGCCGCTCCGGCACCCCTGGCGGCCGCACCGGCTATAGCGCCCGTGGTACCTGCCGCTGTGCCTCTGCCCGCCACCCGGGTGGACTTCGCCGATGCCTATCCGCAGTACCAGTACGCGTACACCGTACGGGACTCGCTGACCGGCGACGCCAAGGATCAAGAGGAAGTGCGCGATGGCGACGTAGTCAAAGGACGGTACAGCCTGATTGAACCAGACGGCAGCCGCAGAACGGTCAGCTATTACGCGGACGACGTCAACGGATTCAACGCAGTAGTGCAGAAGGACGTGCCCGTAGCCGCGCCCGCCGTCGTTGTATAAAAAACCATCGCTACCAAATTGCCCACGACATACCGATGATTTCTTGTTGTACATATAGACCAATTTTCCTCTTTACAAATATACTTAAAACCGTTTTTCCTTATGAATGTTCTTTTAATTGTTTTATTGCACAAAATAACCCAAGTTACCGAGTTTGAGAAACAAGTAAATTGCCATGAAGGTAGCTCATGATCGTTTTTTTTTGTTTTGGTTTCACAACACAGACGAATAAAAAATATCTAATTCATTTTTATTTTAATCTATCGTAGGATCAAGTGAGATACATTTAAATAGGGATAATTGAAAAACAAACCAATAAATAGCGAAATAAAATCTTAAAATTGTATTAAGTAATATATTATCTTCCATAAAGTATATCGATAGCAGCATTATTAACAATTACGTGAATTGTGGATTACAGTATTACTTAAAAAATTAGTTTGTGGATACATTGTCAAACAACTTTTTTTAATATATGTATTAATATAAATACGTACTATCGTTTTCCTGAAATTTAGGGTTATAATGATTAATGTAATTTTAAATTCAATTTAAAAAAAGCCAGTACAGTGGGGTCGGGGCATAGTGGGGACTGAGAGGTCACAGGTCTACAGATTTTATTATAACTGAAAGTGATAAAATCACTTTTAAATAAACGCTTCGATGCGAATCTGTGGATAGTATGTTCAAACCAGTTATAGCGGTTCAAAAGATATCGTAGGACCAGCAATAATGTACTTAAAATTTAATATTTAGTCTAGTGCAGGGTGGATACGATAAGGGTTGATCGTCTGTCTGTACAAATTTACTGTCATAGTTACCCATAAATCGTAATTAACAATATAATACAATTATTTTCATTACCTGTTTGACTGTTGATTCACTCACACAGCAACCTAGAAACTGACTACGGCCAAAGTGTAAATTTACCCTATTTTTTGGTGTTTTTCCTTAATAAAAAAAAAGTTGACTACAGATTTTTGAGAAAATTGTATATGTTATAGTTCCATTTTATATCTACCTTCGGTCTAATTTTCAAATCTAAATCTCTAAAACTTTGCTTGAAAAAGTGAAATAAAGAAAAAATTCTTATCCCTTCTAGGGGAAAGGGTTTATGATATTTTTTTGGTTTGTTAATGTTTATCGATAGTACTATGTTTGAAGAACAATTCATATAAATATTTTTTTTTAAAAGTTATAGAGCATCGTAATTTTAAGTTGAAAAGTTTGTAAATTTTTTTAGTGTTTTTCTCGATTTCGATGAGGAAGGGATGACTTTTTAAAATGTTTGGCCTATTAAAGTACCTTCCAGGTATGATTTCTGATCTTTAGAGTTGCTACACGAAGAAATCGGTTCAGCAGTTTACAAGATATCGTGGGTCCAGACACAAAAAAAAAATAAAATAAAATAAAAACACATCGTTGTAAAAACAATACCTTCTCAGCTCTGCACCGAAGCTTAAATATATAATTTACTTTGGTAAATATATTTATAATGTACACTATTATAATATTTAACGCATAACATTACTTATATTTAAACAAAAAGGTGTAAGTTACATTAGTAAAATACGTTTTAAACCCGATAATTAATATATAATATACATTATACATATTATGTATATTATATGACGTGCCTTTTTTAACACTCTTTAATAGAGCTGTAAAAAAAAGTTGAGCTAGTAACATTTTAGTTTTTTAAATGCGCATTCAAAATACAAATTAAATACTATTATTGTTGTTCATGACAAAACAATTCAGAATTAGTTTATAAAGTGTTTGTTAATAAAATATTTTTTAAACAAAACTGGTATAAAATAATTATTGATGCCATTAGAGTTGTTTGGCTATACCTTTTTTATGTAATTTTATTTCTTGTCAGGAACGGCTAAAAATGTTTTTTTATTTCTATAATACATAATATTATAGTGGATAAAGTATAAACTGTTAAAAAAAGTTAAGACAATCGTTCATTGTAAAAGTGAGTTATCTCCTTATAATTGAATAAAAAATAACGAGCTTTTTATAAATTAATTTGTATGCAGAACAATACAAATATTAGTTCATTGGTTTCTATTTTTTATTAATTTTGGCACTTATTGGAGTTGCTTCTCTTTTATAATGAATTGTATGACTAAATGTGACACATTAAGCAAAACTATGTATATTTTAAAAATTTGGAGTTGCACCACTTTTACAATAAACAATCCAATTACTACTAACAAATCACTTTATTTATTTTCGTAGTTTAAATACGTTTTTATTTTGTCAAAATAGTCAACAGAAAGTCACTCAGTACATTTGATAACTTCATTCGTAGTAGTATTTTATTATACTTATACAGTAATCACTGTTATTAAAACAAAACTTAGATTCTTTCTCTCAGAGGAAAGACATTGGATCATAAAAATGTCTTGGTACCATAGTTACGGCTTAGCTGTACGTGAAAACATTGAAAATTTAACACTGAATATATATACACCCAAAGTCTTTCATCTTTGATGAGTATCACTTTTGTTGTGTCCATAAAGTGCTTTTTATTTAGCTCGAATATTATAATTGATAATTTGGGTAGTTGGTTTGATTGTTAAAAAAATGGAAGTTAAATACAAATAGGAGAAGCAATGTCTTTGAGAATACGAATACGACTTGTCCATTACAATTACTTATTGTCTTATGTGACTGAAGTTTTTGATTTGCGTTTTAACAAGCGCCACCGAGCTTAAAGCGCATTACGCAAATAGGTATTGCAATCATGATATTTAGAATGACAATACTGTGAAACTTAAATTAGAGGGACAATCTACTGATGTGTTAGTGTACGTGTGTGTTATATATTAGTATTGTTAATACTCGCACGGTTTACTGTTGTACAGTTTTTGTCGAGTAGCCTTAAACAACTGCGGCGCATTATTAACAACGTTTGTTGTGCAATGATAAACGTTATAATATATACCTATTATGCAGATTATTAGCCCAAGTGCGTAGGTAGTTTTAAATTGGAAAATTATCGAAAAGCCGAGGCTACTTTAATATATCTTCACTATTTTGATGTATTATAAATATGTAATTGCCATTCAAGGGTCGCAATAGAGTTAGCGCTTTTTTCTTTTTAAATAGAGTAATAATATTTTAATTTACTGCATTTGGCGTTACCGAGAAATTCATGATGCTGAAAATTATATTTTATATGCTAATGACTGCATCCGTCAGTCGGTGCATCCGGTTATTAGACTGTTATTGTACGGTTTTTTACGCCTATAATAAATGAGTCTAGTGTTTATCGTTTTTCCTCTGTCCTCCTAAGGACCGGCAATTATTATTAAATAATAATCTAACAAACGTTTTGAAAAATCAATTAGTAGTAGTCCGAAAAAATAATTAACTACCAAAAAAAGAGTCTTAATTACTGAACTAATAATTACACATTACAGTTTAAGCTTTAAATTAAGATTTTGCTGAAGATTTCCTTAATACTCTTTAATAAATAGGGGGTATAACGTCGTCTTAAAACATTTATTGCTAAACCTGGTCGAACGCCTGACTCGACGACATAAGAAAATACCCGGCTAAAAGTAGCCGGAAAAAATTATTTGTATTTGTGTCTTATACCAAAGTAGGGAAAAAACAGACTATATAGGTATCGAAGTATTTTTACGTTATTGTACATATTTTGTTTTTGGTCTGAAATCATTGTTTTATATAATTTTTTATTCGTTTTGGAATGGAATTATAATAATTATCTAACAAAAGATTTTTAATACATTTTATTTAGACATTTTTTACATGTAATGAAACTATAATTAAGTGTACTCGAACGTTTATTTCAGAACCTGGTCAAACACCAAAGTCCGCAAAAGATTCCGCTCGTGTGTGGTGATCCACAGGAAATCTGTTAAATCTATTAAATTAAATCCTACAAATTTAATCCGTTATCCGTCGCCAATTCGTCGACGACCAAATTTATGGAATAAAACGTGAATAAATCTATAAATCTTTTGAAATAGTCTAAAAAACCAGAGGACCTGACCTAAATCCTATACAAAAATTACTTATTAAAAGGTGGGTTTAGTCCTTTGAAAGATTTGGTCGGTGTTGGTTGAGGGATTTTTATTTTTCCGTTATACGGTCATACGCACTCAAAAGATTTCATCTGTTAGACCAAATCCGACGAAAGCTCCGCTTATACGTGGCGGACTATTAATTATAAATATTCCCTTTGAAAATTGTAGGCGTTATCCTTTTATTTTTTATAATAACAGCTAGTGAATAAAAAAAAAAAACATTATTTTTAGTTAGCTAAAATTTATGGTCTTAAAAAGAGGCATTTCATTAAAATTTTAGTGCAACGGTTGTATATAGTATGCATGATTGATTGGCCAGCTGATTTGGATGGTCTTTGGCCACGTTCGATCGGCGACCTGAAGACTTATATACGCCATAATGTAATAAATAATAATATAATATCCATCCATTATGAATCCATTCGTTTGGAATTCTAAAAGCGTGCAAGTCGGCTAATGGTGAGACTCAGTCGTCGTTCCATACTACTAGCATTAACATTATTATCGCGTCTTCGGCGGTAATGTGACGCATGCGATTACATGTGTCTGTGTTTTTCGGCGATTGAGTAACGCCACGGCCTGAGGATGTTCCATTTTAATTGCGTAATATGGCATTTTGTATAAATGTTTTTATATTGACATAAAAAAATATTTTTCATGAAAGAAAACCTACCGCAAGCAATAATATAATATAAGAAGGCGCATAACCGTCCGAATAAGCTGGCCTATCAACATGTACTAAGGTTTCATACAGGAAATTTTCAACTTGTTGCCTGTAACTAACTGCAGCAGTCTTCTGCAGACTTTTACACCTTCAACTAGTTACAGTTATTTTAGGTACTAGTTTGTTTCACTAATATATTTTTAATTGAAATCAGAATACTTTTGGTTTTTAAATAACTTTAGCAATTTATTGAAAACGTATAATGTGCATCGGATGCAGCTTTATTGAATCGTCGAAATGTCGAATCTCCATATTTAGTGCAAAATGTATAATAAACTGTATAGAATTATATGCACTAATTAGGATCATTACATCAATTGCGCATTGTGTTATTGCTATTTCCATCCCCACTCGATGTTGCACTAATGTTTTTTGGCGTATCCGTGCTAGGCCAGTAATAATAATCCTTAATGATGGCTTCAGGCTTCTATTTACCAATTTAATGTCTAACGCATAAAATCAGACGTCCATTGATATACATTTCGTTTGCTAACTAGTCGGCCTTGAAGGATGACATCAAAACGATGTGTCTCACCCGAGCCGTTTAAGGGCTACTGGTTTCTGGAAAACCGAAGACATATTATGACAAACATAAGGGAGAATGTAATGTCCTTACAAAGTCATAGTAAATGAACAGATTTATGAAAAAAAAATTAAATGCTTGTTTTACGTATAAGATATGAATATAAAAATGTTCAAAGTATTAAAAAATGTGGTAAATTATGTACCTACAAGTATTGAAAAAAACTGTCTTACATTAGATTGATCACCCTGTAGACAGTGATCCTAAATTTTAACAACTGTGAAAGTAATTATTTAAAACTTGTCGACCAGTCAAAGTGTTCAGTAAATTATTCTTAATCTAAAATGTTAATTAAATATATATATATACGTTGCTATTTAAGTATTAAAAGTTGATAGAGCTCTGGAAACAAATAACAAGATATAAATTTTAATGTTGTCTTATATTGTTAAATAACACAAACCAAAGTGTCTTAAATAAAAACTACAATATTGCAGTTAATTTAAGAGAAAATTAGTATCTTACGTTAAATTGATCACATTGTATATGTATATACACTGGTCGAAAGTTAGTCATGTATTCGCTGTTGCAGATACAGTGAATAATACCTACTAATAATTATGCTTTTAGCTTCTGCGGCATGTGCAAATATATTTTTTAATTATAACTAGCATCGTTATTTTTTTAGGACGATTCCAGAACGACATTGGATATTGTCGCAACACGAAAATTACTCGAGAATGCGATTGAAACTATGTCCCAACTATCATTTTGACGACCACAAGAACGCCAGCAATCTACGAGACAACGCCGGTAAGATTTTACCTACTCCGGGAACTATTTGGACAATCTGATTTTAAACTGGCTTATAATGTAGCCTATTTGGTACTAATACATGCACTAACCAGTCATCGTAATATTATGTTTATTAGTTTAACAGCTCTTAATATTTAATTACGAGACGTCTCGACTATTTATCCAACTACTTAATCTAAAAGCTAAAATATAACAGAAATTGAGCATTTTTATTTGTTAACAACAATTGATTTATGAATGTTTTTTTTTTTTTGAAAACACGAAAGCTTTTGAGTTTTGACGATACACACTGTATCAGTTAGTTACACTAACTTGATCATTTGATCGTATGTTTTATCTCACTAATTGGATGAATTCTTTAAGATTCGTTTTTAAATTATTTATCAAGTAGATAAAACAACACTATTTTTCTATTACAGGTAATGCCGTCAAATGCATTATGGACTGTCCTGAAATTCCGCCGAGTATGCCTCAAGTGGCCGTCCGGAGCTTAGTGGAAGAAGACGGAGAGATGTTACCCGACGAAGACATTGCTTCGTATAAAACTAACTATCCTGAGTAAGGACCCCACAGCTGATTATTACATTTTTTTATTGATCTATATTCCTTGGCCAGTACGAACAATAATGAAGATAATTACTTATTATTAGTTTGCGGGACATATTTTTTTATAATATATTTTAACGGAGTGTTTGCTTTAAAGGGAAGACAACGAACGAAAAGAAAAGCTCATGTTGTCCGTCGAATGTCAATTGGTGACATTGATGAGCGTAATCAAAGGGAGGTTAGTCATCACGACCACCCACGCATACTTCCATGATTTGACGCCCATCACTGAGGATTGCGATAGACACGATTTTAAAGTAAACCATCTTCTATTTTTTCAAATTACATTCACCTAGTCAATTTAATCCTCTCCCAACTCCCTTATCTTACCTCTTATATTTACTTATTCTCAATAATTCTATCTAATCAGTCACTCCATGTATCCATCTTAACATTCAGACCCTTCCATTTTTTCTCATTTCTCATTTTTTAATGAAAACTTTAAAACACTAGTTTTATGTATGCAATTTTATTTTTTATTAAATCTATAATCGTTCAATGTTAACCAATTAAATTGTCGAATTTTGTTGTAACTCAATATTAAAAAGTCAGTAAACCTAAATAAAACAAAAATAATTTAAAGAATTGTAACAAAAATGTCAGTTTGGGGTCTATTTTCCAAATGTAATGTCTTACATTCGTTAAAAGTAGTTACTAGCTTTCACGCGTGGAACTTAAACGCCAATATTAGTTTACAACCATTGATCAGAAGTTCAAATTGTTCTATTAGGTAATCACTTTTTGTTATGAACATATTGTGTGTTTTGCTTTTAGTGGTCAATGACGAAATTGCGAGACGTGTACTTGAGACGGTACAATCTGCGCCGTAGCGCTTTAGAATTTTTTTTGATGGACCAGTCGAATTACTTTTTAAATTTCACAACGAAGGTAATGTGATTATTAGGGAACATATTATCAGTACTCATTATGTTGGTCTAATACTTGTATTATATTTCGTATTTCAGACCCGTTTGAAAGTGTTAACGGTAATCTATAACGTGCATCCGCCGAGTTTTTCTTACAACAGCAGCCGACACCCACAAGACTTACTGAGGAAATCGGGCGTAACTCAAAAGTGGGTCAACAGAGAAATATCGAACTTCGAGTATTTGATGCAAGTAAGTAGCCTCTAATTCCTCACATCGAGCAAATAACACTACGCACACTTAATTTTTTTTTTTTGGTAGTTGAACACCATAGCCGGCCGGACATATAACGACCTCTCGCAGTATCCGGTATTTCCTTGGGTGTTGGCTGACTACTCGTCCGAGGAATTGGACTTGAATGATCCAAAGACGTTCAGAGATTTATCTCGACCGGTGGGTGTAGTCAATCCCTGCAACGAAGCCGACGTCCAGGCCAAGTACAAGAATTTCGAAGACCCGAACGGAGTGATCGGCAAGTTTCACTACGGCACGCACTATTCGAATTCTGCCGGTGTGCTCCATTACTTGGTCCGAGTCGAACCGTACACTTCTCTGCACATAGACCTCCAGAGCGGCAGGTCAGTGTTCACGTGGTCAACTCGCTAACATAGCGGTTAAATATTAACAAAATCCACTACTTTCAGTGTCACACTACGAATTTGTTTTAATTTTGTAGGTTCGACGTAGCGGACCGTCAGTTTCATTCAATCGCCCAGACTTGGAAGTTGTTGATGGATACGCCCAACGACGTCAAAGAACTCATACCCGAGTTTTTCTATTTCCCCGAGTTTTTGAAAAACATGAACAAGTAAGATCGCCGTTGCTTTTATCGAAAATCATAGTCGTAAATCAACCAACAGATTTCAAAATTAAAAAAGTGACGTTTTCCTCCACTTTATGGAAAGACAATGAATCATGTACTTGTTTTTGGGCCATCCCCGCCACTGACTGATTTTTATGTCCATTTTCCTCTCCTCCCCTCCTTTTTTCTTCCTCTATCTTACAATTTACTCCTCTTTCATCATTTGTCACTGATCTCTTATCGGCATCCGTAATCAACTGTTTCTTATCACTGTTGGAAAAACGGTAATTAAACTTATTATTCAGATTGACCCCCCAGATCTAATACATATTCATGTTATAAGAATCCTCTTGACCAGCCAGATAAATTACAATATGGTTGAATTTATGAACTAAAAATTATGTTTATCAACAAATCTAACTATCATAATTGGTCCACTTTTCGTAGCTTTGATCTAGGTCGTTTGCAGTCGTCGAAAGAAAAGATAGGAGATGTAATTCTTCCTCCGTGGGCGGATAATCCCGAAGATTTTATTTACAAGCACAGGAAGGCCTTGGAGTCTGAATACGTATCTAGTCACTTGCACGAATGGATCGACCTAATATTCGGGTACAAGCAAAAAGGACAAGCAGCGGTGGACGCAATGAATGTATTCTATTATTGCAGGTAATTGTTGCGATGATGCCTACGCTATGAAATGTGTGTTTCTTAACACTACTGCAATTAACTTTTAATTAAGCTATCTGCAATCTATTCCATATCAACTGCCATTCTCTTTCCCTTAAACGTTATTTTTTACTCAGCTTTTTATTACTCAAAATATTCTTCTCACTCTAATATCTGTCTTATCATCCACTAATGTTCTCGTAATAAATTATGTTATCGCTTCTATTTTCGAGGCTGGTTTTGTTATATAATTACTTCGTTTGTTAATATTTGTGTTCCTCTATCGTGTTCGTAATTGTTGAGGTAAATTGTTTTTACAAAATTTCAATTAAAAAAAAAACTATTTAGCTACGAGGGAGCTGTGGACTTAGATGCCATCGTCGATCCGGTGGAAAGGGAGGCGGTCGAAGGCATGATAAACAACTTTGGACAGACTCCCAGTCAACTCCTGCGGGAACCACACCCGCAAAGGTTGCCACTAGACAAAGCTCTGGAGAAAATGATGAAATCCGACAACAAGAAACCAGACCTCACCATGATGCTAAAGGAGTTGTCCACGTTTTACGTAGAGGTACCGTTGAAGGATAATGAAAAAACTGTTTTCTACAAAAATAATTTACTGTCAACAGATAACGGACAGCAAACATCCAATGGTGTTTTTAAGCCCCCCTCGTTCGGGACCTAAAGGGCTTTTGCAAACGGCCGACGACACGCTGGTGACCGTATGTGAGAATACTCTCATCGGCCGGCACTCTTGGTTACCATACGACAGACATTCCAACAAGGGTTTTACACTAGAAGTAGACCAGTCGCACGTGTTGCTCAAGTACTATTTGTAGCTGCTAGCTTATAATCTGTAACAAATGCAAAATAATCATTTCCATTAACACTGTATTTTGTTTCATTCTGTTTCAGAAGCAAAAAAGATCCTAACGCTTATCCCACGAGGTCATCTTCGTATCATCCGTCCATTAAAATAAACAGCCACCTGTTCGCCGTGTCTAATGATGCCAAATATCTCTTCACAGCAGGTCATTGGGATTACAGCGTAAAGACATTTAGTTTTTCGAGAAACAAGTACCTCTCGTCGGTTATCAGACATTTTGGTAAAACTTGTTTTTTTCCATTAAAATAAGTAGTAAACAATGTAAACTGTTGGGGGATGTTAAAAAACATTATTATCAAAACACGTATTTTTTTACGCTTTATGTACTTTAATAAGCATAAAAAATCTCAATTTGATCCGTCTTCACCAATTTTTAATACTTAAATAAATAGGTGTCTTCAAAGTATAATATGTAACTAAAATATTATTACATCGTTTCCAGCGTAAAAAATACATATCATATTGCTAAATAATTTTTTGAAAAATTCGACCGTTCTCTTGTGAGACAGAGTATATTTTTATTTGATTCGGTATACAATGTGGTATTATTGCAAGTGTCAACTGCATGTTCGCAGCAGCTTATGATTTTTAAAATTAAGTTAATTTTATAAATCTGATTATTATTGGCCTATTATTGTAAGTTAAGTATCAATATTAATTGCGTAATATCATCATAAACAGTACGTCAATGTTTAGCGAAAGAGGCAATGTTATTGGTGGATTTTAATTCCGGTATGTCCTGAACACAATTAATGAAATTACATAAGTACAGCGACTTTTCTGACCGCAATGTAAATATAATTGAATTCTCAATTCTTTTATATCATAACGAATTATTATTACTCGAGGAGATTGTGCGTTTAAGCGACAATGAGTCAAGAGTAGCCGAAGTAATCGAATAGGGAAATACAACAAAATAGATTACTCTTGATTTTTACTATTATAACGGAGATTATTAGTTCTGTATTCTACTTAATACATATTTTACGATAATTCAACCATGTTTTTTTTTGTGTTTTTCAGACATTGTGACTTGTATAGCGTTGGACACCTGTGGATGGTACATGATAAGCGGATCTAGAGACTGTACGTCGGTCGTCTGGGACGTGTCCAACGCGAATAACGTCAGCCCCAAGCCTTTCCAAACGCTACTCGGTCACGACTTACCAGTCACTTGTGTGGCGATTGCCACCGAATTGGACATGGCCGTTTCCGGATCCGAAGACGGCACCGTGAACGTGTACAGCATACACCAGGGGCTGTTGGTCCACTGTCTAATTCCTCTGGGTTGTGTCTGCCCTCCGTCCACGATATCCTACGTGACCGTTTCGTTTCAAGGACACATCGCGTTTTCCGCCAAAGATAACGTACGGACATATTGCCTATTTAAGCCATATTATTATCCGGTTATAAGAATATTAACTAACGCCCATCGCTTATTGTACAGGAAAGCCATTCCGTTCACGTGTTCAGCTGCAATGGCGATAATTTGGGCTCGAAGTACGTCGGGGCCCAGGTGACCGGCATTACGACCATTGGCGATTGTTTGGTCGTAGTCGACGACGCGGGTTATCTGACATTAAGCAGACTCTTGGGGTAAGTCGATAATATGATCGAAACCGTATGTATTATAAGCTATGAGCTACTACGAAACAGGAACTAGGCACTAACGGCCTACACAATAGTAACAATAATTAAGAAAACCACATTAGAGCAAGTAATTATGTGAAATATGTTAGTTCTTTTTTTTTAAATTATATGTTTCATTTACAATTCATAAAGAAAATAGTCCGAATTAGACAAAATCTTAAGAACGTTTATTTTTACAATAAAAATAAGAAAATTATTTTATGAAAAACGTTATTACATTATAAAAAAAAACTTAATTTTTTAATTTGAAAGCTTGTTTTATAAAAGTATGACGTTTCTGTAACATTCCTTTAACCCCTAATATGATCACCATTTACATATTATAATTAATTAAAATAACATTTATGTCGATAGTATAAGCACGACTTGAGTCAACCAGTTGCAAAAGGTCGTACTGTCCACTTTCAGCCAAAATCGTTATTTTGCTATCTTATTATTGTTCATTGGTCATTCGTTCTCGTATATAATTCTCGAGTTTCAAAACATAGTATGTCCTATTTAATTTATAATTCTGAAGTCAAAAGTTGTATTAGAGTAAGTAGTAAATAAATAGTATTTTCGCTATTTCTGAAATTTGTATTTGTGTGTACATGAAACTTTTTGCAACTACTGGACTTGTATTTTGTGAATTTTTTCAACTTTAGGAGCGATTTAAATATCCAGTTGTGCTGGAGTAAATCTAAGACCTGATTTGGACGAAGCCACTTTTGTTTTATAAAATAATACATATTTTAGGGTTTGTTCTAAAGGTAATCTTTGTAGTATATTTTATACGTTAGAAACAATAATTTACCTCGTTTGGAACAAAACTCAAAATAAATAAATTATATAGAATATTTTCACTGAACCCGAATCTGGCCTTAGATTTTTTCTAACACGTACATTTTTTTCAAGTTGGGTATGTAGCGAAAAAAAAATTCCAAGAACAATATGTTAACTATGAAATGACCTACTAATTAGTAAAGACTATCTTTAATTTTTGTACATTTATTTAAAATGTATAAATATAATGGTAATTTTAATAATAATTTTGTCGGGACACATATTGAATCTCTGGCCAAAAACCATTAAGATTTTTTTTTTGCGCTATGGGAAATAGTATTAACAGTAAGCAGCGCAGTCATCACAACTGTGACGCATACGGTTCAATTTATGTTTACAAATAAATCTAACAAAAAGTTTAGCTATTATTAGTGTGTGGATAATTGTGTTTAACCCAGGAATACGTTCGCGTGCATCCTTAACGGACCTATTCATATAGTTGCATTTGTCCTGCGTTACATATGGATGTGCTTTTATTATTATTACATCCGATAAACAGCACCAATGGCGTACAACAATAATAACAGTATTATGATTTATTTATTTATTATATTTTGTTGCAGTTTACATCCGGTCTACGACGTTCCGTTGGATGTTCCTGTGCAAACGGTGGTCGCCACGCCGGGCAACACACACTTGCTGGCACCCCTCAGAGACGGTAACATAGTGGTCATTGGATTGCCCAACTCGAGCAACTGATTTCCGTTACAAAAAATTGTTTTTTTTTGTAAAATCTAGTTAAAATTTCTATAATATCGTTGTTTAAAATCTGTATTGTATTTTATGTGTAATCGGTTGCCAAATACTAGTGATGGTATTCGATCGTATTATTGCTCATTACTTGTAATTTGTTTTTTTTTTTATTGACTTAACTCGAATAGGGGCTAGTCTTACATCAATATATATATATATATATATATATAAGTACACATAATATGTAGGTACACTTATTGTATGACCGCAAAACTACCTATTTACATACTGCTATTACTATATAATAATATCATCATCAGTTATAATTTTTAAATCATCAGTGGTTTTGGGTACACTTTAAAGGAGTAAAAATAATCATACAACACTAACTATAGGTATTTTTATTATTATTGATATTGATATTTTAATTGTTATATTGTGATTTAAAACTTGTTTGACTTAATTGTAATTCGTAGTTGTGATCTTAATTATATTATTATTATTATTATTATACTTTTTTCGACGAATTTTACTCGTTTTTTTTATTACTGTTAAAAATAGTTATGTTTTTACTTTTTTTTTTCGTGGTACGTGTTAAATTTTGATATACTTTTTATATTAATACTGGCGGTTTAGGCCGACGCAATTAGATTGGGATCGGTTGAATTTATACTAGTAGTAGGCGCTTTAATTATCTGACCCTTCTTCCCAACAAAAGCCGTATAACTCCAATTGAGACGTATGGGCCCCATGGAGAAATCTGCAAGTCGGCCTTGACAATCAATTGTAATATGTAATATTATATACGTATATACAGAGTGATTCAGGATAAGACAATGATTTTTTCTTAAAATAATTGTAATTGTATAATTTATATTATTTTACAATATTAGACAATATTCAAACTTTTTCCACAGCACTATCAACTATTGAAATTTAAACTGGAACGTATATATTTAATTCATTTTTTAAATAAGGAATAACCTGTTTTGGATAATTAGTTTTAAAGTTATTAAAGTTAAAAGTTTAGGGTGAGAGGAAAGATAAAATTAAGTATTATTTTTATTTGCGCGCATTACTCTACCACACTCCCCCTCCATGGTCCAGTCCTTAATTTTAATTAAGTTGGTCAACATTTTCAGTAAATTATTCTTTATTTAAAAAGTTAATTAAATTGCACGTTCCCATTTCAATTTTAAAATTTGACAGAGCCCTGGAAAATACTAAAAATGTTGTAAAATAACAAAAACAAATATGTTTTCAAAAAGAAAAACTTAAAAATTGTAATTATTTACCGAGAAAAATAGTGTCTTATCCTTAATACATCCTGTATATATTATACATATTTTACAAATCGTTATACGTTTGTTATAGGTTGCCAGATTTGCTTAGAATATCGTTAATAGGTACTACGGTGCACTTAACCACACATTCACACGGACCTTGTTTTACTACATGGCTCAATACGTTTGAAATTGTTTTATTTGTAATGCTTATGATTACAAAACAATGTAGCCCGATAATAGTAGGCTCGTACAAATTGATTTGGTTTTCTTTAAAAGACACCAAAGCTTCAAAGATACCGTGTTAAAATACTTCGATAAGGCATTTTAATATCACTAATACGATATTATTATACATACTCTTTTTATCAGTTATCATAGTGGGAGTTTATAAATTTTTGTAAACAATACTCAAGCGCGAAATAAATAATAATAACACCAAAGTGTTTTGTAATAATTATTATATTTACTCTGACGCGACAATGTTTTTCATAGTTCAAAACTTATGGAGAAAAAGAATCGTGTGGAATTTGTACCACTTGCACTCATAATACTGGTGATAATAATAAATACAATGATAGTCGTTGAATGTAAACAATGAGAAATCTGCATTGTTCTTACCCAAAGGCATTGTATTGTGGTTCGATACACATACATTATATTGAATAGGCAACACGTAATATACCTAAAAACGATCACGCGTTAAACCGATGAACCCGTTTAAATTAAAATCAATATGTATTATAACTGTTACATCATATTAGATACCATAAACTTCTTACAGTTTGCTCAAATAAACGTTAGTTAAAATGAATCTTTTTGAAAATCATAATCGTCGAGACTCTCTCAAAGATCACCAGAAAGCTTAACTGAAAGAGTTAATAAAACATTTGTTGCAAAACTTTGGAACTAAGAACGAGTTCGTTATAAATCTTGGCCAATGTCTAAGTGTCTATAGATCAGTGTTAGAGATAAAAAAAACCAGCACTAAAGTATTGGACAATCGTGTTGAGGACAGTACATATTTGACGGGAGGTCACAATTCTTGGGGGGAATTATTGTAACTCAAAAGTGATTAAATTAGGTACCTTCATAAGCGTTAACGCTTTGGATGCGAAACTGTAGATGGTAAAACGTATTACAGTGATTTTTTATTGAACATTCGTCCATTAGTTTAATGGACTTAATATTCATATTTTTGTCATTTTTATCATTTCTATTATTATTAAATAATTTATTTAACCATTACAGATTCGCATCTAATTGCAATTGTTTTCTTCAGTCATAATAATTTATTCCTAAGGGCCCGTGACCAACCCGACCCCGTCTCGTCTGAGCTGGCTCTTTTTGTCGTCTACATTTCTTAAAAGTTCTAGGTACTTTATATTAGTTTGTGATGTTTTATAATGAGTTTTATTGTTGTGGAAATAATAATGGGCAACGCGTGCACTAATAAGAATTAATTTTTAACTAAAAGTGCAATTCAATTTACACGTTTTATATAAATTGTTTTATTGATTGGTGGAATATATGCAATATGAATTATATTATATACTAATTACTATGTACGTGGACAAAACACAAAAACTGATTTGATGACTGCGCTTGTATTTATATAAGATAAAATCGTAATTGAGTGCAAAATTCGTAGATATTTCGAATCGGGATGCGTGCCTTAGCACATTTGTTTTGCATCTTCATTTTAATAATTAAATATCCGAGAAACTCTTAGATCAAAGTCGAAAAAAAGGCTGATATGCCTACCGCATACATATTATCATTAAAAATATTAGTTAGCCTATGTCTAAGGCACGCGATTGCTTTGGAACAATAGTAAAGACTCGACGAAGAGTTTTCGATATTTTTTTAAGTATACATAAGATCAAAAGTTTAAAATTCCATGCATTTTTTAACAACTCGAGGACTAGTTTAAGCTGATGTTTTATTTTGTACCAATTAGCTAAATTCTTATAGAATTAAATGTATTGTATTGTAGCAGTAGGCAGGTACATTATCAATAAAACTACATTGGGAGGGGAGAGAATCATCGGGATGAATGAAATCATCGTGTGTGTAAGTATACAACTAGTGTACTACAAATGCTGATTGTGTGCGTTGCAAAATGCATCGTGTATGCTGAATGTTCTGCGTTCGAAAGGAGCCAACATAATACAAACCGCACAAAAATGAAGAAGTACCTCTTCAAATCATTCATATCGGATTCGAAGATATCGCAAATTTGAATCGAATCGTGTACAGATATAAATTTTTAAAAAACATTTAAAAATTAGTGGAATTGTAATTACAAGAATAATGGCGAAAAGGTACGTTAACACATTTTCTAAATGAAAATTAAACACAGTTTTATCTTTTTCTACGACATAATAATCTTATACGCTAATTTTATACTAACTAATCATCTATTTAAAACAGATTGTAAAATAAATAAAACAAGTAATATGCACAAATGGTTAATTGACCAGTGATATGACAAATATATCATACGATGAATCGCTTTATGTTAATTACCTACACTTTTAACTTTCTTCTATTTATTTTAAAATTAAACGTCGTAAGACTGTTTAATATATATTATAATTGTTAATTCTCGATAACCTCACAGGGTCAATGACGAATCCGCCTTTATCTTAACCGGATATAAGACTTCTGGTTACCTACATTAAATAACTCTATAGTTTTCCCCAACCATCGCAAAATTAAAAACGCACTCTCAAGTATTTAAATATTTTTTCAAATGTTAAAAACAGAATTACTAAAACTTGCTGTTTTGTCCATAGTGTCAAATTTCAAAAAAATTATAGTACCTAGTTAATTTAACGATTTCAAGCCCTAGGTAGAAATCAGATTAAGCTGGTATAATACACTATGAAGTTGAAGCCAGTAATTATTTTTAAAACCTAATAGACACGTGGTTTTATGCTAAATTATCATATAATTATTTTATAATAATTTTATTTATTTATTTTTATTACTTATAGTTAGTTATTTACTAGTTTACCATTTAAATTTCCTTTTTTTATTTTGAGTCAAGCAAATCTTGTAGGTACCTAATAATTAGAGAAATGTTATATATATATATATATATATATATATATTTATATAGCCTTTATTATTATAAAATATTTGGCTCGACAATTAAACACTAAATGTTAGGTTACATTATTGACATGAGGTTACAGTAATAACATGATTTCAATAATAAATATAAAATGATGAAAAACAAACAAAAAGTAAGTGCGTAAAACTAAATGAAGTTAATATAATCTTAAATTAAATTAAAAGGCCGGAGCTCTTTAGAAAGGAAAAAATTGCAAAAATTACAGGAACGCAACGGGTGTTAAATAAATTAACGTTAAAGGGAGGCTGAATGTTAAGAGAAGAGAGGAAATTTAATAGGGAGAGCCTTTTGTTGGTCAAAGCCGGACACATGGTTAGGAGGTGAGAGAAGTCACAAATAGCTTTATCATCATGAAGAGGACAATATGGAGCAGAATTAAGGGATAGATAAAATGCATGTGACGGTAGACGATTATGGCCAAGTCTAAGGCGTGAAAGGAGGATATTACATTTCTGGGAATATTTAAATTATGGAACCAAGGAAATGTTATATATTTATCAATAAAATAAAAGTGCTAGATAACCTTAGTTATAATTTTAGTAGAAATATTTTACGTATGAAGTTTACTCTATGTAGAATTATAAAAAAAAAACAAAAAAGTCATAGGTCCGTTAAACGTGTCACATTTTATATTATTTGTATTTCATCAATTAGATTTTTTTGCTTCTTGGTATAAATTGATTATTAATATCTATGAATTACTAATTAATACAAAATTATAATTGTAACATAACAAAAAAAAAATATTTGTAAAATAATGAAATGACACGAAAAATAAATATTGTCATAAATCAATATATTAGGAAGCAATCTGTTTTAAAATTGTTTTTTAACCAGACAGCAATTTCACCCATCAGTAAAATGCATGTGATAACTGATAAGCACTAACTAGGAGTTCATACATTCATTATTTATAAAAAAAATCATAAATATTAATTAATTTTATTTGAAGTGATATTATTAAAACAAATTACATATATATTGGTACTTAATCGTTTTCTCTAATGAGTAATCGAGATATTACTAGTTAATTTATTAAATTACAATACCACTAAAAAGAACAAAATTATCAGAAGAAAATATATTACTTCAGAAATTCTATGCCAAATTTTGAATAATATGGAGGCATTTTTAAAAATATCATTTTTGAAGTAATGTGCACTCGGTATAGCTACCATACTGGGAATTGGGATAAATAGAAATAGAACAAAGAAAAGGGTGTCATTCTTGGAGAATTAATTCTGAAAAATCCCATGAAGCGAAGTAAAAGAAGTATAAGAGATATTGTAATATATTCTGTATAAAGACTAGATAAAGATCGAATCGCTTTAATAGACGATAGTGGTGAGGAACCTCGAGATAAGTAACAAATTGGGCTATTTTTTGAGAAAGAGTAAGACAAAGAAAAGTATTAAAGAACAGTATTTACTTGTGCCTTAATGACAGAGTTCAAGACAAGTAAAATAGCGAAAGTCTCTTTATTGTGTATCAAAACAGGAATGAAAAATGCAATCATCGGTAATAAGAATAAACACAAAAAAAAATCTACTTTTCTTTCGTTAACCTGTAAGTTAAAGTGGTTTCAATTACCGTTGCTTGAGATAAACAACTGCATTCAAAATTATTCATATTATAAAATAATTATCTAATAAATTGTGAATTTAACTCGTTTATTAAAAATGTAGGTGCATATATACTTATGCTGGAATTCTAAGGTGCTCAAATTATACTCTATTTTTAAGTATAGGATTTTTAAAAATAATTGAACTTACTGGATATTGCTAACAATAAAATGTAGATATTGATTTTGATTTTTGACTATGCTTTATCACTGTTAGTCGTGATTTTATTAGGTTTTTGCATGAACGGAGACAATATATTTAATTTATTTTTATGATGTATTTTATCATAGTAAAACGATTAACGACGTTGAAAGCGAAATGTATTAATTCAATTTAAAACGATAATTTATGTTGATCCTATTTGTTTTAATTCTAATTGAGAAAAATGATACATTTATATTCATGTGATTTGCAATAGGACGGTGGACATTGACGCCTTGTTGGCGGAAGTCGGCGAGTTTGGGAGATATCAAAAATTTTACATGATTATACTTGGATTGGCGTTACTATTCACAGCTTCATCCACGTTATCGTTCGTGTTTACAACTGGAGACATGAACTATAGGTGAACATCATATCTAGTAGTATACGCATGAAATGTAGTGCTGGTTAAATGTCATTTCCAAAATCAAATCAAATAAAAATACAAAGCTTTGCGACAGGTGTTACATAGGCGACTGCGATCCATCAAGCGGTCAACAATACAAAGCGAGCTGGTTAAATAACACAGTGCCGTTTAACGGCGAAACGCCTTCGAGGTGTGATCGATACAAGAAAATTAACAAAACCGAGCACACTTGCGATGCGTCCAATTTCAATCGGTCGTCGAGTATAGAATGCAACAATTTTGTTTTCGAATCTGGCGGTGATACCACGATCGTTTCGGCGGTAGGCTTCCATATTAGTCTGTTTAGTTTGTAATAAGAATTTGTATTTAAAAAATATACTTATCTAGTTCTTTTTATCTGATTTCAGTTTGGCATATTTTGCAAAAAAAACAAATGGAAATTGACGACGGTGGGTAGTCTGAACAATATCGGACAGTTCGTCTCGTTGCCCATTTCCGGAATTTTATCCGACAAGTATGTATCTATACAATCTTCTTCAGTATTCTGCCATTTAAACCTAATTGTCAAACATATATTTTCTGTTATTTCCAAAGCTACATTGATGGCAATGCTAATCGATTCTCTCATCCGTCTGTTCCACGTCACTTTTCACCTTATTCGCCTATGATCTCAGCCGTGCTCGTCCCAAAGGTTTGGTTCCTCTTGAAACACCAAATCACATTGTATCAAAGATACCAAGGTTCCTTCATTACCGCGTATGAACAGCCCACTTAAGTCGCCTCTCCTAATTTCCCAGACTTTATCTGTCTTCTGATACAACTTTCTGAGCTCGTCATTTTTTCAGATTTTACATTCTGTACTTTCCTTTGTACACGGACCGATGATGATTCTTAGTATTTTGCTCTCGAAAACAAAAAGTTTATTTTGCTCAGTTTACCTAATACCCATAATATAGCTGTAGCCTATACTTTTTAGGCCTGCCCTCGAGGTTGGTGATGAGGTTCCTAATTTATATAATATTGCATATGTATATGTAGGGACAGGTGCGTGGCGGAGTGAGATAAGGCGGCAGTGTAACAACGCACGGTCGCCGGTTCGAATCTCGGCCACTGGCGGTTCGTTCCTCCGGGCGGGGAAAATGTAGCGTTAGGTCGGCAGTCAGCAATAAGCCCAAAATGCCCTATCTAAACCGTCTAATCCCCGATCGGTGGGAATAACGGACGTTAAACGTAAGAGAGAATAATATGTATATGTATATATATATATATATATATAAATAGTTTTTGGAACTATCTTCATTCTTTACTCGTAATGTTACTAAGTGACACCAAAGTATTTACGTGCATTTTCAGGTACGGAAGGAAAAAGATCATTATCGTCGGAAGCGTGCTGGCGGCTACTTGTGGCATCTTGCGAGGCATGTCTGTTAGCTATCCCATGTTTCTAATGTTGGAGTTTTGCGACGCTCTATTCTCGGGTGGCGTTTACAGTGCGACTTTCATAATGGGTAAACTCCAATCGATTTGACACCCGTTTAAATTGCACATCTATTTGATTATATTTGCATCCGTCGATTTAGGTTTAGGATTGGTCGGCGGCAAGCACAGGGTGTTTGCCAGTACGGTGCTGAGCGGTTTTTACCCTATAGGCGAAGCGCTGGTCGGTCTGTTGTTCTGGTACATACGGGACTGGAGGAAATTTCTCATAATCATGAATTTCCCAGGACTGTTTTTTGCTTTTGCTTATTCGTGAGTATAAAACAGACCAAATATACTGAACGCTTGCAGGTTATTGTACACATTTATGCTTCAGAATCACTCCAGAGTCGGTGCGGTGGCTGATCACGGCGGGAAAAACGAACGAAGCCATTAAAGAATTGAAGTGCATTGCGAAATACAACGGTAAAAAATTGTCGGAGGAAAGTCTGAAAAAGCTCGAAATGTTGACACTCGAAACGGACAAAGAGCTAATATTGGTAGGTAGTGTAGTGTATAATTATCTATCGTCAATTAATATTATTGCAGTCATAAATAACATAAAAGGATTTTCAGGATGACAAGGAGACCGTTTCGGGGAATTCTAGATCAAAAGCATTTAAACGCGCATTGTCGTCGAAAAGCATCATGTTTCGGATGATGAATTGTTCGTTTTGTTGGTAGGATACAACGTGGAATTTATTCGAGTACGAAGTTTGCAATATAATAATAATAATAATTTTCGTTGTCCGACAGGATGATAAACACATTAGTTTACTACGGTCTATCGATGAACGCCAGTACAATAGTTGGCAACCGTTACGGTAATTACATCTTGAGCTGTCTTGTCGAAATACCAGCTCTGATCATAGTAATTAAAATATTAAATAAGTTTGGGCGAAGGGAGTCGCAGTGTGTGACGCTCATACTTTGCAGTGCTTTGTGCTTATCAATCGCATTCGTCCCAAATGGTAAATATAACCAAATAATATTGTAAAAAGTATCACTATTTTTGCAGACAGATTTACATGCAAAATATGTATGCAAATAACGGCATTACTAAATACTACCAGTATATCATTTAATATTAATATTATAATAACTTAATAAATATATGTATTCATCCCGAAGATATCACACCAATATAAAACGGTTTAAATACTTTTCTAGAAGCAGTATTACTAAACGTGTTCCTGTATCTAGTTGGAAAGTTTGTTATAACCGTTTCATTTGTGATATTATACATGTATACGGCAGAAATGTTTCCAACAGAAATAAGGCATTCCTTACTTGGTATTTGTTCTATGTTTGGCAGAATTGGATCAATGATAGCGCCCCAATCACCATTATTAGTAAGTTATAACTGTCAGTACTGGTGTTGAAAAAAATAGTACCTAAGACAGTAACAGTATCTAAGAATAAATACATTATAGGTATAACAATAACATTTAAGTATTTAAAAAATAAGTTAGCAAAACATATTATTACAAGTATTTTGTCGTTTCAATCCATTATTTTGTAATGTTTTTAAAGTTGTATTAATTTTATTTCATTTGAATATTTGTCATACAGTAATATTTTTTTCTTAAAAAATGTGGAATATTTACTGAAACCATTGGCATGATGATACATATATTTTGTATATAACTTTCCTTGACCAGCCTAAATAGTACTTTAATTTTAATTAGTTTTTTTATTTATAAATTAGCCCTTTCCAAGTTAAGGGTTAACTCCCAAGTCCCAAACACAATCAATCAAGGTCCAAATACATAGAATTTAACGTCACCATGACGTGACGTCACATTAATTTAACTAGGACCTAAAAATGATAATTTCATGACTTCATAGTGTCTAAATATTTGTTATCACGACTAAATAAACTTAAATAGGTAAACATAAGGAGTAAAATAGACTACTTCCGTATCTATCTTGCATGGCAATTATAAGATAGTACTTTAACTACTTGTAATTTTTTTTACTATAATACTCAAAACTATAAATTCAAAACCAGTTGATGTATTGTAAACAAATCATAATTTAATTGAAATCAATGTATAACCATATTATTTCTGTTTTTAGTCAACTTATTTTGGACAATCGGCTCCATTAATTATGTTTAGTGGAGCAGCTTTTATAGCTGGGTGCTTGGCTCTATTATTCCCAGAAACATTTAATAGAAAAATGCCAGATACAGTCTTAGAGGCCGAAGCAATAGGAATAAAACGCTAATATTTAGATGTAAAAATAATTTACAATGTATATTTTTAAAACCAATGTATTCCTATGTGCTAAATGTATTTTATATCGGTTGAGTATAACTAACGCACCACAATTTTAACAAATAATTTATTATTATGAAATGCATTAGTTTTAATTTGTTAAAGAAAACAATTATGATTATTTTCAATGATATTGTTAGTATGTATATCTTTTTTTTATCATTTGTACAAAAGAATAATAGTCGGAGGGATTATCCCCATCTTGAATAATTTTATCCATAAAAAATAGTGTTTATTAAATCTGAGTTTTTAACTAAGAAAAATACTTATTCTATTTATACAAAAAGGCTAAAACACTGAACAAAAAATTTGGAAACAAAACAAGTTGCATGCGTAACAATATTGTACTTTAAGTAAGTTTTGTGAAAACTATTAGTTAACAAAGATAATCCAATAAAAAAATGGTATTAATGTTTGATTTGTCTCAAAGTCAGGAACACAGTTAATAAAAAAATATAAGCTAATAAGGCTATAACATAAATTTTTAAGTTAATAAAGTTAGTTAACCTTTAAGTTCATTATGCATTTATATGTACAATACTTGTGTACATACATTTATACACAAATTTACCTAAATTAATTAAAAACTCGCTTGTTATCCTCTTTTAAATACTTTTGATCCGTGAGGAACGCAGGTAGATTACGTAGCTTATTGTATTCCAAATTGCATTTCACTAAATTGTTTAACACGTATTCTAGAGTCCAGTGTTTTTTCAATAAGGCTTGTTCAATATTGAAAGCTGAATACCTTATACAACGTATGGCTGTACAAGTAGCTGAACATCTAAGTTTCAATCCGATTTCATGGACCAGAGATAACAGATAATTTTCATATTCATTGATTATATTTACTTCTGAAATAGAAAATATATTATTTTGACATTTAACTAGTGTACTCATAGTTCATAAAATATTTTTTTTCAAAAACAATATTTGAAATTTGTGTATGACTATTCACAATGTCATTTTTTAAAATTTACTTCTACAGTTAGCCCAAATAACCTGTACAACATGAAATAAATCGACATTTTATCAATTTTCATCTAACCATAGTTAACAAATGCAAAATGTGTTTTACTTGATCTGTGGTGGTTTTGAAATAAAATTACCTATTATGAAATCGAAAGATGATAATATTTTGGAGACAATGACAGAATATCCTTTTTTTTAATTATTTATTAAGTATATAGCCTAATGTAAAAAAAATATATTTTTTACTTTTATAAAATAGTCATAGCTTAACTTTTTTCTAAGAAATATTTTGAATAAAGGAAAGTCATTGTTTCCAAAATATTGTTCCTTTCATTTATATCATAGCTTTGTATGATAAACATCACATTCATATTTTGTTTCAAAATCATCATGGTCTGAGTAAAATAAATTAGCGTAGCCAGGTTTCTACCACAGGAAAATAGGGGGGTCTACCATCCTTTTAATGTAAACTACAAAAAGCGTAAAAACACATGAAAAATTGTAATTGATCCGTATTTGTTTTATAAGTATTATAAAATGTAAAGGTAATGAATTTTTAAAAAGCTTGTTAGAATATAATTTATAACTTATGAGCATATTGTACGTAAATATTAAAAATATAATATAATAATGACTAATTGCAAAACATGTCTTATTTTTAACGAACTTGAACTATCAAAGGACATTTATTTCTCTACCCGTATTAAAACGGGACTAGTCCATCAAACCATAATGGAAATATCAGCTAGTAGCTACTTACGTTAGTACTTTGTGCAGGACAATTCCAGGGCATGTCTCCTTTCTGTACTAAATTACTCAATCAATGTTAAAGATCAAAATGTTGTTATTTAATACATGTAAAAATGTTGAAGTATAAATTATAGTCAGTATCTTAAAAATATATGTTAGACTTAAATGAAAATCCTGTTTTTAGTTAAATTTCTGTTTTTTTTTTATACAATTAAAAGGGCTGAAAGGAGACATGTCAACCAACTCAATATTGCTACCAATGACACACTCATATTAGTTTTTACAACTAAATTTATATTTTAATTTAGTAATATGTAAGATAATAATACTGAAATATTACTTTATCTTAATTTATATACCTAATGCTACTTACCAACTACAAAATTTGGTAAATCCAGTTTTATACATTTAATTCCATAAAGTAATGGTTCATTATTACAGGTAGGTCGAATGAGACCTTCAGCAGCTAGGTTGTACGCTGTTTGACTTTGAGAATCTACTTTAGCGAGTCTAAAGTAAAATTATTCATTAATAAAATACTTAAAATTTGATCTTAATTTGATTGTACTAACTCAAACATCTTTTTCTGACTAGCCGCTTGTATGGTGGACATCAGTTTATCTACATTTTCACGCTTAATAAAATCAAAGCGTCCTTTTTCAACTACTTTCCCGTCGATAAACATGTTTTTGGTCATTATTCCAAGTTGGCCGGACAAATGATAAGTTCGGGTTGGATACTTATTATTAATATGATACGCCATTTTTGTACCATTATTTATTCCCATAACTAAAAAAAAAGGTTTATAAAATATATTTTGTACCTAGTCATGAATAAACCCTATTAATCACAAAGATGGATAAATTACCACAAACTCCCGATATCCGCGAAGCTAAATGTGTGGTCCATATACATTTGAGATCGCCTTCCTGATATCTTGGGCCAACTACGAGTGGGTTGTCTGCATAGCTAGGCTCGACATTTACCTGCAACTCTTTTGTCGTATCACCAGTTATAACCACTCGAGGTTCTGGCGGTCTAACTTCCAAGTCGTTTAAATCTATAATGATAAAATCAAAATTTTAATTAACAAAACGATCGGAAAAACGCATTTCGATTATTGTTATTACCTTGGCACAATTTTAGAAGTAAATTGTGACGACATGATATTAAGGATACTCCAGCTGGCTTGTATAAGCAGACAATACCGCTTAAGAGTTTAAATGCGTTTTCACTGGTATACACATATGACATAACGATAATATTATTCAATCATAATAAGTTAACGAACAAATTTACAAAAATTATAATAAAGTAGGTATTAACTATAATAAGTAAAGCAACTTTTGTAATGGTCTGTGTTATCATGTATCTTATGTTATCAATATCTTATCATTTGGCCGGTTAACCATGTTGTGTGCGTGGGACAATTTAGTATTCAACTAGAGGGCGCTGACTGCTGTATTTTGTCTATCATTATTCATTGGTCATTTATTCATTAAGAGGACGTTAGTCGTTACCCAGGCCATTTCTAAGGAGTAAAGTATAGGCAATTTTTCCAAAAATCTTTAATTAGAGTTTGAAGTTTGAACTAGAATGTATACTTATTAATACAGTAATGAGGATACTTTGTTGATTGCCAATTTTTTTGCCAGACTATCATAGTCATTTCTACAGGATAAATTACAATTTTTTTCCCAACAAAACGGCTTTGCGCGGGACAAGTATCTGAGGCCAGTATAAACAGTGAATTTACCAAATGTTCACAATGTATAGAGAAAAACTTTATCTACGGGGTAGCGTTTTAATTTTTTCGATATCTATACTTAATATTTTTTTATAAGCAAAATTAAAAAGGAAAAAATAATTAATATTTACGATTGAATAATTTTGATTGTGCTTAAGTTATCAAAAAACTAAAAACGCTACCCCGTAGATAAAGTTCTTCTCTATCCATTGTAAAAATTGTATGCGGCTACTCTAAATACCGCCATCACATTGTTGTCCCCCGCAAAACCATTTTTCGTAGATAAATTACGGGTGGGTAGCATCATCTTAACATTACCATCGTCAGAATTAAAAAACAATATATAAGTACAGAGTACTGACTAGTGACTACTGACAACAGACTTTTATTGTGCACAGTGCACACGTCAAATTTTCTGTAAAACGACAGATTTTTTTTATTGTTTATGCATACATAATAGTAACTATTTTTTTCACAGCAATTTTGTTTTTACCCCTTCCCTTGTACAAAATGTTGATATCATACCTGAGATAACTCCCTGGATCTATGTATATACAGGTACGCAATTTCCTTAAAATAAGTGGGGGTGCTTTTAGGCCCCAAATTGAGCCTATGTCTATATCTATAAAAAACTCCATATTTCATTAAACTGCATTATTTCTTGGTTTTTCAAAAATGTGAAAAATGTGAAATCAACTTAAACCATAGTAAATTTCTTAAATTTAAAAAGATACAGCCGACCCAATGGTATTCGAATTTGAAGATATTGATTGAAATTACAAAGACGACTGGCAGTTAAATACTTCAGCTAGTGTCGTATTTTGAACAAAATTTTGGGAGGTACATCCACGTTTAATATATGACATTATTTTATTAACGAGAAGAACAGTTGGGCCTTGTCACATTGTCGGGCTTTGAGAATATTTATACATTTCTCGTTTGGCAGACGTCCCTTCGTTAATGATTTGTGACTTATAATTATTATTGCATTCAATCAATAATTCATATTACCGATAGCACGTGTATATAATAATAATATACTTGTACAAACCAATTCAAATTTTTTACCATTCCGATTCTTCGACGGTAACGCGTTTAAAGACTTAGCCGTGTCTAATATACCTATTGAAACGACTCGAAGCAATTGAAAAAAAATCGATATCACTGCAGAGTGCAGTTACTGATCTAATTATCGTAAAAAATTAAACGTCATTGGCTCGACAGTAATTATGATTTGTAGTTCGTCGAGAAGGCATAATTATTTTTCTCATAGCGCAATGGCTAAAGTGTAAAAAATAATATTATACCATTTTTCATCATAGTCGGTATTGAACGGTATTTTTTTAACTTATCTTTTGCCATTGATTATAAAAAAAAATGCTCAGTTCATTAATTGTTCGAATTTATTACATCTTATATTAACCATTCCTATTGTATGATAGACACTAAATATATATCCGTATTCACACTACACTTAATAGGACACATTTTGTTTAAAAAACGAAATAGAATATGTATAGAAGAAAACTAGAATATGAGTTCAATAATGAAGAATGAAGCAAGGGAGGTGCACCTTGGTAAGTATTGATTGCGGATGATGTATGTAGTTTTAGTAGATGGGAATATATAACTGTCAACTTTGAACTCCATCCAATCATATCTTAAGGTAATCTATCTAAGCAATCTTTTAACGCCACCCTCAGTTACTAAACTTCTTTAATGTTTCAGCGACTGCTATTATTGCATATCGTGTAAACACATAGAAATATGTTTTTTCAAAATCAAAGACAACTAAAGAATTCTGAAGTATCAACGAATCAAATACAACTTATAAGGTCGACACAGAATTATAAAACATCCAACAAATCGCAGCTATAAGTCAAATAGCTATAATAAATTGATTACAACAGGTATAAGGAAAGAGGTGGAATCGAAGTATAACTTAAAGCTATCGCATACCATTTGAAGTTATCGTATAGTTATAATAGAAATTAACAACATAATCAAATTAACCAGCCATATTACTAAACTATACATATTTTGTGTTTTTGCATGACGAAAATACGTATCATTATTTAACGTTATACAGAGTGATTAAAATTTCTTCTTTTCGTATCGCATATAATTATATTATGACGTTATTAGTTGGCTATATTTGCGGGCACAAAGGTGGGCCATATAACGCATGGGCAATTAACACGTTAATCATGTTGCTGCGATATTAATCTAGTTGGACGGAGGACTGTGTGTGTGTTCGTTTCGCTAACTCGCAGGGAACTGCCCCCAGGCGCCTCATAAATTCGCAAATCCTCTCCGTAGACCTAATGGTGGCGGGGCCCACAACGGAAAAAAATATTTGCAATGTGTACATAATGTGGTAATAAATTATGTTGAACCGAGAGCGCGGGCAATGGAATATAATAAAATATATGAAAGACATACACACACACCACACGTTAATATCTAAATGCAGTGGTTCCCATTTTTCTATAGAAGATACTTTATAGGTAAAACGACCCGATTTATGGACAAAACTTTTATTGCTATCCTCGTCGGAATGTATTTATAGACCGTAAGAGACCATTTATATTATATTATTATTATATGATAAACCGTGCGCCGCAGTAATAATATCATGTACGGCAAAATATAATAAGTCATGTTGTATACAACTCAACAATAATAACCCTATGCGTTTGATTAAGTTTGTCGTTTACTTTCTATTGCAGGGGTTCTAAAGCTAATTCGAAGTGAGCCACATTGTTAGAGATGTTTATAAAAAGGAAGAAATGAAAATTTATTAATTTTACTCTAAGCTTGGTTTCAAGAGCCGCACAAAACTGATTAAAGAGCCGCATGCGGCTTGCGAGCCTCGTTGTGGCCACCCCTGCTCTATAGTATCCAGTTACGCTACATAGTATTATGTATACCGTATGAACGATTATTTAGGGTATAATGATGCATAACGTTATTATATTATTATTGTATTCTAGTCTTAATTTATAAAAATTAGAACTACTTTTTAATCGACTCGGTGTGGTATAGCCGTACACGTTTCCCATAACATTATTGTCCTTTCGAATATGACTTGTAATTATAATTTAACCCAAACTATATATTATTATGTATTATCTAGAATCTAGATTTAGGAAAAATACTGTAAGAAGTATTGTTTGGAGCTTTCTTGTATTCGGATTCGCGTCGTTTTTATTTTATGCGTATTTTTAAAATTTTATTTTTTAAGATAAACAAACAAAAATTAGTAATAATTTAGCTCTTGTTTCAGGCGTAATAACACCGTCAAAGGGACGACGACCGAGAACGGGTACAGCAAAAACAAATTAACCGACGGCGACGGTCCCCGGGCATTATTTTAACCTTTTCCGGCGTCTTTCTACTCCGTATCCGTTTACCCGAGCAGTTATTTATGTGCACGATTTGTAACGCCTCTGTAAAAAAAAAAAAGAAGAAGAAATATAGGTGCGTACATGCAAGGACAGAGGGCGGCAGCCGGCAGGGACGAAAAAAAGATATATGGGAGCACCGGCGGCGGCACGAGGAGTAGGCGAACGCCGGTCGTACATATTTCATTCCCCGTCCTCCAGTAGTCCCCGAGGAATTTTTCATCCTTATTTTAACACATTTTCGCGTTCTAGATTATTTCAGAATATACATGTACCACGGTCCACGGGTCCAAACTAATTTACTGCCACAGACATTTCGAGCACTACACCAACTGCTGTCATTATCAGTTTACCCCGTTTTCGCAGTTGTGCTCTTTCGGTTGTCCCTCTTCCTGTCGTTCATACAAAGTTTTAAAACAATCGACATTAACGATATGGACGAATGGCCGTGTCAACCTTTGTAATAGATGATTATTAATTGTCGTTATAAGAAAATGTTTTGTTGACCAAACCAAGTCTCTACTCAAGGTACAAGCAAACGAATTAAAACAAATTATATAAATATCCTCATAAACCTTATAATTTATTTCAATTTTAATACATGCGATTTTTATACAACCTTTTTTTTTTATATTTTAGTGTTAAAAAAAACAAAATTGTCCTTATTTATACTGTTAATTTAACCCACTTTTTCTTTGATTTATTTTTTCCTCTAATACCCTCTACAGTCTACACTTATCTTTCTTACCTGATTTTTAAAGTTACATTTTAACCCAATATTCTATTTCAGCTAGTTGCTCAATAAACATGAAAAATAATTAAACTTCTTAACATGCCGTTTAGCTATAATATGGTAATTGAGCCATGAGCTCAACCCATTCACAAATAGTATAGAAATGTAAATAACCGAATTAAATGGATTTTTATGAATGATTAATTTCTAAATTAACTTATTATGTAACACAATAAGACATAAGTTTCATTAAACCTAAAAAGTTGTACTAGATAGTATTGGTTTTGAAAAAAAAATGTTTGCTTGGACTCTGAAGTTAATTTTTAATTGTTGAACCGAATTTTTCATAGTGTACATTCTCTATAGATTAGAAATCGTTTGCCAAAGATATACTTAACGAGACTTTTGGGAAAAATGCACCCCCTCCTTTCAAATTGGAGAGAAACAACCCTAAAACTTATCATATATCTCAACTGC